TACATCGCAATCGGAAAAAACCTGAAATTGGCGTCTGAATGCGAAAGTTTTTTCCTTCGACGTATATGGATTCCATGCATCCAATCCCTGGAAATTAACGCGCCGCGCAACAACATCGCTCACTATGGATGTACTTACTTTTCGCGCGCTGCATCTACATAAGACCGCAACTATACGTATGTTTTCTGTCTCTCTTTCTCTCGCTCTCTTACTCAACCGTACCCTTTTCAGTTTGACTTTCTGCCTACGTGCATCTGTTTCTTGCCAGCGTACACTTTTTAAGCTCGATACACTTTTTGTTTTTTGCTTCTCTTTTTTTTCTCGCTTAGTCATAAGTACTGCGCGCTGCTGCAGCTGCGCGTAAAGTTGAAAAAAAAGAGGAAAATATTAAAGCGATGCTCTCATCGTTTCTTCGCTAATAGGCGCTGATACGATATATACAAAATGTGCAGAATGAACGAACGAGTATCGTCGACTCAGTTATATGTACCCTACAGTACGCCAAAGTTTTATTTTATAAACTTGAACTCATTCAAATGAGCTTTTAATTAGAAAAATACTGGTTTTAATCGGCTACTAATAGCTTTTATCTCGAATACGCGATTCGCTTTTTTGCTTTCTCTTTCTCTCTCTCCATTCTTCGTCTGATTACTTCTCTGCTTCAGTCAGTCACATGCTTATTAATAAATATACGCAAGTGCACATCATTGGAATTTAAACGATTTATACATATATACGTATATCGTATCGGTATGTATGTATAAAATAAACGAATGCATTCCCTCGTGGCGTAAAAATGTACGCTTGGGACAAACAAGCTGAAAGCTTATACATATAACCGCGCGCGCGCGTATGTGTATGCAGCTCTCGAACTGCTCAGCGCTCGCGCGACTGTAAAGCAAAGATAAGCAAGAGCAGCTCGTGCGATGGAAAGCAGAACAAACACGAGCGCACGCACAGACGCACAACCGCAGTAGCGCAGCGCGCGATACACGCGCGTACCTATATTTATACGAAAAATGACAAATGAGAAAGCATTCGACGGAGTGTGCGCGCGGTATAGCGTTGTATCGAGAGTACATATATATAAGAGAGCTGCGAGGGCGTGTGCTCGGGCGCACTCGTTCGGGCAAAGATTCGTCTCTCTCTCTCTCTCTCTCTCTCTTCTATAAATATAAAAGGCTCTGCTGCAGCTACTCTGCTGTGGCCTGGATTTGTTTGAGACTTTATGCACGCACCGATCGTATACACGAAATTTAATCGAAAATCATCGATCGAAGATCGAGAGCCGGTTGGCCGCGAATAAAGCTTCGCTCGCGATGTGCACACCTATCATATATAATATGAGAATTGCTATAAACACAGGGTTCGTACTTCGTACTGTCTCGCGAGATATCGATGTGCATCTGTCTGTATGTGTGCGTGGGGCCCGCGTATTTGAAAGAAACCCGTATGTTTCAGAGACCGAAAGAATTTTTAGAAAAAAAAAGTAATACACCTTTTCATCGTACGTACGTAGGATATATAGATTGGCAAAAACATTAGCACGATTGAAAGAAGCAGCGAGCCCGAAGGAGAACATTGAACTCGTGTATCTGTCTGCATGCTTTATAAATACCTCTATATATATATACGCATTCTAAAAGCAACAGAGAAAGAGGGGTATAGAGAGGAAGAGAGAGAAAATTTTCCGTACTGCTGGTCATACCATGCCATTCGAATAATTAAACAGACGTACAACAGTACGTGTATATATATTAAACACTCACTCACACTTCGTACCACTCTCTCTCTCTCTCTCTCTCTCTCTCTCTCTTTCGCAGTTGCATTACCGATGCATCGGTGTTCACTTGTATTCGACGGCGAGTTTGCTTTACAGGAAATGATTATCTGAAAGCGCCAGTCGTTAGAAAAATGTATTCCGCAGAAAAATTGTTGTTGCTCGGCCAGCAGCTATTTTCATTTTATATAGGTACGATATTTGTTTTAATCTGCTCTTTGATCAATTTTCGCGCAAATTGGCAGGCATCAAATCGTGGAATAAATACTCGCATATAACAGACACTTTTCTCGGACAAGGATGATGACGTTGGCATAATTAATCATGCATGCATAACAACAATATTTAAGGGTGAATGAAGCGAACGTTATGTCAGTCAAATTGATGAATTCTGCTATATGGGTGCGTTTGTGCGCCTGGTATAATTTATTTATATATAACGACTGTTTTGCCTGTCGGACACGCATTAATATGTTTATTTATTTTTTTTTCTTTACTTTTTAATCAAAACCATAATGTTATAACTCTAATTGAACATAGTCGAATACACGCGCTCGGGTCGCGACCTCGATTCAATTGTTAGCTCGAAATGACATGCGAAATGAGAATTGATAAATCCCTCGTTTTTTTCTCTCGAGCTGCGCCAGCGCGTCTAATAATTTGATAAATCGTACATCAAATATTCAATTAAACAAAAAGCAATAACCGGTAAAGTGGCTTTCAGCGAGATCTCCCGCAAAGCAATAGACGCGTCTTCGATACCATGTGGCCATTCCATACGTCTTACACATTTATATATAGGATACGAATCACCGAAAAAAAATCATTTTTTTTCTCCTTACAATATACTCCCCGTAATACCGAAGCCCTCTTAACGCGCCGCGCTCGCGTTCCATTCGAGTAATTTCAGGGCTTGCATATTTCATGATGATACGAGAAAGAGCTCGGGTGCGTATACCGCGCGTGTAAGCTTTTCTGTCTCTCGATCGCTCTCGACGCGCGATACGCACATACACATAGACTCTTTCAATGCACGAAGCTGTGTATGCTTTTTATCGTGTCTTCGTGAGGAGCGTATCGATGATGCGAGAACCACACCCTAGAAAGCATCCACATATACTATATATCTATAATGTGCGTCGCTCAAGCAAGCGAACTCTTGCATTTTTTTTCTCTTCGCTATATACGTTCGCTGTACCTGGACGTATAGGTATACACTTTTCTGTTTATGATGTATCAAGGTTGAGTGGATTGGCCGAGTGTACACTTATCATTTTGACGCTTGCAGGCTAACGCGTGCGATCGCGTATTTTAAACTTGAAAATGGAAAAGAAAAAAGGAGCGAGAGAATTTTGAAACTTTTACATAATATTATGATGCTAGGTTGAAGCGAGGAAAAAGAAAAAACAATATAACATCCATAAATAAATCGTCAAAGAAGGAAATACGTAGAAATGCTTAACATTAAATAGTATCGCCAAGACCAAAATGGTAACTAAAATTTTTTTTCATTAACTAACTTGTTTTTAGTAATTTTTTTGTTACAATTATGTTATAAATAAAGATCAATTTTTAAATGAACCGAACATCACAGTTTAATTGCTTAAAAAATGTAGTCCAATTTTCAACCACAATACGATAATATTATTTTAAGTCTCCACCACTAGATTGCGAGCGCAATAATTCGGTAGTCTGCAAGTAGTGAAGTGAAATGTTAGTTTAAATAGCGCGGTTTTGAAAAAAAACGTAAGGACCAGTACCGATGGTTGCATCTTAAGAAAACAAGGCATCAAATGTAGTGCATGTGTACCACGGATAAAATCTACATTTATACGCATAAACACATAGCATATGATATGGTTTTATTTATCGAAACGGACCGATGCCAAGAAAGAAAACATACAATAGACTGCAAGAACGTGAGCAGTAAAGGCCAGAAAGTTCTGACTTTTTATAATCTGGCTTACTCCTTCTCGCTCTCGCGTAGCTTGATGATCTACTCTATTATAAATGACGACAAAGAAAAAAGAAAGGGAGAGAAAAATGAGAGTGAAAAAGTTGCAGAAACAGAGAAAATGATACCTATCGAAGACGCATCACCCGAAACAAAACAATAAAAAATTACCAAGGCGCTCACGCCCTGTAGCGAGTCCATAAAACGCACTGGCCGTTCGAATATTTTTGAAAAAATTAAAATTAAAAATCCAAAGTACGACTTACTGTGTATTCTCTTCTACTATTAAATTTTATATACCCATATAATGAATAAACGTCTGAAAAGGAGTCTCTACGAACGCGACGAGAGGGTAAAAAGGAGAAAAGGTTGATGAGCTACCTTGAATTAATATTGTTAAAGCTCTTTTTGATGAGCTTAAAAAAATTAGTCATTCAAGAGGCATAGTATACTTAACCGTATTGTGCTGAGCTACGAGGTCTGCGCGAAAAAAGAGAGTAGGATAAAATTTGCATAAAGTGAAAAAAATTGTAAGCTACGCTTGAATGAGTTTCTATTCACGCAGGGGGAAAGTTTGTTTCTTTTTTTATTTTATATCGCGCGCCGATTCAAATTCAAAAAATCTTGATAGAATTCATGAATAACATCGTGTTAACGAACCGACTGAAATTTTCAGCATGTGTATACAAATTACGTCGCCGAGTCGACTAATACCCTGTAATATAATATTGAAAATTAGCCGGTGCGCTACGTGCGATGCCAGCGACTAACGCAAATCGACGTTTAAATGGGAAAGACGACGACGACGATGAATTTCTTGCAGCTGCAGGTCGATTCCTGAATAATCCTTCCTTTTTTTTTCATTCATTATCTCTTGAGGAGTGCAATGTGCCGGCCGCATGCAGTGCGCACGTTATATAGTCCAGTGTGCAGAGGTCGTTTTAATTAACGAGGTTACCGCGCGCTGCACTTGCGGCTGCTGCTGGCCCTGACGTCGCTCGCAGTTATATAGATACTCGTGTCGAAGATCTTCCAAGCCCCGGGAGAAGATAATATTGTATAAGAAACTCGATACCGAGCCGTGTACCGGCAACCCTCGCGTTGACTAAATTTCATTGCCGAACTGGATTCCCTAATACGCCAAAATTAATTTACGACGAATGCGCCAAAATATTATTATACACGTATACATTTATTCTCGCAACAAATGCAATTATAAAAAAGACAGATTAAAAATACCCGCTCCGTCGGTTTTTCTTGCTGCAGGCAACAAGCTCATCTGCGACTGCAAGCTCGCCTGGATCTGGGGTCTGAGGAACGAGACGAGGAACAGCAAATTGCGCGAAGGCTTGGAGGAATTGACGTGCTTCCTCGAGGCTAGCTACGAATCGAGATTCGACACAGGCGAGGATCTCAATCGAGCACTGGAAATTGTTCGAAACACAGGCTCCCGTCACGGAGGTAAGCGACTTGAAACTTTTCTTCTGTCGTCTTATATAGACGAAAAAAAAGTATGAAATTTTACGTGACAAATGTTTAAATTCAAAAATTTTGTTCGATGTAGATTACCACGCTCGACAAAATAGCATGGACGAAACGTACATGGGCGATAACGATGGTTACGAGGATTACAGCGCAGGAGAAGATTATTCAGTCGGTGCTCAGGTAAGAATCGAGTTAAAAAATGTCATATTCAAATTGCACCGAGTACGAAAAAATGACTCCTTTTTTTTTGTTCGTATTATAGGTGGTCGTGGAAGGCAAGCCGAGCTACGTGAAACACTTGTTCGACCTCAAGCCCGAACTGCTGCCGTGTCCTCAGCCGACGCACGAGGACGTAATGGCGTCGGAGCAACCGTCCAGTCGACACTCGTCATCCATATTCTCGTTCGCCACTGGTGGCGGTGCGGGTCAGATCGAAGCTTGCGCTGCTCTCACGACGATACTCCTGGCCGTGAGCGTTCGGGCCTGCCTCACGTAGGAGCTTATCGGGCAACCACGTCTCTACGCGAATCTCAATTTTGACGTTTAAGAAGTAGCAATACGAGAAGAAAAAAAATCGAAAAATACGTACGCCAGTATGAACCGGTGCCCCAACATTGATTATGTTTTCGAGAAATGGATCAATTATCGCCAATAAACAGACGAAAAAAAAATACACACATATTTAACGGACACTGCCAACACATACGTTTCTATCGATTCATTGATCGAAAATGTCATTAATCGTAAAAAGAAGATTGAGGTTATCACTCGTTTACTGCCAGTTAACATTAACGAAACCAAGGGGTAATCTTTTAACTCTTCTTTGTTCTTCTCTCTCAACTTTTGCAAAGACGCAACGACGTGTTCTTTCGTAAGTATACGAAGATATTTTCGTTGTTCATCAAAAAAAAAAAGTTGAAGAAAACTCTGCATTCGCTAACATTTTTTATAAAAATATATTTCTTTCCTTTTTTGTCGGGATACGGTGCTCTGTGTTTTATAAGAAAAAAAAATTTTTCTCGCGAATCTTTAGGAGCGATCAAGTGTAAAATAATTGACTATATAAAAGGCACGCACGTGAAGCTGTGTATAGATATATATGTAGCCTGATTACAATACTCGAGTGCGCGTGCGACGATAGTCGTGTAGGATATCGAATGAAACGAAGAGAATTTTTTGCGTTGCGAAAGAAAAAAATGTAACGGAAGAGGATTCTAAAAAGGCGTGCGCAAAGCAAGAACGATAAAGTCCTTCTTAAAAAAGCTCGACGAAAAAAAGAAATTTTTATAGTAATAACACGAGATTGATACCAAAAAAAATTATATCGTATCCTGGTTGCTTGCACGCTCGATCATTATTTTCTGTAGGTGCCATTTTGATGTATATGTATTTAAACGCCTTTTTACTCATTAATTAAATAATGATAATTGACAGAGTTATTAAAGTACGCGACTGCGTTTCAGTATGTGCAGGCCAATATTTATGTTGAAATTTGTGATGCTTAATTATGGTATAAGTATAGTAAGTAATAATTATTGTGAGTCCAATTTCTAATTGCATAGGGATATTGAAATACCAAGAATAACTTACTATAAATTATTACCTTATCTGATTGTCCAGAGGGGAGAAACTATTCGTTCGGATTATTAATTTGCGTTGTAATAAATGATAATGTCCGGTAAAATCAATTTCCGATATTTTTATTAACTAGACATTCTCGATTCGGAACAGTAACAACAGAATCCTTACGTAATTTAGAGGCGGACTTTATATGAATGCTTTGAAAATTATTATTATGATATTTGCATGTCGATCGAGTGAAATGTTCGATCGGGGTCGCGCGTATATACACAAAACGCGCGCGCGCAGGCATTGAACATTTCACTCAATCGACTTTACAATCAAAGAATTAATTATTCGAAACATTTATTGGCAACGTTGAAATTGCTATACTATATATTTTTCCATGAGATCTAACGAACATTTCGTGTGCGTGTATATGTACGTGGGATTGCAATAAAGTTTTCCGATGTACTGTGACTTTGAATGTACGAGTATCGCTATTTTAGGCGAGGTTCCGTGTATTAACTTTTTTTTATTTTCATCGCATTCACGCGGTATACATTGATTATGTATATTTATTATATATATTAAATTGGCTATAGATGTTTTGTAATTGATAAAGATATACTTGAGTAAATGCTGCTTTTGCGAGACTTCTTTGCTGTTTTTTTCCTGCTTTGGATTATTATCATAGAATAAGATAATAATGTAGTATGTTATTGCTATTTCTAAAAATTGAACTTTTTTAATGTTTTTTATTATTAGATTCACACAATTTTTGGTATTTTTAGCGCAAAATGTATACAATGTATGTATACCTACGATGTATACCTTGTTCATGTCGTCTAAACAATATAATAATGATTATAGATGAATGGGAAATAAATTGAAAAAAATGTCAGATATTAAATATTTAAAAAAAAGTATAATAACATACCTGCCATGTCTTGAAGGCATCGAGGAACTTCACGAAGGGAAAAATACATTTCGATGTTCACTTTAATAAAGATAAGAATTTACCGAACGTACACTGTTAAAACTTAAATTAACACTAACTATATAGAAATTTAAATAGATAGTTCGACATTTTTGAGCCGTTTTTAATCCGACAGTTGTGATTGTGTAAAATATTTACCCTTCTGAAAAATGACTGATCTTTTTCATAAAAAGTACTCAATTCTGCATTTTTTAAGTCTTAGTTATAGAAACAAGATACTATGACATTTCATAATATTTTTTACAAAGGGCTGATATAACAAGAATCGAAGCAAAGGAGAACCTTTATCTTTTTTTTATAAAGAACTATTTCAATGTGAATTCATATGTTTGCAACGCATTTTTGCATTTTTGTAACAACAAAGCTAAAAACTGTCGGATTGGAAAAGCCCACTCTCGTATAAAAAGGAAAAAGAAGACTTTGAAACAAAAAAAATATATATAATAAAAATCTATGCTTGACGTTGAAGAAATGATGATGTGAAAGCAAAAAACTGTAAACTATGATTAATATAGAGTGTTAACACCTTTTCTATATAAGTGTAGGTAGATTCGATTTCATTACTATGTATATGTTTTAAAATGCGCGACTTTCGATTATTATTTTTTTTAACAAGCCTCCAGTTCAATCAACAAGTCTGTACTTTAAATGTATACATTTTTAGAAAAAAATTGGATTATGAATATTTAATGGATAAGGATTGATGATGTGACGATTTGTATTTAATATTTCAGCAAAGCTGAATTATTTTCGTTAATAACATTTCTTTTGTAATTTGTATCTGATGTATTATGTATTATATTAGTGTTCCTTTATAAGAATTAGCAATAATGACGATAAAAACAATTGCTCGACTTTCATTTCGAAAAAACCGATCCTCGATTTATCCATCCTCAAAATATCAAGTTTGGAATTTATTTTTACTTCGAATATTTGATTGCTCCAATGCACACGTATTATATCACGTCTTTACCAAGAATAAACTCAGCGCAGCGTGGAACATAGACACGCGTGAGACGGCGGCTCGAATCGGTATGTAAACGGCTTAGCTAATATGATCTGCATATAATACGAGCAAAAAAAACACGACTCACACGAATGGCTGATCGATTGGCTATGGAGCATGACAAAAAAAGCTAAGCTGGACATCGGACGTTAGGCCGCTGGTCAGTTATACTAGCAAGGACGCGCTGGCACATACGACAATTCGTCGGTGCTGAAATACTCTCTTTTGCGTATAAACAGTATCGTAGTTTGTTATATTTTTTGGGTGCTTTTATTTGTGCATTGATAATTCACCGATTGCAAACGAAATGCACGTAAGTAAAATTTTTTGAAAAATTTCTTCTCGAAAAATTTTTTTTTAATAATTTTTTTTTTTATACTTTGCCGGCTAGGTGCTACCGCACCTCTTGATGTGATTCGAAAATTAATTTTCAAATTGATTTTTATTTAATTCTCGCAGTTATTGCGAATTATTAAATTGGTTCTGAAATATATCATCGTTCTCTCTTTTGTTTTTATTCGCGAGTAAAAAAAGACGAAATAAAAACGTACGAAGCTCAAGTTCAATCGGGTGATAATAATCGAAAACGTTGCCCGCGCGTGCACGGAAGAATCTCTCTCTCTCTCTCTCTCTCTCCTCATTGAAAATCACGCGAATTCCATAGAATATACAAAAAATAATTTAATAAAAGAGCGCGCGCCTCATATTTATATCAGGCATTCCAAAGCTCGCCCCCCATCGAGCGATACCGGCAGGTATATATAACGCACAATAATAAAGTCGAGTATCTTACTACTGTATCATACGCATTCAATTACGCCGGCATTCGGCGCGCTTCGAGCCCTACATATATATGTGCTCGAGCGAGAGAGAAGTGCTTACATATATATTCAACGCAGCACGGCGAAAGTATTGCAGGTCGACGGCGGGGGGCGAAAGGAGACTTCAGCTATTCTCATTTTCACTCTTTTACGCATAAATACGACGAACGAATATTGCGCCCAAGCGAGCGTTTAAGGCTGTTCGCGAGCTCGTATATAGATATATAGATGTATTCATCGGGGCCTGCCAAGAGAGCTTTTCCTCGTTAAATTGCCGGGCGCGCGCAAAGTCTTTATGTCCCGGGATAAGGCGAGGCGACACTCGAAGCACACGAGAGCTTTAACGGCCGAGATACACAAATATCTTGGGATGCCGACGTCACCCGAAGGGGGGCTAGCTTTTAATTGAACTTTTCTATCTCTCTGTGTCTTTTTTTTGGTCTCGCGTGATGTGTGTCATCGTCGAATTGGTTTGTGGCAGCGTGGGTCGCGACTCGTACGTAATATTTGAGTGGGAAATTATTGCGATTGCGACGTAAAAAAATATGTAACGAACGATAGGCATTTGAAGCTATGCTAATTGTTGTCTCGGTCCAGTTAGTGCGCGATGTGTATACGTTTCGTATTTCTAAGCGTATACCGCACAGTACGGAGGTCACAAGAATTAGAGAAAGAGACGAAACGCGTAAATTCATCTACAAGGAGTTATGTATGCAAGAACGAAGCATACCGCTGGCGTCTACAGACGCCAGCCGTTAATTGTTATTTGTTTGACAATCGTCGCGTAAATCAACCTGCAGGTCAAAGTCATCTAACTCTTGCTTCAAGCTTGTTAAATTTTCTGTTGTTCTTTTCTTAAAATTATCGGAGTGATTTATAATGCGACCGGAAAGTGCAGTTAGCAAGAAAAATGATACAACGCTGAAAATTAATGCAATGCAACGTAGTTCGGTAAATTTAATCAATAATAGAGCGACTTCGCGCGAGAGCAGTTCATTAATAATTGATGCAAGTCCAATATAAGAAATGTAGCTCCGGACAAAAAGGAAAGCACGAGGTAAAAATCGAAGCTCGTATGCATACCGATTGCAGTCAATCGAAGCTCGCGCGCGCGCGCGCTCTCTAGTCTCCATTATTCATGCAAAAATTGCCGCTTACCGCATGTATATTGCGCGACGACGATACGTCGCGTGCATCGTATACACGAATCATATATTGTCCACGAGGCGGAGAGACAACAACACAGTACGTAACGCAAACTGCACCGGATAGAGCGGAAGGAATATATACAACGCAGCGATTGTCGTGGCGCGAGTGTTCGGGCCACGCGAGTGTAAGAGTAGTTGCGCCGCGCGCGCGAAGCTTTGAAGAAAATACATATATACGTGCGTGTGTACGGCGTTTAAGGAGAAAAAGTTGAGTGCGGTATTCGTTTCACGGAGATAAATTGGAAGTAATCCGATTCGTTTTATATAGCGTATAAAGAAAGAAGAAGAAGACGAGGAGCTCGGGTGGAGGAAAGAAAAATTGAGTATAACTTGAAGTGAGTGCTTGTTTAGGAAACTAAAGCTCACGAGATTTGCGCGCGCGTATGATATTTATGTGTGTGTAGGTAAATGCCTGCGGGAGCTTAATGCGCGCGTGATACGCCCTTGCAAACATCAAATGCTATTCCTACATACACATGTGAGTGTAACTGTATGTGTGGATATGTGGGTGTTTGGCATAACTAGCCGTGCGATCAACAAACCAAAACTTATTTGACATTAAAAGCTTCGGCGTATACGTGCATACACACACAAGCGCGTGTATATCTCTGTAATATAGATGTGTATGTAATAATCCGCTAAAGGACCAGAAGATAATCCGACTAACCTTTCACATGCCCTTCACATGTTATTTGCGTTAGCTAATCCACTAGGGATAGCAGCGCGGCGCGCTGATGCTGCCCGGCGCGTATCATCGTACCTATACCAGTACTCGCGTACTGTACTTACTGCATATACATCGAACTCGCTGACCGTAATATTTTGCCCGCGCGCTTGTGTGCGCGGGTGTGCGCACATAATATCCTGCATGCATATATATACGCGAGTTGGGTTATTTAATGGTAAATATTATAAAGCCGGTGCAGTGCGTGGGTATAGCGAGCGAGGCGAGGGGGGCACACGAACGATGAGTGATACGAGAGAGTCACGTATACGTGACGTGTAAATACTAAATAGATTATGTAAGCTCGCGCACACATGTCTGTGTGCGCTTATAATATGTGAATAAGTATATCGAGTGATCGCGGACACGTGCACGCGTAAAGGACACTTTGATTTAGCCGCAAAATAAACCGATGCCGTTTGTTGTTTACGCGTACGCGCGTGTTTTGTAAGTTGAAACCCGTGTGGTTATCGCGGAAGTCGCGAGTTTGCGTTTCGACCGACTCCGTTTCAGTGATAATTTCAAACGATCGAGATTCGTTGTGCAGATTTTTTTTTTAAAAAGCACAAAGTAGCTTTTAATCCAAACTTTCGTTTGCATCGCTCGTTCTTGACGCGGTCTTCGACCTCCGCTATCGGCTCTTCATTTTCATGCAATAATTATACCGATTAACGACGGATCGTGTACGGGGGAGAGAGAGCATAACGCACGCGATACTACGAAAAATTTTATAAATAAGCTCTCAATTACGCTTTAGCTCACATAGCAGTATAGCAGTAGCAGTCAACAGCCGCGCAGCAAAGGCATTCATTGTTTTTGCCTTCTCCCCATATGTTGTAACGACGATCGCTCGGCAAAGTCCGATGCACTCTCGGCTCGATTGGAGGATAGCCGCCGCCGCCGCCGAAGCAGCAGCACACAAACACACACCCTTCCGCCATTCTCGTAATTGCTCGCACGATCATCGTGTAATGCAGCTGCATCGTGTGCAAATATGCATGCGTACATGTGTACATGTATGTAAGTGTGTCTGCACCGATCATCTCCTCTCTCGCTGTTTTGCCGCGCGGGAGAAGCTCGGACGCGCCGATCGACGACACGGCATGTATGTAATATATCTCCGAGTCTCTCACGCAGCGGGCCGCGCAACACTGCACCGACCCACACACACGCACACACACACAGTGGCTCTATTTTTCGCAATTATTACACGCAATATCGGCACTGATACGTTGTAATATGTACCGCGAATCGTACGAGTGAAGTTCGCGTTCGTTTGTCCCGCTCGCGGAAATATATCGTGCGCGCGTGAGTGTCTTTCCGGTGGTGCTGCTGTGCGTCGTCAGAATTTTTTTCCAGCGCTACGAAGACTCTGAATTCTCGAGCTGTCGATGGGCAACTTTTTTAACGATCTCAAGACAGGCAACATGGTATTACTTATCGTAAATCACTGCTGATTGATTTGCGCTCTCTATACAAAAATATAACATCATTCTCAATTTATCGTAATTTTATGTGACATAAACTTTGGATAATCGAATAGCAGTCATTCGAACAATCGACTCACGCTGCATGCACGAGTGACTGTGGCGCATTTAAAATCAAGTCTCATATGTAATATATTTTTAACTGCACTCTCGAGGCTCGATATCACGCCAGCCTCGGGTACGAGCTCAATTCGTTCGTGGAATTTTCTTAAATTCAAACGAGAATCGCAATTACACAGTTCTCGAGTGCCGACGAGTTACAACGAAAGTACACACACACACACACACACATACATATAGTATATAAGGGCAGGACGGCGCGAGGAGGGGGGAAAAATAAACACGAAAGCTCCTTTCATCGACTTTAATGCTTTGAGCTATTATAATGCTTACACCGATTGCACGTAAACGTAGTGTACGCACACGCATACATACACTTACACGACTCGGGCAGGAGAGAACTTGCACGCGTCGCTGGGTGCTCGCTAATGTTACACCATTGTTGACTTTCTTCCCCCAGCCTTTCCTTTCTTTTTTAATGATACTTGAGACTGAATTCGTTCGAGAATTTCATTGCTCTTGGCTATTTACTTAAATTGATTAAGGTTCTCTTTTTTTTCTCGCTATAACGAGCTTAATAATATGTTTAGTTTTGCTCGGACAAGTGCCTTTGAAAGTAGGTGCATAATTTTGAATAAATCAAGATCCTTATGATTAATTTGTTGACAAAAAAAACAAATCTTTAACAATTTTAATAGTACGCTTGGAAAAGCTGTTGAGTTTTTTTCGACTGGGGTATAAGTCTTTTCGGAAGATTTTATTACCAATAAATATTCGCTACAAGTGATTATTTCAATTATTTAAGTTAAAAACGGTATTACATAATGAGAATAAAATAAAAAGATGCGTGATTTTGACAATTGAAATTTCGTAAATTACTAAACGTTCGAAGAATAATTTAAATAAAGTATTTTTTTTAATCAATAACTTGGCACGAGCAAAAAAAATAATTTTCATGAACAAGGAGTATTGTGATAAATGAAGATATGCACATTTCACAAATCCATAATTCTGTGAATTTTATCGACTGGCTATAAATTGAAAATATCACCAATTCGTACTATTCTGTTTCAAAAATTAATTTGCTAAATAAAGTCACGTTTTAAAACGATTCAGTTTTCATAAACGTAAGTAAGTCGCGAAACAAAGCTTGCGAACGTGGATATTCAGGTCACTCGTTTCGTTTAAACGTGTTTTTACATATATCGCCTATATGTGTTATACCATTATGCTTCTCATTGATGTGGACCTTGAGATACTTTTTCATTGAAAATATCTTTCCTCAAATATCACACATGTAAGTAATTCCATTATGAACTAATTGAACGTGGCTATTCAGACTATGCTTCTGTTTAAACGTCTTTTTACATACATCACACGCATGTCTGACACCGTTGTGCACTGCATCGATGTGAGTTTTGAGAGTACGTCTTTGTGAAAATGCCATGCCATTATGCACTGAATCAATGTGGACCTTGACATACCTCTTCGTTGAAAATTTCTTTTCGCAAATATCACATGTATAATTGATACTATTAACAACTGATTGAACGTGCCTACTCAGATTACGTTTCTGTTTAAACGTCTTTTGACATATACCGCAAGTATAAGTTATACCACTATGCAAAGTATCAATGTGAATTTTCAAATTAGATTTTTGGGAAAAATTTATTTTCGCATATATCACATGCATGTGTGATATGCATGTGCACTCCATCAATATGGTCCTTGAGATAATGCTTCGTTGAAAATTTCTTTCCGCAAAAATTACACGTGTAAGTGATTCCATTTTGAACTGATTGAACGTGGCTATTCAGACTATGCTTCTGTTTAAACGTCTTTTGACATATATCGCAATTGAGTATGTCTTATACCACTATGCAAAGTATAAATGTGAGTTTTCAAATTACATTTTTGGGAAAATTTATTTCCGCATATATCACATGCATGTGTGACACCCATGTGCGCCACATCATTGTGAACCTTAAGATACTTCTTCGTTGAAAATTTCTTGCCGCATATATCACATGCATGTGTGACACCCATGTGCGCCACATCATTGTGAACCTTAAGATACTTCTTCGTTGAAAATTTCTTGCCGCATATATCACATGCGTGAGTGATAACATTATGAACTGATTGAACGTGTGTATTCAGTTCATACTTTCGTTTAAACGTCTTGCCACAAATATCACATGCATGTGTGACATCCATGTGCATCGCATTAATGTGGACCTTGAGATAACCCTTTGATGAAAATTTCTTTTCGCAAATACCACATGCATGAGCGTCACCATTGTGCATTGAATTGATGTGGACCTTGAGATACTTCTCCGTTGAAACTTTCTTTCCGCAAATATCACACGTGTAAGTGATTCCATTATGAACTGATTGAACGTGGCTATTCAGATCATACTTCCGTTTAAACGTCTTTTTACATACATCACACGCATGTCTGACACCGTTGTGCACTGCATCGATGTGGACTTTGAGACTATGCTTTGCTGTGAATTTTTTCCCGCAAATATCACATGCATGTGTGACATCCATGTGCACCGTATTAATGTGGACCTTGAGATACCTCTTCGTTGAAACTTTCTTTCCGCAAATATCACATGCATGAGTGATACCATTATGCACTGAATCAATGTGAATTTTGAGAGTACCTCGTTGTGAAAATTTCTTTCCGCAAATATCACATGTATGAGTGATACCATTATGAACTGATTGAACGTGGCTATTCAGATCATACTTCCGTTTAAACGTCTTTTTACATACATCGCATTCATACGTTGTAACACTATGCACCGTACCAATTTGTGATTTGAGGTTATGTTTGTTGTTGAAATCTATTGTAATTCCCTTATTTTTATTTTGTTCGACAAATTCATGGTCGAAATTCAAATTCGATTCCTCTGCAGCGTCATTAACAACTTCTTGTTTCACTTCACCCACAGGTTTTGTTTTGATTATGTTTTGAATTTTATAATAATCGCTATTTTTTACAATATGCAAGGGATTTGAAGAACCATCCTCGATTTTTACTACTGATAATGAATTAATGTCGGGCTTGACATCTGCACATTCAACAACTATTTCCACTTCATGATAAAATTCATTTTTATGGTTCAATTTACATTTTTGAACGGTATAAGTCTGTTGAAAAATCAAAGCTGCTTGTAAACTTCCATAAAAAAGTAACTATAATATAAGGAACATACAAATATCATCACTTACCGAATTTTCTCGCGGACATGGTAAGAGTTGGAAGTTTTTAAGATCAAGTTTCTCGTCAGCCATTTCACAATCATTTTCAATAAGCAACTTATCATTGAGTTCCTCTTTTACTCTGAAATAACTCCAAAGAGATCAATCGTCATTTCAATAATTTCATTTTTGAAAAACTGAAAATTACCTGATAGCAAAATTAAAGGAATCACTTGATTCCATTTTTCTCACTCTGATTTTCCCTGACAATGAATATTTTTATGATGATTTTACACATTAATCTCTGAAGCAGTGGCAAGGAGAGCTGTCTGGTGCTCGATATATTTTGAAAAACTGTCTATACGAAGAGCGTTTAAGGTTAGGACGCGACTAACTCCGCAGTCGGTTCTTATAACGTATAGCAATGGCATGTGCGGTAAAACACCGTGTCCTTGTGACCGGGCCAACGCATTGAGATCGTGTGTAATACATGCTACGCAAAACGTAAACAATAGAACTAACACAGCTCATCAGTATTTCCATGTATAGCTCAAATTTAATATAAAACTCACGCCCTGCGTTCGAAAGTTGTGTTACACGGAGAAATATGTACACCAGTTAACGCGATGCACACCAGCACCCGAAAATATGATGCGCCATCTACTCATAAAAGAGCGCCACTACATCAGAAAAAGCGGTGAGCGCCTCACGTAAATCGATGCCGCTGCTCTGCGTTTCTCGACGCGTCCATGCTTTGCGTTTTAGCGGGCGTGCATCGCCTTTTTCGATGCACGTAGCTCGTACTACGATCAATTTATCGACATCGACAAAATATTCCTTACTTATAATTTACATCGAAATGAAGAAAATCTATTCAGGAGTATTGCGTAAGAATGTCATGTTGAGGAAACCGTGGACTCAAAAATGCCGAGCGCGAATGTGCCGAAAAACGTGGTTTTGTGGCCGCGCGCGGATAAGACGGGTACGACGATCATTCAGAAGACTCGCACGACGTACAGTTGTGAGGTGCGCACGCCGAAGCTTGTTTATATTTTGATGTTGCACCGCGATTTCCGATGCACGCACGTGAATACGCCGCCCTGAACGCTTCACAATACGTGAAGCATACCCGCATCGTGTTTCGACGTGCTCGCCTTAAAACTTAACGCGCGCGCCCGCCCTCTCGCGTCGCCGCATCTTGTTTTGTAGTGAGAATATTTCTCCGTGTATGAAATTTCAAAGTTATCAATATGAACGAAACAAAACTATATCATTATAATCATATTATTGAAGAAATTACATTATGTATATTGTGTCAATAAATAGTAAACATATTTCTATCAATGATCAATGATATATTATTACGGAAAAATGAGAAATTAAAAAATGATTCTATGGTGCGTAAAGCGTACCGAGGAAGAGCTAGTTTGAATAAAAAGATCAAGTACTAAATTGCCTAAAATTCGTTTTGTGTCTCTCAGAATAAAAATTGCATGCAAATTTTACTAAAAAAAATCGTTTCATGAAATAAAACTTCTCGAATTTTAATAAATTAATTTCTTATAGGGAATAACGAAGATGAGCGGAGAAAAGCGTCTGGCGACGCTACTCCTTATCATTCAAATATGTGTCATCGTACTGACGGGTGTCCTCGTGACGTATGGACCGGACACGCGGCCCGACTCGTCAAGGAGTCGCTCAGGTAAATGTCTTCACTCGCACATACACATACATCCTGTAGACTGTGTACATCTGCATCCCCTCGCGTCAGTCAAAAACGTATCGCATAGATGTTTATATAGCATCGGAACATATGAAACGATATATCGCATAATTTGTGTTATGCATATTGCTCGTTTACACTCTATCAACTTCGGAAGCTTTGAAAATTATCGAAACTACTATTTATGTACAGCGTCATAAGTGATATTCTTTCCTCCGGGCGTGTATGCGTAGGCAAGTGCGCACTGATGTAAATGCATTAATCGTTCAACAGGCGTAATTTACTACGTGCGCGTGCCAAGTAATAAACAGTGCATTGTCATCGTCGCTTTTACACCTGAAACGTTTGATTAACTTTTACCCGTGAAATCGTTATGCACGGACGATAATTTACGAGCTGTTTTATACGCGGCGATTCGAAATATCGAAGGATCCCGCAGAACTGTGGGCTAATATTATTATGTTCGTTTCGCGGATCGATCATTATCATTGCACAAGCATACAATTTATCAATTTGTCGATAATATGTGGCTTTATATGAATTCAATGTAATTTTGTTGATTTTTCAGCAATGCCGTATTACGTACCACCAACGGAGAAGCCGGAAACCGATCCGACGTCTATTTATCCGAGTAAGTGCGAATATGAAAATAGGCCACTACTGTCTCTGCGGGCTTTTGTGCGGGATGGACAAGCGCAGCTTACAATGTCATCGTGAACGATTTTGATGCAAATGTCCCGACCAATATATTATTATTATTATACGTAGATTTTGATCAGTTCAAGAAAAACTGAAACACTGATGCTTTTCTCAGACCACTTGAGTTTCTTGTACTTAGATATTTCAAAAAGTCGAGCAGTACGTAAATGTTGCAGTTGCAATGACTATCACGCTATAAATAAAACAAGAGAAAAGATTCAACGAAAAAATGAACGCTTACGAGCTCACGGTTTTTGCCGTCAGCGTGATTTTTCTCGAGAGTTTTATAATTTGCGCCTTTCTTGGCTTTTTCGATAACGCTAACAAGCCCCGAGAAGACGCTACTCGTGATTCGAGTGTTCAATTCGACTCGACAGCGCAGCGTAAGTTTTACATCAGACGAAAATTATTTTCCATTTTTATTGTAGAAACTAAAATACTTTTTTTTCAAAGACTGAAAATTAAGTTACCCTTGATAGTTATAAGAACCTAGCCACATATGTAAATTTTGATTTTAATTCTCTAAAGTATTACAAAATATTTAATCAGTAAAACTCCATGAGTTTTTTAACGATTATAAAAATATTTATATAGTTCTTTCGATATGCAACAAATTGTTAAGTTCTATTTTCGAAAGTTAATTATAAAAAATATGTTTTAACATGGCATGAGAAGTTTAAATTTATGTAACATGTAATGATTTTTTCCAGAACACATTTACAACTCGAAAAAATCGTAAAGTGTTAAAATCGCATGTACTGCTGGCGTTTTTCAGCATGCGATCATAATGAAAATAGCATAATAATTACAGGTTCCGTGAAGATAATGTAACTAATAGTTTTTTCAATAATTGAAACAAAAATTTCCGATTTTCATGTATTATAAAAGAAAAGCAGTTCGTCGCGGAAAACCAATTTTTTCATTATGAAGTCATTAAGAATCGAAATTACTATACCACTGCCTGCCTCAATATTTTTACAAAATATATGATACAATACTTTGCTCGTGTTACACACACCCATTCACACATACACACCGACTTTTGTCGAGAATTGATTCTACTACACAATCGTAAAAAATAATTATGCTACGAGGTTTAGTTAAAAAATTTGTTTTCGAGCCTATTACAGAGCTTCCTCTTAGAGGAAGTAAAATATTAATTTTGAATTATGACAAAAAATGATTTTTCAAAAACGACACACTATGAACTAAAAGTTCATTTACTCAAATTAATTTTGAAAAAAAAGTTAAAAGGCTGAATTCATGAAATTTAACATGAATTAATGTAAAAAAAGGAGTGCTTGAATATCTGCAATCATCGTATGTACAGTTTCTAAAGCATCTGTTGGTACACATTGACGGTAGCTCAGGGGACTGCATGGTCGCCTGATGCTATCCTTATGCACCCGGTTAGTCTCGGGTTCGAGTCCAATTGCGGGCAGAATTTTTTTGTATTTGTATTGTGAAATTTGACAATAATATTGTTTTCAAAAACTTGCTGTAAAAGAATTTCTTAAAATCATTAAAAATTTAATCAGAAATATTAAAATTTTATTTTAAAACAAAAGCAGACAAATAGATTCTATCAAAACGCTAGGTTCGAAAATCTTACTCGCTTAAACTCATTGCAAAAAGACAGTTGAAATGTAAGACTGGTAAAAATTAATATTAATCTATGAAAATAATTAATTTCTGAAACCTGTAATCGTCATTAGTATAATTTCCAAGGCTTTTGTAGGTACACAATATCATTAAATCATAATGATGCACGGTCGCCTGATCTACACCTTTATTACTCGTACGGTATCAGCTTCCAACACGAACTCGCATATTTTTGGATCAATTCTCAAATTATAATGAATGCAAATTTGTCGAAACTTTCCGGAAGCTTAACTAATAAAAAATAAAAAATTGTTACTTTCCAATTACCGTTGTTACAAATGTTACCGAACGTTAGAAATGATCGATGGTAACAGCTGATCAACATTTTGTGCGCCAACTATTTTTATTAGTTAATAAAAAAATAGATGATCCATCTTTAATCAATACATATTTCTTCTTTGCCACCCAGTGTATCAAGACGTCCACGTAATGATATTCATCGGTTTCGGTTTTCTCATGACGTTCTTGCGCCGTTACGGGCAAAGCGCCATCGGCCTGACGTTTCTCCTGGGTGCTATACTCGTCCAAGTGGCCATACTCTGCGACGGCATCTTCAAAATCGGCGACAACGGCAAGGCTCCGCTCTCCCTCGATTCGTGAGTATTCATAAGATGTACTATTTATCGCGGATCAAAAGGCGTGCTAGCGCACCTGGTTGGTCATACGCAGTTGGTAATGTGCTTCTTTTCTAATGCACAATAACTGCTCTGACTGGGCTTTAGGCTGCTGAACGCGGACGTGGCGGTGGCCGCTCCTCTCATATCCATGGGAGCTTTGCTGGGTAAAACGACCTACATGCAACTCATCGTCATGGGAATTATCGAGCTCGTCGTTTACACCTTGAACAAGTACATCGGAGAGCAACATTTGTTGGTGTGCTATTTTTAAATACTTCTATTAATTATAATGTAACACGAACTTGAAAAAATCGGTCGGTAGATCGGCATAAATACATACTTGTGTGTTTCGATCGTTTCGTCAGGTTGTAGACGACGGCGGCAGTATATTCGTCCACGCGTTCGGGGCCTACTTCGGTCTGGCGGTGAGCTTCGTATTTGGCCTAAGAGACAAGCCCAAGTCACAGGCGCACGAGCTCGAGGGATCGTCCTACCAGTCCGACATATTCGCCATGATCGGTATGTAATAACAAAATGTTGAGTGTCACGATTACACGAGATTTTCGAGATTATGTGAAGGAAATTTTTTTGTACATAGGTACGATATTTTTGTGGCTCTTCTGGCCTTCATTTAATAGCGCTACCCTCCATGGGGACGAGCAGCGCCGCGCGATCGTCAATACGCTACTGTCGATCGCAGCGAGCTGCGTCATCTCGTTCGCCGTGTCAGCCCTCGTCTCGAAGCGCAACAAGTTCGACATGGTCCACGTACAGAACTCGACGCTGGCCGGTGGCGTGGCCATTGGCACGGCAGCAGGTATATCATCATTCATTTATAACTAATAACTTTTATTTATTAATTTGAATATCGTACAAGGCTAGCAGTTCGAAAAATTTTTAACCTTTTTTCTCATCAATTTGATAAAAATGATGTAATTTTCATTGAATGTATTTATACGTATCTTAATGATTAACGTGCCAATCTCAATATCGACTCAAGAGTAAAACTTTTTTTTATCAACAAACCGAGCTTTTAAGTATTTAGACTCAGAATTTCGAGTTAGTGTGCTAAGATACTGCAATTGCCGCGAATCTTCAGTACGTAATTTTATTTCACATAATTACACTTCTCAATTTCTAAAAAAAAAACAATTAAAATCATTTTGTTACTTGATTCTATTTTTTTGCAGAACAATTGCTGTTTTTCTATCATTTTAATTCAACTATCATGCGGACGCGATCTCTTCTTATGTTAGCAATTCGAAACTCAACAATAATTTGAGTTTATATATAGAAAAGTTAAGCTCGATCGTACTTATAACTGCTGTAAAAAACCTTTTTTTTTAATCACGTCATTTTACAAGTTTTCTTTATTATGAATTGATGTATTTGTCCGTCAGTGTTGCTTTGTTTTGTGCAAATAACTTTTCTGAACACGGAAGAAGCATACTTAGTGTGTGAAAAAAAAAATGGAACTCGATCGATGAACGATCATTTTTACAAGTTAAAACTCGAGGCGATATTATTCGATATTGGTTGAACAGCTTTGCAAATTGCACTCCGCACGCCGCAGTTTACCAGCGGCGCTGCAGTGCCATCGTTTCGGATTTCGCATTGCAAGCCAAATTTTGTACTTCATGACTCATGTAAGTTAAATCCACTCAGTCTCAAGTCGGTGTACTATCAGTGATAGACGATTGTGACGGTTGTAAGTTGTGTTGACAAAGGAACTATTGATGAATATACGAATACGTTTTCGTCATGAAGGAAAAAAATTCTATCCAACAGGAGTTGATCAGATGTACATACAGTGTGTCATACCAGTAATCAACGCAGAAAAGCAATTGAAAATCGCGAGTCTGCAAAGAAATCAAAAAAATAACAATGTTCATGACAAAAGTGAAAATGATCTTCATGACTGGACAAAGTTATGAGTTCTTCCATAAGTTATTGGGAATAAAGAAAAGGACCCGATCCGTCGCCAAGATTCTCGATGAAGCCGCAAATGACAGTGATTTCATTAAGTTAGCCATCAATAATCGTGATTTTGAAATGATCAAAGAAATTCTCGATCACCTCCTCGAGGCTGAAGTGAACATCGTCAACGTACGCGATCGTCAAGGCCTTACAGCAATTCATCGTGCAGCGCACGATTTCGATCGCGAAACTCTCGAATTTCTCCTCGATTACTGCGACGACGTCAATCAAGACGATGGAAAAGGATTTACGCACTTCCACGCAGCTTGCATGGCTGGACATGATAAGGCGGTGCAGAAGTATATAGATCAAGGCGTTGATGTGAATCTTGAGTGTGATTGTAAATTTGGACATTGCACTCCGTTGGACCTGGCTGTTATCTGTTGTCGAGTCAACATAGTTCAGAAACTTTTGGAACACGGCGCTGACTCGAATGTCGACGCCGAACGCAAAGAATCAACGCTAACTTACTTATTTAAAAGTGTTGGTACACCGGATCGTCCCAGACTGGAAATTCTACAGCTTCTTCTTCAATACAATTGCGACATCAATGTCAAAAACTGCGAGAATGCTAGTGCATTGCACCTGGTATTCTATTCAAGCGATCTTCTGTGGCTAAATTATCCTGAGCGCTATAAAAATTTTCCCTTCGGAACATGCGCTGAGATGATCGAGTTGTTATTGAAAAATGGGGCTAACGTGAACGCAAAAGATATTATGGGTAATTCACCCTTGCAACTTGCTATAAATAGTTTGAATTACGATGCAGTGTATACATTTGTACAGAATGGTGCCGATTTGGGTGACATAAACTTCGACTTTTTTGAAGATATTTTTGGCCGACAGAATAAAACGCCTTTTTTACCTTATTTTGAAATGGCGCAAAACCTCCTAGGCATAATTGACCTTTTCAATAGTAAGAAATTTACAATTAATGCATCTATGCATCTTAAAGTGCTGGATTTGCTCATAACTAGCGATGCTGATATCTACTCAGCGTTGACTATCTCAAGATGGCATGAATTATATTGTTGTCCAAAAGGTTTTTTACAAGTTAAAAATTTGATCCAGTATGAAGACGTCCAAACTGAGACTGGCATTAAAAAGAATATGATAAATCTTCAATCATATGATTTGTCTCATTGGATAATATTGGAATATATTGATATTCACCTTACAGCTGTTCATTTTGGTAATATGTACATGCACACAGGAATGCATGAATTTCTTCTACAAACTTTGAAACAAACTTGTTTCAGAGACAATCTTTACAGTCAATGGGAAGAAATCGTTGAAGAGATAAATAGTGCAAGAACAACAATGATAAGTGATCGCATATCACTTCTAGATATTTGCACATCTGCATCTGAAAAGATGTATAAACTTATAGGAAATTTGAACTACTCATCAGTAATAAATTCATCAGATTTCAAGAAAAAATTTCCTTACATAGGAGAAATTATAAAAGGATATATAACCAAAAGTTTAATTAAAAGATACATCAAACTTACAGCTGTAGAATGTTTGCAACAATTGTCGCTCCATTGCCAGGTACAATTACCAGATCTCTGTTGTGAAATTATCGTCAAAAATTTAGACAAACATGATATAATGTACTTATGTTCTGCAATCGCTTAAAATATATATTTTTTGTCACTACTTTATGCTGCTGTGATCAAAAAACCTTATTGGTGTTGCATAATGATAATAAAAAAGTGAATTAAAAATTGTTATAGCACCTTAATAGTCAGTTTTCATGAAATGAGTTAAGAATTTTGCGTTTGTGTACTTATAAATTTTATTTATGTTGGAATTTAATTTGTTATTTAACTAATGTAACACATTAAAATATTTAATCAAATTATATTATTGTATTTAATTAATTTAGTTTAATTAATTTAATTAATGTTTCTCAGCTTCTTGTTGTAATATTATCCAAGAGAGAAAGGACTTGGTCATATTCAAACCAAAAAGCTTCATAATTTTATTTTAGAACATATAAATTGAGTATATGTTTAATGTAATCAACAGGTATGATGTGCCAACCGGTGGGAGCTCTTACAATTGGAGCCATTTCTGGAGTAATCAGTGTCCTTGGCTACAAACATCTCACGGTAAATAATAATTTTATACAAAATCAAGACCAAGATGCAACGAATTTTATCAATATTATTAACTTGAAAAAATTAACGTTTAATTACTGTCCTTGTGCGCAGCCGTGGATGCAAAACCGATTGCGAATCCACGACACATGTGGAGTTCACAATTTGCACGGCATGCCGGCTGTACTTGCCGGTTTATTCGGGGCTTTACTCGCCGGTTTGGCTACAGAGGCAGATTACAACTACGCTCTATACGAGGTGAAGCGACAATCATTAAATTTATGCACTTCTTAAGATCAAAGCGACTTTTGAATTTCCTTCTGCAGATATTTCCAGCACGAATACCGAGCTTGGGACAGAATCTTACGGAAATCAATAACAGCTATCAATTATCCTTGCGACCCGGTCCGAATCGTACGGCGGGCATGCAAGCTTCTTATCAATTACTCGCGTTAGCCGTGACCCTCGTCGTCGCCATTGTTTCCGGATTAGTTACCGGTAAGTTTTGAAACAACGATTTCGAACGAGATACTTGTTATCAATGGATTAAACAAATACCAACATAGCTTTTCCATACTCAAAGATAATGTCTACAGCTGATATGTGTGATTAATTTTTTTTCTATAGGATTGATATTACGCTTGCCATTGTGTGGCAGCCTGACGGAAGAGCAAAAGTTCAACGACAGCGTGAACTGGGAAATTGAGTCGGAAGATGAAGTTCAAAAAATTTCCAACGCTAACAAGGACGAAAACTCTCAATCAGCTGAAGTAGCTATGGGTCACATCTAATCCAATATACTATTAATTGTGCGCCACGAGATAACTCGGTTCATAAAAATCACGATCGTTGCGAATATTTGTTAAGGTTTTAATGTAATATCTGATTATGAACTAGATAACAAAAAAAAATCAAATTACCTAATTCAAGATTGTACAGTATTTAAAAATGATTTTGTATAATGAACTATACAGAGTAATCAAAAATTGTAGTATTTATAAATTTTATTATTTTATATAAATTCTCTATTAGCTCTTTACGATTTGTACAATAAATATAATAATTTAAGAAATAACACTGCTTTATGATTGGAATCAAACCAAAGGCTATTTTGAGCACTTAAATTTAATAAATATTTCTGTAAATGTATAAAGCCTCAGCCCATTACCACATACCATGTTATTGCCATCAAAACAGTTTACAAGATATAAATTACAACATGTATAATAATGGTAACACGATCTATCAAGTAATATCAAAATCCCTTGGGAAATAAGATTCTTTTTTTTTAAACCAAAATTGCATTAGGAGAATTCATAGTAACAACTCAAATATGCTTTATTCATTGTCAATATAACATTATAATTAAACATGCATCTATGAATACAATATTATTATATTTGAGTATAAAAATTTGATGAAGACATACACAAATAATCAACTGCTAACATTTGCAGTTTTTTCTCACAATGCATCACCAATTTATATAAATACTTATCTAAGTATGCATGATAAACATCATTAAAAAATTTAACAATAATAATTGTTCAGTGTTTCAAAATTACGGAAGGACATTTCAAAAACATATTTAAGTTAATTATTTCTTATAATAAAAGCTTTTTTTGCTGAAAAATATTTGACTTATTTGAAAAAAAAAAAACACAGAGAAAAACACAATAAAAATTTTTTACATTTATAACATAATTCAACTTCTAATTTTAAGAGTCAACAGAAAAGAACTTTTTTGTAAAAATTGTACATTTGATACACTCAACATTCATTGCAAATACAAAGGTTATCGATAGAAATTGGAATCAAAACGAAACAATTTTTCGTCTTTCACCTACGGTTGATTTTTTCAAATATATTATAAGTAATAGAATAATATTTGAAGCACAAAACTGATGTGAAATTTAATGGTCAAATCCCATTGTAAAGTTGAATGTAGAAGTATTATAGAACAATAGCCAATATTATAAAGTGTTCATTATTTATAATCAGGTGGTCATATAGTTAATTTTGTATATGTTGCACTAGCTCAAAAATATAATGACTTTTGCAAATAAAATGTCCTTTATTTTTTATATGAAAGAAAAGTGTACCAATAAAAGTATTTCAATTTAAAACATCAAAGATAAGTGGCCTGGCACATCTGATTTAAGTGAATTGCCATTGCTTAAAAATTTTGAGCTGTGTCTGTCATCATATGCAAACAAGCTAGCAAACATAAAAGAATTAATTAATATTTTCTATTTCATCAGAGCATGTACCACAGCCTTTGCATTGAGGGACTTCAAATCCGTGTAAGTCTGGCCAGTTCCAACGAATACAATTGGTTGACCGGTGATATAAGTCATTGAAATTGCTGCTCCAACCTGCAAAAAAAATTTTTTAACATTCTGAATATTTTTTATTTATAAGATTGAAACGAAATTTGTGCGTCTCGGATTAATTGGATGTGCGGTCAATCGTTAATACGGCGATAACTGTAATTTTTTTTTTACAAACTCTAACTATAAATGATCGTAAAAAAAATAAAAAACAATTTTATCGGGTTTAAATAAAAAATTGCAATGAAAATATATTTCTATATGCAAACCTAATGCTTCTGATAGTGATGATTACATTTCGTTAATAAGTTAAGTACGCAATATTTGACGGAATTACGGTCATGAACTGTCGCAGAGCTTCGAACTCGTAATTTTTCATGTTTATTTTTGTCCGATACTTAAGTATGCTAAAACTCAAGTTTGACACTGAATACCAAGAAATAACTGCGCGGAAGCAGATGGATTCGATTTTGTTTGCTTTAGTCGGCATTAGGTCTTAAAAAGAACCAGTATTCTCGATCGTTTTTGGATTAATCGGAGGTAGGTTTTCTAATGAAAATGGCTAACTTGGAATCTTTAAATCTAGTTTATGTCTATTTAAAAAACTGATATGTGACCATGCTAATTAAAAAGATCAATTGATGAGCTAATATTCAAATTGAAAAGATTCAAATTCTTTCATTCTTATTAGGTTATGTGTAATTTTCAAAAAAAAATTTGTAAAAACCAACAACTTCTGTTGACTCTCAGAATAAAAGGCCATATTAAAAAAGAGTAATAGATTTTATTTTTAAAATAAATGTTTCAGATTATTTTTCAACATGCCTAAACATCCAGCAATAAAAGCTCCTACTCCAGCTCATAGTTCATCAAAACAAAAAATGAAACCTAATTTATCAAAACTGGTAAACACAGCAAATAAAATGACATCGCAGAAAAAATTTCATAAAAATCTTCGTGTCATATTAAAGGGTATGTTGTTTGGTGACCTCAGACCTATTTCAACAGATCCAGAACTTGATCCACCTGCAGATGCTTGCCACATTTGCTGGCAATCAGGACACACCAGAATGACTTGTAAACATCCGATAAAAGGAATTTTTTGCAATAATTGTGGTAGAAAAGGTATTGCAATCGATGATTGCCCAAGATGTGGCCAAAAATACCAAGAGTACCAAAATAAACTTAAAGAATCAAGAATAATTGAATATGGAATAAGCATGCCTAATCGTTCTAACTTTTACCCCAAAGAACCAAAATCTCTTCTAGATAATAAACTCATACAATGGGCTTCTAATGATAAATCTCGAGTATCTTTAAAAAATCAGCTTCAAAGATCTTGGAATAAATCCAATGAAGTTGTATCATTACCATTGATTAGACAAGCTGAGTGGATAACAGAAAATTGGACTGAACCATCAAAAGAAGATTTTAGTTCATTTAGAGTAAATCAAACAAAGCCAGTAGCAACGATTCGTGAAAGTAAAAATAATGATTGGAAACATGAAGATAATCACAATAATAAATGGTTGATTAGTAATGCAAGCAATGGTAGCAGACTACAAGTTGGTAAAAAACAAGTATGTTTTGATAATAGGCCTCGATCTCCATTGCCAATAAAATCTAAGCAAGGAAATGGTACTAGTGTATGGGATCGAATTGAGAAATATCCCAACAAGGAAGAATTAAAAAAAAATATTCATGATCAATATGACCATAATTTTATGTACAACAAATCAGATGAACAGTATACATGTGATGATTATAGCGGAGATAGTGAGTTCTTTAGATCATCTCATGATCAAATTAATGCGTATTCCAATCAAAAAAATATTGAAGATCAAAAACATTTTGTAAGAAATGACAGAGGTGATAGATACAAAAATACTCTAAACACACTCTCACATAGTGATGTTAGAATTAGTAATCATAGAAGCAGTGAAAATGATACTGACAGAGCTGAAAAAAAAATTGCTTCAGGCTCAGTATCTGGTATTAATGAAAGCAGATTAAATGATGCTTTAAAACTTGCAGAAAGTTTAAAACATTTGCCTATTGAAACTCAAAATGCTGTTTGGAGAGCAGTATTTCCTGTTACAGATTAATGCAAAAGTTCAAAGAAATTCTATGTATATAGAATTCACCTTCAATAAGTTATTATCTAGTATATAAAATTATAATCATTATAATAATTTAATTTATTCTTTTCAATTATTTATGTTTATTTTTTTTTTTTTTTCAATGTATATTTAGTAGAAACTTTTTGAGATTACCAGTAAATCACCAAATTGTTATGATTATTATTTGGTTCTAAAATTAGCATGACGAATATTTGCTAAACATTTATGATTCAATATTAAAAACCTTTAGATTATTTTTGCATTTTTTGTAACTATTTTTTTATGATGAAATTTTTTGTATAGTTCCAATAAATACTTGGTTAAAAGAGTTTTTGTATCTGTTTTTTTTTTTGTTTCATTCTTAATAAAAAATTAAGATGTTATTTAGATGGTATTTAAGGAAAATTACGTAGAATGAGTTTAAAAAGTAAAGGAAAATACACATGTATATCAATGGACTTTATACATACCTTATCATCAATAGTATCAAACTTGGTAAGAACAATTCCATCAATCATATGAGGATTAGTTGAACTGGAATAATCAGCGAGAGCTTGATTGAATTTGACAAGTTGATCAACGGCTTCATTGCCTACAAGAGCTTCACCAACAAAAAGAACGAGATCGGGCTCATTAACCTTGATGAGCTTGGTCAAAGCTCGCATAAGTGGCTCGTTGTCCTGCATACGGCCAGCGGTATCGACCAATACTACATCGAATTTCGAATCTGAAGCATATCGAATCGCCTCCATCGCTATACCAGCAGCGTCTTTACCATATCCTACAACAGAATAATTCGAATAAAATTTGTGAAGTATTTAAAAATTCATGTATATACGATATTGAACGGTTAATAGTTATACCTTTCTCATAAAGTTGAACCATTGTAACACCATTGTGCTTGGAAGGAGGATGAAGAGCATTTAAATGTTTCATGTGAGTCCTCAGTTGCTCAACAGCTCCTGCTCTGAATGTATCACAAGCCGCTATTAGCACTCTAAAGTTGTTCTCGATTAGCCAGAAGCAAATTTTAGCCAGATTAGTAGATTTTCCTACGCCATTGACACCGCAAAAGGCCATCACGTACGGTTTGCCGTTCTTTTTGGCTTCGTGCGCGTCTCTCAAAATATCAACTCTTCGCGTAGGTGATAAAATTTGTACGAGTGCGTCGGTCAACGAAGCTTTGATAGTGTTGGCTACGCTGTCGAACGTACCGAGAACTTTGCCCTCGAGCTTTGAGTAAACCGAGTCGCAGAGCTTTTGACATATGTCGGTGGCTACATTTTTTGAGTTCAGATGGTCCTTAAGCTTCTCGAGTACGGGGCGCATGTTTTCCTCATTGAGCTGCTTGTTTCCCACCAAACTTTTGAACATGGAAAACATCGCATTTGACTTTTTCACCTGTTTGGGTGAGTCGGGCTCTTCGCCTTCAGAATCGGACGAATCACTTTCGACTTCAAGATCTCGAATGCCACCTTGCATTTTACCAATAATCTGAAAAAGTAAATGTGACTCATTATATATCCATAATTTCTAAAACACGCTGAAAATCTGAAGTGAGAATGAAAATTTATTTCAATTTAACTTTTAGGCCATCATAGAAAAGTTATAAACTCTGATTTAAGAATTTTTCATCATTTATAACTGGTATTATTCGTTTTAAACATTTGGCGAAAAATTATCACTACAAATAATAACACTAACAATTAAAATAAATAATTATTAGAAATACTCACAGTGGTATCAGCGGCAACATATTCCGTTCCTTCTAGAGGTTTATCTTTTGTACGTTCCAGATTTGCAAGATCTTTATTATTTCCGCCAAGAGCCCATACAGTTGGCGCTTTTTCTTTCTTTTGGCTTTTTTCTTTTTTAGGCTTCGGACTTTTTCTGTAAAATTTTTTTTTTCAATTTGAGATCAACGTGAATGAAAATTAATTTTGAAATTTAATTGATACTTACTGCTTGTCAGCATTTTTCTTTGAAGACAATTTCTGAGCAAGTCTCTGACGAGCAAGTAATATATCTTCACTTATATCCCCATTTTGTACTACAGGTTTAGGTGACTTAGGAGACTCTGGTATTTTAGGCACTTCTTGAATTTTAGCTGAAAAATATTTATATATTTATTGTAAATATTTTTGAACTAAAACTTAAAAATATTTATGTTATGAGACACAAGCACTGTAAGGAAAAAAAAGGGAAAAAATTTAACTTACGTGGACCTTCAATAAATCCATTGGTCCCTTTCTTTTTTTTATCTGAAAGCAAAATTGTAGCAACAACCCATTTCCAGAAAAGCATGTTAAAAGAAATATGAAGCATGAATTAATTCTTTTTCACAGTTAGTTTTGCCTAAACTAATTAAACATTAGTCAATGTATCAAGCATTAGAAGTTATTATAAAAAAACAATGTGTGGGCTTTATACATCGGAGAATGATTGATATTAAAAAATTACTCACTTTGTTTTTTATCATCATCTTTTCTTTCTATCATACTAGCAACAGTCTTCTTGGATTTCAAACTTTCATCGAAAGTTTTCATTTGTTTAGGAATCTTAGCTTGATTTTTGCTCCATGTTTCAGCTAAAACTAAAGTTTTTTCATAGGGTATCTGGAAATCAAAGTTTGAAAACCACTGTGCTTTCTCCAATTGACTTTTATAACGATCTCTGAACTCCAAATGAATATCATTTAAAAACTTGTCAATATATGATAACTTGAGTATCTTTTGATAAGCCACCACAAAAACCAATTCAAATTCATTGTCCAACTTGTACTGTAACCGTAATGATTCATGATCATACACTTGGTTACCAGTTCTTTCCTGGAATATAAAAAACAAATTAATATTGATTAATATGTGTATGTTTAAGAAGAATTTTTGTTTTTCTACATTAATTCAGTTAAGTATTGAATTAAAAAATTTTTATTTTTCAATCAATATCCTAGCTAAATAATAATGGAACATAATAATGGAACACATACACTTGTTTGCAAACAGACACGTCTTGTATTACCATATGGTATCGACCCTGATGCTGTACAGATACCGTGATTTTTGAATAAAAAAAAAGAGTTACACTAAAATTCGTTCCCTCACCTGCAATATGACACTCTTGATAAGGGCGTTGACACTCGGTGTAAATATCTGGGCAGTGCTCTGGAAGTACCAGAGGACGATGCCGCCCTTGCTAAAAATCGTGAACAGATCGAGCATGATGACGATGACTTGGCTGCGGCACTGACAGCTTATCCACTGTGTATGTGTGTGTAGCAGTACGCTCGGCGTCCGTCCCGAAAGTAAAAGCACGACTCGCTGAAAACGAGAAAAAAAAAGAGTTCTGATTATATTCTATGCGCAATTCGCAATGTACACCTATACTACACTTATGAAATCGCACTAAAAATCCTAACCTGGCACGGGTCGCGAACTCTTGCACGCAGTCGACGGCCGCTAACTGAGTGACATAGAAGCGCGTTGCCTTATATCTTATATTTCACGTACTGACAACCTGCAGCACACGAGACTCTATCATATACGCTACCTATACGGCGAATAAGTATATAGCCGATCGCGCCGTCGCGCGACAGCTGCTTGCCCCGCAGTGGTCAACAATTGATGACGTTTGCCTTGTTATGTTATTTTCGTGTGGCCGTCGGCTGCTATTCGTAAACACTTTTGGTATACACCGTATCGTCTGCTGCTCGACTATTTCACTTACATAGTATATAGCCAATTACCTTCTCTAGCTTGCTGATACAGAAATATGCCTTCGTACTGCCGTATGGTAACTCAGATGCGTTACAGCGCGAAGGTGCAAGATAAGAGAGGTCCAACCTTGAAAAACAAATTGTGAAAGGGTGCATTACGTAAACAAGAAAGTTTTTTTTTTAAATCACGTTCGTTCGTCACGTTCGTTAAACACGTCGTTTTATTTGTGCATTAGCCTCGAGGTTTTTTTATATGCTATATCAAAATAATTCTAATCTTACATTGAGTTTTTAATGTTGTCAATTATTAGAACAAAACTTTTTTATTACTCCAATGAAATCGTAAAAATTTAATTTGAGTTTGAAAAATCCCATGAAATTGAGCACTAAGATGTCAAAGAAACTGGAGTGCTTTTTTGAAAAATATATAACGATTCGACACATAATTATAAATGTTTAACGTTTTAAAATTTTAATTAAATAATAATTTCAATTTTATTTTAGTAAGTGTCAGATTGTATTTTAAAAATGTCATTCAACTCACCAATAAGCAAATCGAATGCACTTTGGTTGAGTTTTTGGATAACAGATGTCGGTAGTTACCAGCAGGCGCTGCGCGTCAGAAACGGTCTTATTATGATTCTATCAATGTGTTTATGTGTGTGCATTTAATACGTTACCGTTCAAAAATAATCTCTCCCCACTCTCCCCTCCGGTAAAGTTGCTCGCAGCTGGCGCTTCGCGGGCTCGAATTACAGCGTTTCGTTCGCGTGTGTTGTGTTCAATCCTTCGAACCATCGCCAGCGAGATTTTTTTTTAGTTAGTACTTAATTAAACAATAAAACCCCGCCATGGGGCTCGTATTTTAAGTAAATGAAAGATAATCCGTACACGGGTGACGTTCGCAAGTGAGTTTTGGAATCGAACAGCCGTACGAGGCCCGTATGCTCGGGGTGAGTGCGCGATACAATTGACACGATGTAGGTATCATTATTGAGAGTGCCGTGAAAATTTTCAACCATAATAACCGAGAGAAAACTGTCGACTTATCGGTGCGTCGCTGCATTATTTTTCTCAGGCAGATATGTAACATGCAATTGGGAATTCAACACCTAGCCATCGAGACTGCTACGAGAACAACAATGCCACAAACCGAGAAGCCGAACACATCTTTCTTGGAAGAAGATCTTGCTCTAAGCTCTTCATGCACAGGTTAGCTTCATCTGTTTATGTTGATACGGAAATATGCTGCGATTAATTAAATGAAAAATTTCGAGACCATCGAAAATCTATGCCCGTAGCTGATGATACAGAATTGACCTTACATAATGTTCCATAAGTAACCTATACAAATGTGTAATTCTTTTGACCAACTTTTTGCTTTTCCAAAACTACATCACTTTTAATGAGCAAAAGTAATTTTCATTCTAATATTTATATTATAAAGAATAGAATTGACCGGAATAGTAGAGACTTTTCAGTATAAATTCAAAATATTTTCTGAAAAATTAATCAAACTTAGCTGCACATAGTTATTTCATTCTTGGAATAAGTTCAATACACTTTCAAACTGCAAAACTTGTAATAAAACTTATATTTTTATTAACTATACAAGCAATCTATATCATGCTTTATTTTTCTATAATACCAGTGTATCAATTAATTTAATTTACTATTGATGCATATAATTCTCCACTCACACTCCAAAAATTAAGAATTTCCTTATTGACAGAATTTTTTTACTCTTTTTATATATTTCTTACTGCCATGAGTTAAATCTAACTGCCCATGAGTTAAATTTGGAATTTCACCAAAAATTGATCATTTACTTATTCTAAAAGAATCAACCAAAAAAAATATGAAACAAATTCTATAAAACACACCTTGCTAATAAGTAGAATTGTTAAAATTAAAGGCTTTATAAGTCCTTTTTTAATTTGACGTGTTTTTTCCTTACATAATCTCTTTCACCTTCATAAAATTTTTAAATTTTAAAATAAAATAACAAAGTTCTAAATAATGGATTTTACTGTCTGCAAAAATTGTCATTATATTATTTTATTAACAGTCAGTATTTCATTAACTAACTTTGTATAAAAACATTAAAATTTTGGTCTTAATTAATTAAAAATCAAATCCAATTTTTAAAATAAGAAAAATAAAGCTGCAGTTTAACCTGACCTTGAAGAGAGTAAGCGTGTACACCGATTTCAATATTGTCAATTTAACGCTTTATCAGCAAAACTTAGTCAATCCTCAAACTCCCGCGTGAAAGTTTCGTCAAATGTTATTGATCTCGTCGAATTATCACGATTTCTGGACTTTAACAAAACAAAATTATTGTTGTGATTTTTTTAAATCGATAAATAAATAAATGCAAAATTCAATGTTCACTGTCGAGTATAGGCATGAACAGCAATTTTTTCGACTTTTACAGTTTTGGCAAGTTCTCAATATAATTTTCGATATTTAATTAAATTGCAGATAAATCCTGTTTTTGACCTTGTGTCATTAATTTTATTCTTATTTTTATAAAGAACAATGATATTTTTTAATGTTGGCAGCACCGAAAAAGTATTTTTTAATGCCGTATCTCTCCAAATTTTTTCACTATCATCTTCTCATCATCTGCTTTCTTGAAAAGTTCTTCTATGACTTTCTAAATTCATTGTTGACTTAACTGATAATAGAAGTTCCTTCATACATGCGCCGTACGTGTTAAAACTAAAGAAGACTGCAGAGCGCGCGTACTGCAGATAAAAAAAAGCGCTTGTACGTCTCGAAATTATGGTTATAGAAATAAACCGTGAGTTCTATTGTATTTAATGTTTCTATAAAAAATGTACGTAATAAAAAAAGTAACAACCAACATTCTCATTTATTCCGAAAATACTTTCTTGAATTGTTTAACATAACATTTATGCTTTTGTTTTTTGTTTAATAATCTGTAAGCATTTTGCAACGAGTATTGACGTAATCATTTGTTTATTACTGCTATTGTTTTTTAAATGGTTAGCTCTTTGAGAATTCGAAAATTTCTGCCGTATTCTAATCTTAATAGTTACGAATTAATTTTTTTTTTTCTAATTTTATTTGCAGAATCTTTTGCTGAAAAAGCAACGACTGAATCAGAAGATAAAAGCAGTCATGATGAATCGAACTCATCAATTTCCGAAAATCATGATCAACCACCTGTGATATATCTTAATGAAAATGCAATGGATTGCAACTACGAGTTAAAAGCTGAAGAGCCTCAAAATTCTAGCCTCATCAAATCACAAGAACAAAAAATAAACATTTTAAAATTAATTAATACATCAGTGATGGAAGAAGCACCTTCAAGTCCAGATCTTTTTGAAAGTGATGATGAGGAGATAGAAAGTATAGCTTCAACTTTTACTCGTACTGCTATCGAAGATCTGATAACACAGCCGAGTCCTGAAAAACTCACCACTGCTGAAAAAGTTCTTCGATCCGACAGATTTGCATTAAAGAGAATGAAAAAATTTTTAAGTGGTGTACCACCACCACCAAGTCGAACAATATCACAAAAAGATTGTAATGATTTTCTTGGATATATCAAGCAAAATAGGCACTGTTTTTGGGCTGATCCTTTTAAGCTGGATTCTAAATTCAATCCTGTCACTGAAGAATCGGTAAAATTTAAATTCTTAAGTATAATTAATTCATTTAGTAGTACACATCTGTTAAATATTGAAAATTTTTTTAGGAATTGAATGAATCAAAAAATGAAAGCATAAAATCAGTTGAAAATGAAAACTCAGTCAAAAGTGAAAACTTGAACCCAAACACAAGTGAAACATCAAACCCCATCGAAAGTGGAAATACTAGAACATCACAAAGACCTGGTCTGAGAAATTTAAGTACAGCATTTGATGCTTGTGAAAAGATGGGAAAACTGAAAACAACAAGAAGTAGTTCTGGTTCAACTTCAGATCTTTCCCAAGCGATAAATGCTTTTAATTTATCAGATTCTTTATTGAATCAATCCTATTCATCAATTTCCACTACAACTCCCAATATGAGTTATCAAAACGATGACATTGAAAAAGGTGCTATTCCAGCTACATATCATTCAATTAGTGTTGAAGAGGCTATTAAAATGTCATGGCCTGATATATTGCAGCATAAATGTCCAGAACTTTAGTAAGTAAATTTAATGATACAGCTAGATTTATTGAACAAAATTAATAAATTTTTATCGTTTACAGTTACAATCGCAGCAGAACCACAGAAGATTTTGAAAATCTAAGGTTCAAAATGAGTGATAGATATATTGGTGCAGAAACTACATCAACATGTAATATCTATTTTCCCTCAGAAGTGCCAAACAGTGCCAAAAAACGTGCTTATCTTTTGGCTAAGAAACGCCAGAGTCCTGGTAAAAGACTTAGTCATCTTGCGATACGAAGATTTACATTTTCCAGTGCTAATCTTCAAAGCATGTCTACGAAGCATGTAGAGAAAAAACTTATGGTAAACATGAGGTATGTTTCTGTATTCAAAAACTGCTATTTAAAAAATCTTTGTACAATTAAATATCAATGTAATTGTTTTTTTTTTAGTAAATTTAAACCACGTAAAACTGGAAGAACCCCCAAGAAAATTCCTGGTAAGAGTCCACGAAAAACACCGAGGAGTTCTGCGAAAAAAACTCTGTATCGAAGAATGACATTCGACACATTTTCACCAAGAGCAAAATTAGAAAGCTCGAAACGAGCACTGTTCCAAAGTCCACCACAAACTAAAGATAACAGTAGCAATAATACTCGTGCCGAACGTCCTACATCAATGGTCTCCTTGAATAATAATGATCCTAGGAAAATCAAGAAAGCACTTTTTGCCACACCAACTAAGAAAAATGGTTTGTAATGATTTGAAAATGTTGTGAAATTTGTCATAACACAGATTTGAGTAACAGTATTTTCTGCATTTGCAGTCAATGAGCTAAGTCAAAATGAATCGAGAAAAAGGAAACGAGAAGAGGACGAGGAAATTCAACGATCGAAACATCCGAGAAGTTATTCCTTTGACTGTTCTCGAACTCTCGAAAATAGTTCGTTAAGTTCTAATCGAGTGAGGCACTCCTCTGGAAATGTGCCTCAAAAAGCACATTATAGAAATGAAATGGAACTTGCGGAAATCAACAGAAAGGTGCGTATTAAAACTAGGAATTGGTTTTTTATTTTTTTACAATATTTGATTTAAATATTCTATCATACTTACAGAAACTAATATATGCTGTTACGGAAGCATTGAAAGCTCACAGCATTCCAGTCGGGCATGAGCGTTTCAAAGAATGCGCTAATGCTCTCCGTGTGATTGTGCGCAAATACATGCCGGATTTGGATAATAAAAACATACCACGCAAACCTGGTAGTACCATGGAACGTATGCTCAGACTAGCGAAGCGGCATGCTGTGTCCGTTCTCAATCCTAAGCCGAGTGCCTAGTACAATGAGTGTTTGTTATCTAATACAACTGTTGAAAGTTTAAGTACCAGTGTAATCACAAAAGTTGCTTTCATTATTAGGTGTAAATTTATTCTGATGGTCTAGTAAGAGAGACTTAAAATGTATCTGAAAAATTTAAATTTTTCATTGACACAATTACTAAAGTTATTGTATGTAAGCATGGAAACAAATTAACTTTTACTACTATTTCAAATGAAATATGAATATGATTCAAATGGAATTTATTTTTTACGACTGCCAATTTTTTAATCCCAGTATTTATTTTATAATTACTATGATAATTTTTAAAATTCTCAAACCAGTTATAAAACACAAATTTCGATTTGACAATTCATTGAATTGTCGTATTTCAATTGAGTGAATCGACGAATAACATTTGTTCCTTGTTTCCTGACAAATCGTAAACAAAATATACTGTATTCTTTAAAATTTATTATCGATATAGTAATAAATATTGAACCTTGTATGACGATGTTGTAGAGATTTTGTGAAACAATGCGTTTTTAAAATGCAGCTTTGTGTATATGATGCTAGAAAACTGATTTGATATTAATTAAAACTAACAGCATAGACATAGTAATTGAAGAGTACGAAAAAATGTATAGTTTGGACAAGCCCGAGCTTTGTTTTATTGCGATAAAATATTATATTTTACAACTTATAAATAATTATTAAAGAGGCTTATTTCAAACTAAGACGTCTTTTTCTTCTTAAAAACAATTATGCACATTATAAATATTTTATCATTACATGACGCTTATTAAAATTATAAATAAATCATATTCAGTACAAAAATAATGTTTAATCGACCCTTGCAATCATCTCGTCGATTATTTGCGTTAACTCTTTATTCTCTTTCGATTTCTGCTCAACAGTTTCTTCTAGAGATTTACTCTTCAGTTCAGCCTTTCTGACTAAGGCTTTGAGTTTCATTAAATCAGCATCATTTTTTGCTTTTATACTTGCCAGTTCCATGTTTGCTCTGAAAAAAGTATACATTATTTGCATTGATGATTTGGCTTTATATTGCAATAATTTTAAAATTCAGAAACGTACTTGTCGAGCTGCGCCACTGCATGACTTTTGAGTTGTTCGTATCTATCTTCCAAAGTTTTGATAGTTTCTTGATTTTCAGCAATGCTTTCTTTAAGAACTGCTTCGTTACTTTTGTATGCCGAAACAACACTTTTGAGTCGTTCGTATTTAGTGTGAACATCGTTAAAAGCAGCTTCTGTATTCATTAAATGTTGCTGAGCCGCTTGCAATTCTTCGGTAAGTCTTGCTTTTTCCAACTCCCACGTTGCTTTGTCTTTTTCTCTTTCGGCTACCAATCGACTAATAGATTTTTCATATTCTTCTGCTATCACTCTGTAAAAATAAAATTATTTAAAAATAATATATTTTGTTAAGATTAAGAAAAATAAAATCTTTCCAAACTCACGTCATTTGATCTTTGCTTTTAACTTCCTGCGAAAGTTGAGACTGCATTTGACCAAATTTATTTTCTAATGCATTTACTTGTTCCTCATATAGTTTTTTCTGTTTCTCTAAATCTTGATTATGTTCCCGTTTCAACTTTCCCAGTTCTTCTTCAAGCTGAATTACCGTATTTCTCACTAATTCTAATTCTTTAGCCATTTTTTCATCTACAACAGGCACAGTTTGTGTTTCAGGTTTTTCGGGTTCTTCCTAAAAATTAGACACATTTTTTAAGATTAATATAATATTAATTTAAGAGAGTTGAAATTCATAAAATCTAGAAGCGATTTTCACCTTCTTTATATCTTTTGGTGCCTCGCTATTAGTAGTGGGAGGCGAAGGACTGTAAAAAAGTAGTCTGTCAATCGCTGCTAGCGCTTTTGTTGGTGTACAACCTATATCAGGTGCCGGTACACTTTGTTTCGTCTCACTTTTAACATCTTCATTAACAGCAGTTGAGTCCACTGCATTTTTTTGAGGTAACATGCTTAATCTTTTTGACAATAATGGGTCAAACTTCAAATACAATGAGTCATATCTTTCTCCACGAGTTGATGTAGTAGATCCTACCTTATTTAAGAAATCAAACTGTGATGGATCGCTAAATACTAAATATGAAATAATTTTTTAATTAATTAGATGGCAATTATTCTAAAAAGTATATAAAAGACTCTTACTATCAGTAGTTGCAGAAACGAAATGTTCAGTCTCTTCAATAGCTTCAAAATTTTTAGGAAAATTAAGCGCACTTGGTTTAACAGGATCAATCTCGCACGGGTTTGTGAATTGTAAAGTTGTACTTTGTACCTGTGGTTTAAAAGCTTCGTATTCTTGTTCTTGTTCAGGCTCCGGTAAAGTATTAGTAGGTTTTTCTGGTAAAATTTGAGTTGCTTCAAAGTCTTTATTAGCAACAGATCTTTCGATTGTCTTATCGAAATTTTCACCCTCTTTTTCAACGTTAGTTTTCGTTTGTACAAATGTGAGAGAAGCTGGGTCCGGTGGGGGCGAGAATTCTTCAGATTTATTTAATTGTGTATTTACAATTTTTGGACTATGAATAGGCTGGGTATCAACTTCACTTTTGATAGGTAAAGAAGTAGAGGCTATAACATTAATGCTAGGAACATCTGCTGAAATCAGATCATTACCAGGCACAGGAGTGTGAAGAATTTTGTTGTTACTGGGCGAAACAATTTTAGTCGGTGTATTCAATGAAGGAATTACTCCTTTGACATTTTCTGCGTCAGCCAACTCTTCTTTTATATAAGAAGCATTGCCTTTTGAAGAATCCTCTTGATTGTTGCATAAAAGATACCCTGTTTTATCTTCATAAATATCACTCTCGCTCAAATAGTTTGAATCAACCAATACAGTTTCATAATTTGAGTTTTCTTTTTGTACAAGATCTTGAGTTAAGTTAAGATCATTTTCTTTTTGAACAAGTTCTTTAGTTACGTTGAGATTATTTTTGTCGTCGATATTATCTAAGGTTTTGTTGATGACAATATCTTTTGTTGTGTTTTGATTTTCAGCTACCTCTTCCTCCTCGTCATCGAGAATTCTCGAATGATCAAAGTTCAATACTTCTTTATCAATGAATTCAGATTCTTTTACGCCAGATGCATCAAGATTATCTTTTATATCTTCATTTGGGTTCAAAGCTGCGTGAAAACTACCGTTTTGAGCTGTCTGATACGAGTTCAAATCTGATGCTGCGCTTAAGTATTCAGTAGCTGCAGGAGCTATCTGCGAAGTTTTGTTAATTGTGAAATTAGATACTTTGGAAGCCTTGCGATGCGCGTGCAATGGGCTCACAAGGACCGTATCGTTGAATGTTTCCGAGCTAAGTTCTGAGTTACTCGAATCAGAAATGATATTTTCTGTAAACGAAAAATGTAAATTGATTTGAGAAAAATATTATTCGGCTAACGTAAAATGAAAAAATTCCAGTACTCACCAGGGCTGGAATTCGAGGGCAAAAAACCATCGGTTTTAACGAATTGCTGTCGTTTAGGTGACGCGTGAGAGTGGAAGGAGCTGTTGGCGCTTTTAAAAGCGTCGTCGTCCGGGTCAAACTTTACTGTCTTCCGAAGAGAAGAAGTGTCTTCCTGAACCGGCAGAGGTACCTTGAACACTCCTTCGTCCGTTTGAGTCGATGGCTGTAACGTAATGCAATATCGAGCATTGAAATACACACGTCGAGTAACATAATATCCACACACTACATGCGCTCCAAAGCAAACTCACCTCAAAATTATTCAGACAAGTCTTGAAGTTCGTTACGTTCTCCTCGTCTTGCTGCTGTATGCCATTGACTTGGGTCAACTCGTGCACGGTGTCGTCGGCGGCCGACGCGAAGGTCTGATCGGGACTCAAATCGCCGCTGCTATTCTGGAGCGAGTCGGCGTTCTCGTCCTCGTCGTTGTAGTCCTTGTGGCCGTTCGCCGAGTCAAGTTTGATATTGGCGCAGCCCGAGATGAGATCGTCGATATCGGGTATGTCGTTGACGTTTATGTACGACTGATCGAAGTTGGTGAGGGGCCGACGAGGCGACGGTTGCTTATTGTTGTCGATCGTCTTCTCGGGACTGCCGGGCGCCGAGTCGGCGCAGATGCCGCTGCTGCTCTTGCTGTCGAGGCTCTGGAAGGACGACGCCGACGACAGAGTCTCCGGGACAAGACTGTTGGGTCCGCTCGACGGTGCTGTTGTGGTTTGCGACGACGGCAGCGATTCGCTGGCGCTCTGGAGATGAAAATGAAAAGAACGAGAAACGATGAGTCAAATGAAATTGTCTTGAACGTCGATGCACGTGACTATTCGTAAATTTTTTTTTTCAGCAAATAGAACAATGTGGTTACGTGAGAAGCATAGAGTAATCTCCCCTGTACATAAAATATACATCTATAGTAGCTAGCCTCTAAGCCAGAGAGTTTTTCTTAACCGATGAAAATCGTTTCGAGGCCACGCACGAAAGAAGAGAATTTGTTGCCAAGTTTCGACTTCTTAACGATTCTTCCCTCGCTTAGGCGAAAAATATATATATAGTTCGGCTTGGTATATATATTTGGAAGTCTATTTGGATTTCAAAATGATTACCGGCTTCGAAAACTCAGCGGTGTCGTTCGCCTTTATATGTGTCAAGTTCTTTCTCGTGATGCCAAATTGCCATCGTGTTACACTCTCTTTGTTCATTGTTTACAAAAAGAGTCGAAAATGGTGCGCATATTCCGATTCAAAATTTTTAAACATTTTTGTTTAATTATGGCGGAATTCACGACTAAGGAACATTCGTTCGCTTTAATTTTTCGCTTTTAAATATTATTGTCTCCTATAGTAACATTTGCCACCTATTCATCAAATTTTACGACTTTGACCCCGATATCGACCAGCGCAGCTCGCAAAACTCACAATTTTACCGAAATTCTCATGCTATATCATCGCGATGAAAAAAAGAAAGAAAAAACAATGTCACGCCCTAATAGAACATTTCCACGAGCTGCGAAGTTGTAAGTACATAATATACACACGATCTACCTTAGAAACCTTCCAACGACACAACAGCTTCTCTCGCGTACGACAAGCAAAAACAATGCAGGCTTTAAAACACAGCGTTGACATGATATTCGAGAGTCGATTAGAGTATAGTTTATCAATCTGTTGCGAATGAATAATAATGTGACGCAACGGCGCAGAACTATAAGTTCAACTTTGCATACGGTAGTGATCTTGCATTTCTATTCAACTATTCTGGTGCCGATACGACAAGTTTTATCTCAATTCAACCAGTTTGACGCTCGACAATAACAAGAAAAGTCGAATATATAAAGGTATAATTCTACTTTACTCTAAAAACGAAACAAAACGACGAATGTGCATTAGGTGTAAATAAAATATACCTCGACACTCGGTTGATGGGTGGGCGAGCAAATGGCTGGCTTCGGCGAGGGTTTATTGAGCAGTCGATGTATAAAATCCATTGCTCAAAGATTACTTATTATCAATCGGGCAAAGACAGCGAACGAACTAAGGGTTCATGAAAAAAAAACGCACTTCTCCGAAAAAGAAAACAAAAAGAAAGAAAGCACAACCAGTGCAGAGCAAGAAAAGCGCGCTCGCGAGGCGACGTCGACGAGCTGACTAAAGAGCGCGACTCTAATACGAACAACAGGATCAACTCTGCTGCTGGTCTTCGCAGCAGCTCGTGCAACGATGTACATAGATATATAAAATGTATGCTAATACCCCTCGCGAGCGTCCGAGCAACGTCAGCCGCGGCTACACATTTGCGTAACGATATTAATTGCATATAGGTGTATTGCACGCCGAGGTATCTATAGTCGATCGGCGATTTAATTATAAAACTGCCAGAGCAGTAGCAGCAGAGGCAGAGGCAGAGACGTGTTCGCACGAGTCTGTAGTTTCGGACGAGCGGCACGAATAGTCACATTTGTCACAAGTTAATAACGGTGCAGTGTGCGAGACGACGGCGCACTCGGATCGCGACCTTGAAATCGTATCTTGCCGCTCGTGCGCTTTGCGCTTGAACGAAAATCTGCGCAGACGGATTTTCTGCACCAAATGTAGTGCGGCTTGTCGAGCGCGAAAGTGTTTATCGACTAAGCGCGAGTTTAGAAATCTCGTAGTTTTTTTCACCGAAGCGAATTAACACCGAACAAAGCATAACATTCAACGGAGAAGAAAATCTAAGACCGCGTACGGCACAGTGTTTATGAAAACATTACCTTCCACAAGTAATTCCCCATGGTTACGATTTTGAAAATAGTTGGGCAATATGTAAGTACACTCGCAGATTCTGTCGTCGTCACTGATGTCCGTCGACTTCGACCGGCTTTACCATAATACACATTTACCGTTGCCCGGAACAACTTTTGCACTAATACGCACTACGATAATATAATTCAAATAACATATGCGCACGAGCGTATTCGGACATGGGCGCGTGCTTTGCGTAGGATATACGTCAAACTTAGTGCGTTACGCAGGGCGTCGACGCCCGTGCGAAATAAGTCAATTATTTGTTTTGTTGAAACTTTGGCGCAAGAATGAATCGAATTTTACAAAAAAGTCTGACGTAGGCCGTAGAATCGAACGATCTATGCGTGCAAAACAAGGCGAACGTGGACTCCTTATCAGATAAGCCGGGTCGACGTCGATGATTGGATTAGTCAGTGATAATGACGATACTCTCGCGTGGACTTTTTCGTGTGATACAATATAAAGGTTGCGGTACACGGTTTGTTTAAAAAAATTATAACATTGTAACAATTGTCAACAAATATAATAACGCAAAATATACACAGTTCACTTTCGGCAAGCGACGACGCACTGCGCGGCGAGTTCGTCGGCTTATCGCCGGCACAGAAAGAGTTTTTTCCGCGGAGACCCCCGCCTTTTTTACCTCCACCGCGAAGCGCGTGTAGCACGTGAATATATGTTTATATATAAAACGCAAATCTAAGAATATACAAAAATAATCTTTCCGCCGAAGAAAAAAAACATCTACTTTGTATATTTATGTGCTTATGCCTAAGTAAGCCACAGAGGAAATAGCTTGCGTAGGAACGGCGACAGGACAAAGGCGCTTTTTTGCTATAAATAAGTATGCCGCGTACGGGGCGCCAAAGAATATTATCATCTCCTCGTTTTCGAAGCTTTGATTTTAATGAGCTGGAAATTGGCCAAGTCTCGAGCACGAATTCGCTGTCGAATTAACGCGAGCGATACAAGACTTTCTTGTAATTAGTGCCTAATGGAGTGATGCATCGATGAAATAACGACATTGATAATAAGCAATATTCTTGAAGGGAATATCGGAAATCATGAGTTACTGTTACTGAATATGATTTTGAACTGTTTATATGTTATAAAAATTTAACGCATATAATAGACAAACGTCCTACTTTCGTTAACTACTATCATGATAAATATATAAACAGAACATGGTCTTAATGAGAATGTGATATTCTAATGCAAGCTCATGGCAAAACTCATCAATAAAATCATGTCCAAAAATAAACTTTACCACTTTTTAAAGAAAATATGGTAATAAGTTTTAATTATAATTGCATAAAGTTTGAACGATTAATGCTCTTTTTCCAACTAACTGGATGAAACTAATAAATTACTCATCAAATGATCTTAATGTAAAATTTGTGGGCAGTGATATAACTTAGATAAAATTCTAATAACAACTATATTTACAATTAAATAACAATCATTTAAAAGATAAGATAGCTTAGACAAAATTGTGCAGGTGATCATTGTATCAATTTTATTACAAATTAACACTTCCAATTTATTATCAGAAATTTCCTACTAGAAGTATACGCTTGCACGCAAGCTTGCAAACGCGTATTAGAGGTCAATAAACCCTTACTAGAAGCTTGTTTACAGAAGAAGATATCGCGATAAATATTACCGCACATATGCTGCACAAGAATTATGAACGCATTTTTTTCCTACTCTTCGTGATACGATCGAACATTCTGCCTTTTTTTCTCTTTCGCCGTCGAACAAAAGCATCGGAAAGAGAGAGAGAGAGAGAGAAAGGGAGATGAGGCAGAACCGAACGAATAGAGCCAATCTGATTTAGCGTGACAACGATGCTCTTCGTGCCTCATACCCATGACATGCAACAGAGCGAGATGGAGCTATGGAACTCTATAAAGCGTACGTGTGTGGGTATGCGTGATATAGTCGAGAAGCGTGACTCATTTTGGAGCATGTTGTGTAATGTAAATTATCAGATAGCCCATTTGCAGTATAGGATGATCGAAATTCCATGAAGTGTAGGACGAAAAGGGACTAGGATTAAAATTCATTTTGATTCACGGAATTTGAACATCATAAGATTTAATTTTTATATAGAAAAAAATGTTGGAATACGTGTGTTGGTAAACATTTACAAAAGAACGCGTGTCACAACAGTCATCGCGAAATATATACTTATATAGTGCGAATCTCGCGATCTCCTCGGAATTACGCGTACACCAGACGATGATGCAAAAAAAAGGTTGAGGTTACACACCTTCTTATGGAAGTTTATTTATCCCCCTTTTTTCCTGCTGTATGATTCTGTCTCCTTTTTCTTCTTGCACGATCCCGTTAAACACTTAGCTTTTACAAGAGATCAACCATTCATTACTTTTTAATGACTAGATTGGAACATCTCGAACTATTCCACTTGACTATAAATTTGTTTACGAAAAATATACGTTTACATTTTCACTAGTTCAACTTTGATTGATGCGCAAAAAGCAACAGTCGCGATTCATCTGCCGTGTAAAAAAAATGACAGAAAGCAGGATGAGCAATTAATCGTTCATTGGCGTGGAAAAATGCACACAAATAATAGCGTTACAATCGGTTATATAGGAAAAAACGCTGGAGATAAGAGACGCGCGTGTACGACAAAAGCCGATAAAATCAATAACAATGCACGACTAGTCTTGTGCTCGCGTCTTGGTAAAATCTCTGACTAGCAAGTTAAGTTTTTTTCTTTATTGACTCATATCAGTGTAGGCGGCGAATTACGTGTCGTCGAGTCTCGCGGAGGCATGAATCTCGTTTAGCAATAATCATAAATTAACCTCAAAACGGTTGCATCGATTGCGGGTGTTTAAATTTTCCGCGGCCTCGATGTGCAACAACGTTGTTCGTATCGTCCACCCGAAGTGTTTCGGAAGATGATTAAGTTTGCAACATATGTCGCTGAAACGTCAACGAGACGGAGACGAGCAAAATCATCGAACTATAGCCGTCAGCATTGATCTTCTCTCTGTTGCTCCTACGCACTCGCGACGAGTATATACGCGAAATCAACACACTATCTCAGATATAATCCCTACGTACTCGTGTACAATGTATACTGATAATGTATATCACTTACTATTCTTCGCTGTCAAATTGTTCACTCGTGCACAACTCGAGGCCGATGAGTTTTGAACTGTACAGTATGCGAATTGCCGAAAGGTTTGTCTATCGCAATTTTTTTAAAATAAACAAAAGGAAAACAACACAAAGGTGTGCGCTGCTGCGCTCTACTGAATTAACAGCTGCAGATAGACAACACTATGCTACGGGACGAGGATGTGTGAATAGTATCGAGCATATACACACATCTATATGTCATGCATGCGTGTATACACACAGAGACGGAGGCAGCAAGCAGCAGCCCACCACCACCACTAACGATTACGCCGTCGACAACAATCGTCTCTTAGCCGTGGTGGAGGTTGTCTTGTTTTATATGGGTATATTGTACGCGCACTTGAAACATGGAATGAGAGAAAGCGAGATGAGAGCAGAGCGCATGACTCGTAGCGAGAGAGAGACGGCGAATGTGTAGACGCTCCGTAAATGTATGTGTGAGTTTGCGATGTATATATTGCATGCTCATTGCAACTTGACTGATACACAGTGTACAAGAGCCATTGCCAACTATGGGAATGAGCGAGACGCCGGGAGATGCGCGCGAGGTTGTTTTTTTTCGATTTCAGGGTCGGGAAAAACAGTATGATAAAATTCGATACGTTAGCGATCTTCGATGCATTTGGTACAAATATGTTATACGAACGTAAGTGCTACCGAACACTGTATAAATACAATAAAATATGTTTGTTTACAAGTTGTTTCATCAGTTGTCAAAATTATCAATTAAATGGATCCTGATAACACTCGTTGACGAGTAGCATACAAAAAAATTTGTTTAATAATTGAATATTGTTTATTTATTTCTCTACTACAAAAATGACACAAGCTTCCATTATTTAATTTCCGATGTGGATATTTGGACATTCTAGAATAAGTTTGTTTATTTAAATCTCCAGAAGAGTAAACATTCGCATTGAGTAACAGTTAGTCAAAAAAGGCAACTCCGAATGCTACAGCTGTGTTGTGGTAGTATGATGACGGTCACAACACTTGGCTCCATTGCGACCGTCAATCCTCATTGTTAACTATACCTTTATGTATCGATGTATATAAACGGCGTATTTGTTAAGTTTTATCGAAACAAATTCTTTTATTTTATTCAACAAGAATTGCATTAATTGAATAACGCAAGGATTCGAACATTCGTATGACGTTAATGTCTAAAGTTTTCATTGTATTGTTTCACTGCTGGTCCGTTCTATTATGTAGGTTAAAACATTTTAAAGGGATAACGAAGATCCAACGAGATTCATATTCCGCGAAAACGATAATCATATCGATAAAATGTAAGTCTTACTTTTCGTTCGACTAGCTTTTCCGGCAAAGCTTCGGGTAAAGTTGTCATTTTGCTTGGGTGGCGGTTAATCGCCGTCTCCGTGCACAGGGAAGAAAAGATTGCGAGAGGAGAGGCGAGAACGACGACAAGTCGTATTCGATGTTTCGTTTGGCGTGCCTCCGGTCGAAAATAGACTGTTGCAGGATACGGCTGCTCCGACTCTTCTTCTGCGATGCAACACTCTCACGGCACCACAACTTTTTGAAAATCACCTCGATTACTTTTTTTCTCCTTACTTATCTTGCTGCACTAAGCGGCGAAATACCTGCACTCACGGTCAATCGGTCACACTGGGTATACACAGAGCGACACGTGAAAGCTGGTTATAATGTATTATGATCCTGATGGATCTCTCTGTGCGCGTATGTAAAATATACACGCACGAAAATCCCAAACACTGAGTTTCGGGGAGCACAGTACGGATGATTTGCGTAATAGACGTATTTTTAAGCTATACGAATCTCGTGGCGACTTGTAACTCACTGCGGCTGACGAGCGTCGCGTTTAATTTTGGTTCTTTTCGGGCGAGCTGCGTTTTCTCGCGAAGTTTTTATGGCGAATTCTCGCGGGCGCGTGGCTCGTGTGCGAGCGAATTTTTAACGGATCTATCGAGCAGATGCGCCCCTGAGAGTAGAGCGAGACGCACGATGTTTGACAAATTCGAATGGCGGCACGGGTCCCGACCAATCGTCGGCCAGAATTCAAAACTTTCGCGCAGCGACATCTGAGCGGCCGTACCGATAACACAGATCTTGAATTATGGATAGCTACTTACCGGCTGTCAAGATTTCATTGGATTTTTCAATTTACTGTGGTAATATAATTTTTGCATTTTAAACGGTATCAGTTTAAAAAATGGTCACTTAATTTCAACTTCCTCGTTGCGAGAAAATTTATAATAATTTTACGTTCATAGTGTATTGTGAGAATTAAATAGGATGATATATGTTTGGATTATTTATTTAAACTTGACTCAGATGTAGCGTGCGATCCCATGATTTAACTCGCGATAGTATAGCTGTTGTTTAAAATACTTATCTTTATTATAATCGTTGTATAACTCAAAAAAATGTGACGAATTTTTAATTTTTCCGTTCACTCACCTGCTAACCTTACGACGTCTTATCACAATCTTAGAAAGCTGCAAAGGCAAATCTAGTCAAGATTTGTTTGAGAGAAGATTGCTTGAAAAAATGTTAGCTTTCCTTATTGTTCATGTAATTTCTTTATTTCAATATTTTTTGTTAGTACAAATTCGAAGAAAACATAATCATACATGAATTTTAGTTTATTTACTTGGTCAAAATCTTTTTAGGTAAGCAATATGGACTTTCTTAAAAGTCACGAATCGCGACACTCACAAATAAACAATTTGATAACTTACACTATTTTTCTTCAACAATTTTCGTATAATTTAACTATTTACATAAAAAATATAACGCATCGCCTAGCGTTACTACATAATAATCTATATTTATTTTAAAATACTATTGTACAAAGATGTGTTTGCATCTACATCCATTTGATAAAAGAACCTGTGCTCAAGCACAGGTAAAAAGGCACTTATTTGTATTATTAGAGAAAAATGAATTTTCAAGATTCATTATAAAATTTTCATTAATATTCTTTGCATACTTTTTCAATATATTTCAGCCTGTGGAGACTAATATTTATATTGGAGACCCCTCAAAAATATGTGTTCCATGACAAATAAGGCACTTGCTTTTGGGAGTCTGTAGCTCGTCTAATCACAGTAATATGCGAATTTACATCGCATATTTATTGATTTATATTTTTTATATTTTTTAATTTTTAATTTTTTTTATTAGGACTTTTTACTTCACAGAAGTTCGTAACGCGACTCTTTTTAATATTACATATAACAGGTTAATTTTATATTTATATCAAGTATGTACAGCAGGAATTATTTGCGTTTCATTAGAAATTTATCCTATTGAATCTATTTTTTTTCCTGACTTAGCTCTCAAATAGAAACATTTTTAATTTTTTAGAGTTTAGTTATATTTCATTAATTCATCTCTATTATGCTATATTATTAATAATCAATTCAAAAATTTAGTAATATCCTTTTGGCGTGGATAATTACAATATTTATAAGTTCATTTATATATACAGTTGTAAATTATTACTGTTCACTTACTCAATTCATGATTTTGTTTAGATCGATATAATATAGATAAAAACTATAATGAAAATGGTAAAATATCAATCATTACTAGATGAGTATGCAATTCATAAATTGCAATTTTCAAGTAAGACTGAACTAAAATTGAAGCAATTGACATTTTTCATGATAGTGAAAATTGCAAAATTGTAGTTTGTCCTTTGGTATGGTTGGTAAATATTTTCAAAATTCATGAGACAAGTAATTGAAAAATTTCATGCAGCAAAAGTATAATTCTGTTTACAGTTGCGCATTCAGTTCAAAATCTATGTACAGATATGCTTCATCCAGCACACATCCTTGAAGGACTATCACATACACTTTAATCAGTTCAAGACTTGGCACCTGCAGCTACTTGCAAAACTAGATACATCAAGTTGGCTTGAATTTTAACGATTAATAATGATATGCTATTCCAAATAATGTATCAGAAATAAAGCTATGCATATTTTACATATAAATTTCAATATCAATATTATATCTCTATCGCGAAAACTCTGGTAGCACAAAATTTGGAATAGTAAATCTCTGGGATAAAGTTTCATCCAAGGCATTTAATGGTCTTGAACGAAACTTTAATTAATATCAAGTGTTATTCATCTCTAGTTTTTGAAAGATGAATAACTTTGACTGCACTTTAAAGCAATCCTGACGCGCGGCATTGGCGTTATTGGTCACTGTATGAAAGTTAGTAAATAACTTGATTATCGAATTTATCCTAAGAGTACTAATTCTAGTCAAAATAATCCTTGGAGAGAATTGATCATCAAAAATCGATCGAGCTTTTGTCGTTACATCGAAAACACTCCGTTTTATATAATAGGCAGCATAAAACATGCCATAATCAAATCATAATTATAATATTGATGATTAAAATTGCATAATATTGACTCTTTAAAAGCTAAAATCAATGACTGATCACGTATTTCTCTGTGTCATGATACATTTGTTTCCACACCAATTCATATGGAAAAAAATGATTCATTCGTCAATCCTCTCGAAAAGTTATTTTCGTATCAACTATTCAACTTAGCTTTAAAAAAATACTTTTCGTAAAAGCATTGCGTTAGACGCTGGAATGGCAACGTGAGGCGCGAGCGATCACGTGTAAGCTTCGCTAGATGGAATTCTGTGAGGCGGCGTGGCCGATGATTTATGACTGCTACTGGGTGGCGTGAGTAGACAAGTCTTTTCGGGACTCGAGTCGAGGGTAGTGATCGCATCGAGTTGTAAGCTTTGGGCTATTTCCAGCATCTCCAAGTCGGTAACGTGTGTTTGGATTCGATGGGTCTCGTCCAACACAACATTTGGGAGTGTCGCTTTCAAAAAGGATCTATTTTTGATTTCGATTCTCGGAATATTGGCACGCAGCAGTTCTTGAGGCCTTTCTTCTGTTGACAAGAATATGTAAAAAGGTTCGATCCAACGAGCACAAGGCTCGAGTTGCTCCCAACTCAACTTTGATACTCTTAATGCAGCTTCTCGGCCCTGGAAAGAATAATTTGTCCAATTAATCTACAATAAATAACATATAGTAATGTTGAAATTAAATTAATTTTAAATCTGAAGGTCTTCAAGTATAAAGAAAGTCTTTCATTCGTCAATGATCTTCGAATTATCGTTTATTTACAGTCGCTTACACAAACTGACGATGGTGCACAAATATCGCTTGCCGAAATACTGCACGAGCACATCAACCGAAAATTCATTACTCGAATAATTTTGTATACCGCTCGATTTCGTAATTGCCCGCGAGTAAAACAGGTAAGATGATTCATGGTTACTGACATTAGCATTTTTCCACGCCGCAATAACAATGAATAAAATGAAGTATAGCTGAAATTAAGAAATGTTCCCTCGAAAAAACAGACGATTTAATCGATATTAGAAAAAATTTGCAAGAAAAAGAAGCGTGATCAACAAAAAAATTAGAGCGCGAAAAAGCGCTGAGCACGACTCGAGAGCGCGGGAGATTTCAGTGGAATACGTTTGGCTGCGGTCAGACGCCAAGGCGCGCGCGCGGCTGACTCACATACAGACCCACACTACGCAATTTTGGCGCCAATTGTGCGGGCGGACCGTGGCAATGCTGAACGCGCAGTGTTGTAGCTTGTAGTTGGATAATCAAATTAGAACCGCGATTAGAGGTTCGATTTCACCGAAAAATCCGCCATTTTAGTCGATTTTGAGTTTTTATTTGACCAAAAATGTTAACATCATACGGCAAGGAAAAACGTTTAAATCATAAAAATTATTCTGTACCGAAGATTAAATAGGTTCCTTTGCTAAATATATGCGCATTTATCGAAACAATTGTAGTTTTATATTTAAAAATTATGTAATAAAGAACGACTATGCATTATATTTAAATTTCCGAAAATTGTCTCAACTATTTTAATATGCTGAATATCAACTGACTTTAAAATATAAGGAAGTAAAAAGGAAAAATGATATTTACCTGGATGTGATATAGAGCAGCAGCTGCCATATGACTGTATAAGAACCTCAAACTACCTTCGTCAAGGCTTGCTAAATCCAATAGCTGTGATGCTCTAGTGTAAACTGTTCCACCATATTGTGGGTATATGAATGTGTTTGGTTTAGACCAGTCTCCAGACTGGACTTGCAAGAAGATATTAAGCCAAGTGCAAGGAGTAATTGTATTTAAAGTCCATCCTAAACCTTTCAGGATAATGAGTTCTTGTTTCAGAATTTCTTCTTCGTTGCAAGCACCATCTGTGACATATGCAAATTCACTTATCTTGGGTGGATAAATTTCTTCAACCTATAAGAAAAATGAAATTATAATAAAAGTAAAGTAAGGATTGATTATAAATCAAAATGCAGTCAATTACTTTAGCAGCAATAAATAAGCATGTAATTCCAACAAGTTGAAGTTGAGCTTTTTGTACATCGTAGTGGGTGGACATGAATCTATCATAATAATCCATGGCTAGGTAAAAAGTTTCTCTGTGTAGTTTGTAGACTTCACAGACCTCGATAACCCAATCTAACAAAATTGACCTCATTCTAGGCTGTAATGTTGGATGTCTTTCCATCAAGTTAGGATCTCTTTGAGCAGTTGACTTTTGATCATTCACACACATGATTGACCAAACATCAGAACCATCAGCCCAAGGTAAAGATGGCAATGGTGGACCTGATTTCTTATCGTGATGTGTAGTTGAAGGTGTTAAGAAGCATGTAGGTATCCTCAAATCAGACCAGGTAGATGTTTCAGAGTAATAACCTTTCTTAGGTGATTCACATGGAGTGCGTGGTACACTGGCTGGACTAGCAGCAATACAAACTTCAGGGGATGTTTCTGCAACTTCTACACAGGATAAACTTCTTTTGGTTGGAGGTAAATTGTCATCTTCTGATGCTTCAGCTCTCCTTTTTTTTGAACCTTTGTTTGCAGTAGGCCAAGTATTGTTGTGTGTTTTTTTGGTAAGACTGCAAAAACAACAAACAAAATATTTCTATTAAATATTAATTAACATGATTAAGATCAAAATATAATTCTAGGAGTAATTGCAATAGTGTCTTAATTTTTCTTACAGTAATCTATTCATTTAATTGGGTTCAACACCAATGTCTATTGAATTATTAAAATTCATTTGTGTATTCTTATTGATTTACAAGAAATGATTAAATATGTTGCTCTATATTAGTGTATTATTTGAAACGAGTTATTTTTTATCAACAATAATTAAAATAAATGCATAAGTTTGATAAAAGCCTAGATAGAGCCTTGGCAAAAAATAATAGTGAAGTTTGGGTAGTAACTTAAACATTAATTTTTAGTTAATATAATACTTATAATTGTTAAAAGAAGTAACAATGCCACTCATTGAAATTTAAATAATATGATGCTTTAGAGTACATATAGTAAGGAAATATTTATTGATTAACGTTAATTTAAGTAACTTTTTAATAATTCAAGGGATTTTTCTGAAATTTTGAATGATGATTTACAACAATCTTTTACATCCTATCCCAAAGTTTGGAGCAATTTTTTCAAATTTAACAAAAAAATATGGGTTGTATACACAACCCAGTAACCAAAAGAGTATGCTTCACTGTGCACTCCATTCATATCGATGCAACGTCTTTCAATCACTCCGGATCAATGCGATTTTCTTTCGTCAAAGCAATAAACAATCGAAGAACGCAAAAATAAAAAAGTTTTGTAAAAATTCCTGTGCACGACGCAACAATAGTCAAAAATAAGCGGACGCCACGCAGTCAAGTCCAACCTAACTTTTCTTGCCGTAATACGTACTGCAACCAAGCAGATCGTCATAAAATGAGCATAAAAACCATTGCAAAATCGAGCGAAATTATTAATGCACATATCCGTATGGCTCGATAATCATCGCGAGATTAATATACCGAATAAAACGTAAGAGCGATGCTAAAAATGGTCATCATTTTCCCGCGCGCGCTCTTGCGCATTGAAGACTTTTGATAACTTACCGTGTTTTGGGTGCTGTGCGCGAAGACATGATGATTTATCCTTGATTCGATGCAATATCCAAACAGTTAAGAGCTCAAGTTGGAGCTTTTTTCAACTTTCTTCCTAGTTTTCTTTACTAGAAAAAAAAACACTCCACTTTCAAGCTGAAGATCGAGAGGCGAGCTACGACTTCATATAGCGTATGTGCGGTGTGATGTGGCGCGCCGAGAGGGGTTGCAACGAATATCAGCACAAACAGCAGCAGCAGCAAATTCTTCGATCAATTCGCATTCCACTATTGCACGGGCCTCTCGAAGCGTAGAAAATAAAAAGAAAATTGATCACTGGTTGGATAATCTTCTTGTATTCGACGAACTCGTTGTAGAAAATTCAACACATTTAGAAGCACAGAATTTGTTGCTTGAACTAATAATGTTTAACGCAACGTCGACGAAGTGTGAGCAAAGACTGATGAGCGAGGGTCTTGGTGGCCGCGCACTCCCAAGTACGATTGTCGAGTGAGTGCGATGACTGGTCTCTCTCGCCGCCGCGCAGAGCGGTGGGACCGTATATTGTGGCAGCGCCGAGCGTTCGTTGCACGGCCAAAGGGCGGGAGTTGGAGAAGCGCGCGAAAAACTAGCGTGACAATTGTCTACCCCAACAGCGAGGCGCCCTCTGTATTTTCCCGCACTATTCTTGTCGCGCACAGCAAGCAGCGGCCGAGCGACAACACAGAACTGGCGCGTATTTATGTACGTGTATGCGTGCCGAACGAGTATATGCCTTGAGAGTAGTAGCGACGCAAGTATTTTACCGTCTCTTTCTCTTTTGGGAGAGTTTATGATATCGAGCGATACGTCGTCGTCGCTCTGAACTGTATGCGATAATGCCAACGAGTGCGATAACGTTCGTAAGCGCTCACGTATGGTAATGGACTTAGCTTCGATTCCGCCGTGGATAGGTGCCGAAATTCACGAACTTTGATGTCTTCACTTCGCTTTGGTGCTGGTTTTTTGGTTGAAATCCTTCAAATTCAACAAGCGGCGAAGCGGTTACACAATACGTTCAACTAATCACTTCCTACCTTGTTTTATTATTTTGATTGAAAAGCTTTTCCCAAACTTGATGGAGAAAATAGTACACGCTAACGATGACGTAGTGTTATCAATTTTTTCCGCGAGTTTTTGGCGCGATTAAAACTCAAGCGAAGCACTGTGACAATAAGTCTAATCAAGCAACAGGCCCAAAAAAATGGAAAATTGAATTACACAAACTTTTGCAAATGATGCCTGTGTCTCTTCTTGGCACTGATATGTAATATCTGCACTACTTTATGGATTCACTAAAAATCTTGATTATTAATAAACTAATGATGAGCAAGCTATAAATATATATAGTGCTATATGTAATATATTTTCAATGCGATGTTGATAGGTCGGATGTCTGGAACAGACTGAAGGAGATGCAAGCACCGCGAGTAGTTTATAACTACTATCCACGGGTTCAACGCATGAAAGACGGCCGAACGCGCGGGTAAAAGAGAGAGAGAGAAGAGAATTCTCCTTAATTACTCACACAGCTATAGTGGCATTTATACTAGAGCGACAAAGAGAGGAAGAGAGAGAAAAAAGTTTTCGAGTGTGTGTATATATATTACCCGCGCACTGCTCCCCAGGCCCCAACTTACCTATATTTAATACTATTGAAAAGAGAGAGAAGGAAAAAAGCTTCGCATGTGTGCGCGATCTCTCATATACATATACATACACATACATATTAAAACGCTTAAAGCCGTCTATCTCTCTTCACAGGTCTCGCGCGCGCACGCGACGAGACCATTGGCCTGTGTACTATGTGTGTGCATACACCTATATCCTACAGGCAGTAGTGGTATGTGTTGATGGGGCGCCTCGATATAGCATACATACACACAGCTGGTCTCACAGCTGATTTAGCGCGGTACAACTTCCCGGCTTTGCCCGCGAAACTCGGCGTTTGTGTTGGTGTATGTATATATTATCGGAGTTGCTTTTGGCTCTAGGCAGAGCCAAGCAAGCCTAGATTACAATGTCATGGCACATAATATACACTCCACGACTAGAGAATCGCGAGTCGCTTGGAAAATCCAAAATTTTCCGTGGGTGGGCGGCTTGTGTACATGAAAATATATATTTGTTTACTCGGCGATTTCTGTGTCATACGCGAAATGTCATGTCGAAATACCGCTTTACAATGCGAGGACAATGACATGCGCTCGATTGCAATGATCGCGAATAACGCTTTTATGTACCTGTTGCACTTTTGAACCATTGACGGTCAACAGAAAGGTACGCGATTGCCGATTCAGCTTTTCAGCTCGCTGACTTATTTGCTCCAATATACACAATTTCCTTGTCAATCCGCTTTTGCTCAATCTTGAGAGATAATTTCAAGGTCTAAAAAGCTTTAATTGTCATTGGACTCTTTGCAATGTTGCCTTAGGCATTCATCTTAATGAGACAAAAAGGTCAGAAAAAAATTTGCGTCACAAATTCCGAAATGTCTAATGCCAAATTCACCTACAAGAGAATTTCACGATTCATGAATTGCACACGTAGCCCGTTCGAGAATACAGGCACACGAACGCACGCACACAAATTAACTCTGAATATATATAGCAAGAGATCCCGCGCGTTGCCGAGCTGCGCGATCGGGCCCCAGCTGCTGCTTTGGCTGAAACAGTATGTGTGTATACATAACACGCATAGAACGCATACACTGACATTTGTGTATAGACGCGCGCCGACTACGACGACGACGTTCTTCGCGTAGTTGCTGCGTGTGTGTATTATATACACGGTATTCCGGGCGGGAAATCTAGGCGCGCGCGCGCGCGTAAATTACGCGCCTTCGCCTCGTCCGTGTGTGTCGTCGTATCTCTTATACCAACACAGGCTCGATTTCTCGCGCGCACAGCACTCGGAGCACAGCCACATAGCGGCAAAGTTGAGAGAGAGCCGGAGGAGGTGGTGGCGGTGGCGATGAGAGAGGAAAGGAAAGGGGGGGCTTGTACGTGCACACACACGCGCGCACACTTACACCGAAACTCGCGCGTTTTTTTTCATCAATTTCTGAATATACTTATACGTATGCTAAATGACAGTAGGGGAAAAGTACGCGCACTCATACATAAACGCATACCTATATATAACATATTGGAGCTCTTTTTGTCGGAGACTCCCCTTTGCTGGCATATACGTGTTTCACCCATACGGGGCTGGCAAAGTACTTGTTCACTTCATAGGTGTGCATTGCGCTGGGCATACCTGAAGGGAGGGATGAATCGATCATTGTTCGCGTCGTTTAGGGAGAAATATGGCTCGATCTTTGTGTGCCCGTAGCTTTGTTATAAACTCCGATGCCCGGCAAGGCCCAAAGCTGCATGGCACAGCATCAATAACTTATGTACTGTTATATCGGCAGCATGTTCACGATGATCCTTCAGCAACTCAAAATGTAATTGCAGCGAAGAAAGGTTTAGCTGCCTACGTATATTGCTAGTCTACCTATACATTATTGTTGCGATTGCCGCATACCTTAACATGACGTTGACCCCTACTACACTGTACTCACACTTTGAGCCTTGTACACGCGGTATGTTTGTGTTGGCGTGGCATGTGATCGAAAAAAGCCCGCGGAAAACTCGCGCGCTCTAGTTTCGGTCATGCCCCCCATACCTCATCTGCTTCATCATACGCTCGTTTCCTCCGTACGCACGCGGATCAGCGCACACCATGGCAACAAAAGTCAAGGTGCAAGTTCGAGTCTGTCCAATGGATGAAGTCGAGCTGCGAATGTAATAAATATCGGGGGTGTTATAACCACGCATGGACTTCATAGACTTTACCTTTGTTTGTCAATAGCATCGGTCGCGTGGCGGCACACGTATAGATAAATTAGTGTACACATTGCTCTAGGGTTTGGTCAAGTTTTTCCTTATTACGGAGCAAATGTCGGAACTCGATTTTCTGAATCGTCATTGCGACTCATCCTCGTATAGGTAGATAGACGCGAACAGGTAAAAATGCCTGAGCCACCGGTCGTACACTCGCACACATCGACGCGGCACAAGTCAGCGAGGCAGAGAGCAGCTGCCGTTGTTGCCTATGAGCGCGCTAAAATCATCGAGATATTCATCGCTTTGCTCCAAAGCCCGATTCCTATGTACATTTCGTGCTTGTATGCTGTTGCGTAGGCATATTGCTAAGCGCAAGCGACTCGGAGAGCGGGCGACTCTTATCACCAATTGTTTATTATCGTTCGTTTGCGCGGCTTTTCGGAGCTCTCGAGGTCTAGCTAGCAAAACGCGCGCGAAAAAGGGCTTCTCGGCTATTTTTGATCTCGGTGTACATAAGCTGCCTAGTTTGGCATTATTTTCTGTCCCAGTAGTGATACAGCTATTTTACCATGATGGTCCGTCTTGCTATATATGAGAATACTAATATGGAGTTGGCGCGAATTTTTCTTTTCTCTCCACGACTATTTTGGAGCATTAGATATATAATCTACGTAGGGAAACATCGCGTGGCCTTTGTGACTCGTGTATTCCTGTTGTGTTAGGCGTTAGCATACAAAGATATACGCGTAGATAAATTCTCGCGCGCGTTTCGGCGATTCCATATCATGTTTAGAGAAAGTTTGAGCGCCAAGCTTTGGCGCGCCCGGGAACTCTGCGGTGCTCTCTCAATTCTCATGCTCCCAGCTCTGCTGGTGGTGGTGGTGGTGGTGGATCGCCGCGTGCGCACTTCGTGTATCCTGACCTATACACATGCCTCTGCATATGTATACCTATATATACAATGCGGTCTTCGACTGCTGTGTAGCTCGCATAGCATGTAGCAACATTGCTGCCGCGTTGCTGTTGTGTATATCATGCGTTGCGCGCGCGGGTAATGTTCGCGCCTAAAATGCTTCCTCTTCTCTCTCTCGCACTCGCTGCGCTTATGCTTGTATATAGGTAAATTACGTGGCTCGCCCGGGCGATAGTGTGAGATAAGCAGGCGATCGGTCGCGCAGCTCGTTTCCAAAAATTTTTCTCCCAGAGCCGCGTTTCGGAATCGAAAGTTTCGGCACGAGCGTAAGTTGGTTTAATGATAATCGCGTTATACGTTCTCCAGCTAGAGCTGTATCACAGATATAACATGTACCTTCCTTTTATCTATGAATTTCGTATGTACAATGGCAATATAATCGTGTACGCGATAGATATAGGTGATCCGATGCGGGAACGGGCGGGAAGAGCAGAAACTCTTTTATTTTATGTAATCTCCCGAGAAGCGAACACCTCATACACTTTTACGCGCGCATTCCTCGCGACCCAATATAATATAGGCGCGAACGGCACACGAAAAAGCATTGATATGATGATAATGACGCGAGCTGCCGCGTTCGATGCTCACGCAGCTGGCCATTTTTTTCCTCGTTTTTTAGCTCCCGAAGGTGAGCAACGCGTGGCTCGCGGTTAATACACATGGAAAATATGTTTATTTTCGACCAACTTGTATGTGGGATGGACAACAGGACATTATCGTCATTGTTGTACATCATGCTCGAGTCGGACACGCGTTCCAAAAGTCATGTAATATGCCTTTCTTGTCTTCGTACACCTTTTGAGGAAATCCATTAATGGCGTATCCAAGCCAACGCGGGCACGCGCGCACTACCGTACTCGAGGAAGTTTCAAATTAGGAAGCGGAAGGTACGGGCAATTTTGCGGCCAACCCCGCGCAGCTCAGACTCGCGACTCGACTCTTTTTTTCTTCTTTTTCGCCTCGATATCGAAGCAAACATGATGTAACAGCGACCTGACGAGACATCAAATAATAAATTGAATAAATAACAAAAATTAATTGGGTCAAAAATGTGTGACACGATTAACAAAATCTTCAAAAAGTGGAGTACTAGATGGTAAAATAATCACGTGAATAAGACTGGAGTTTTTCTTCACGAATTGGCGAACAAACGAGATCATTCGCGAGTATAAAGTCATATGTATCGGACTAAAAACGCTACGTGATTTCATCGAGCGCGCAACCGATGGTCCCGCGATTATAAACAAAAAATCTGTCAAGAACGAGTCTTTTTTTCATGGATGAATCGTACGAATCGCATATAAACTCGACGCAAAGCCTGCGGAAGCTATACGTGAGGTCCGAGTATACGCATAGCCAACCTAGCCGTCATCCGATCAGCAGTGCGTAAGCGTATAGGTAGGTAGAAATGTGTGTGTACGAGGGGGCCAACGCGATGGTCTCTGCCTCTCTCTCTCTCTTTCTCTCTCTGTCTTGCTCGCTCGACGCTACTCCAGGTTCTTTTCTGGCGCGAAACGTTGGCGCGCGCGCGAGAATCCATGGATATATACAACACATCTACATCCATCGCCGCGCGCATATCGTATTTACACACAATCTCGACGAATGTTTTTGGTGAATCGAGGGAGATTTCGATACACCTTTACGCATACAAGCGCAATGCATGATAGATGTGCAGTAACGAGGTTCATCAGGTAATATAAATTTGTATGTATAGATCGGGTGAAGCTCGGCTCATCGACATTGCGTACTTGATTAACGTCCTTTCCTCGAGCTTGTCTATGTGCAGCGTACATATGTTTGGGTGCGCGCGAAAGCGAATGTCTCTCTCTCTCTCTCTCTTTCTATTCTATTTATTAAATGTCCCACGGAAAGTGACTCCGAATTCTCAGAGAGGAGGAAGAATAAAAAAAGAAAAATTTTTAGATGTACCGTTAGAGCGAGTTTCAGCTTATCTCGCTTCGAGTTCGTGGGCTTACAGCGTGTAAGAGTATGGGCGCGTATTACACAGCGATTTGCGCAACTCGACTCGAAACACAAAAAAAAGGAGAAGAGACCTGGCAACTACGGTCTAATGAATCTATTTGGCTTTCGAAATTGCGCTATTGCGCGCACACCTATATAAAGTCGGAGTCGATGCTCGCGATAGATATAAGATTTTAATCGTTCGCGTTTATGTCAAATGAACAAGCGGAGCATCGCTGTGAAAGCAATTAAATATTCATTATAACGCTGGCTTCAAAAGTTACCCAAACGACAAAAAATTATAGTTACTCGTTCTCGCAGCTCTACGCAACTATCGCTGCTTCGAGAGTAAACATAGAAATAAGGTGATGGACGCGTCTTAAGAAGACTGCCTCGCGCGCGCGGCTGCCGGATGTATAACGAAAAAACTTATTATTATATATTCTCTTATAGGAAGACTGAAATCCGATATTCCACGCTGAATAGCTCGAATATATGCTCAAAAATCGAGCTAATTTCGACAGCCTCGTCTATGTTTTAAAGATCTTCGATTTTCGATCCGTCTACAATGCCGAGACACGTTTTTTTTCTCCTCTTATTATAGGTAAAACATTGCGATTTTTGCAGCAGCGGCTATAGCGCGCACACACACAATCGCACTGACGCACACTCTGGAGCATCGGCTCGTATATAGGTATACAGAAAATACACGAGCTTAATCGCGCCGCCGCGTATAAATACCTCAACGACGATATTTCGTCGTATATGTATGAGGTAGAGAGAACCAGTTGCTGAAATTAAGGCATTCTGGGCTTATGTGGCTTTCTATCTATCTTTCTCTCTCTGTTTCTCTCACTCTTTCTTCCTCTTGCTGTTATTAGAAAGGCAAAAATTCGGTTGCCCATACACGGGCCTTTTAAATTTTACTAGTCCTCAGGATGTTCGCTGTACGTGTGCATTGGTGGTAATGTACAAGTACAAGTAAAGCAGTGGTAGTGTCAGTAGAAATGTAGTAGATGTACCTGTGTGTAATAAGCCAAGACAGGTAAACATGTGTGTATGTATATGGCACCACAATCACGCACACAGGTTCGACGATTTCAAAGAAATGCGACTCATACTTACAAACTTGTATTATACGAGCGTCTTAGGGGTGATTCGGCGGTATTGTGCGGAACTCGTATTATTATACACGACGGCGACTCGCTTTCTCTCAGTTCCCATTCTTCGCTTTTCGCTCGTTACGCCGCTGTACCACCGTTGCCCATGCTATATGTACTGCATCATGCAGACGGGATGGAACTCGTGGCGCAGGGTTGAACTCGCTTTTTTGCCTCGGCTTTTATATGTGCAACGTAACGACGAAAACTTACCCTTGATCATCTCACGTGTTGCAGCAGCCACGTCTCTCTCTCTCTCTCTTTCTTGCGCGAATTTATCTTCACGCAAAGCAGAGCCACATGTACGGAGTTTAAATCACCCCGTACCCGCAGTACCCATATACGACCTACATGGGAATTTAAACATTTACGACCCGCTCGTTTAACGTGACTTATTTTGCTGTAAAGGTGGTAACGCTCGTTCGAGGCACATAACGTGCGAATTTATGTTATCGATGTGCTTTTAGCGACTTCGAGTGTCGAAGTAACCGTAATGAAGTTTTCAGCTCGTTTTATTGAAAAAAACAGAATAGATAGGGATCCATCGATTCTACCATTAGATTCCTGCCAGCTCGAAGCATCTTCGTTATTTTTAGAAAACGTTTTTCATGTTTACGAAGGCAGCGCGTGCACGCGAGCTACTGTATGTGATGGAAATTTTTTCCAAGAGGGGTCTTCGAAAAAAAATATCGGTTTATACAGCACTCGAATTCGTTTCACAGTGGGCCGGCAGTGCAATGTTTTGAGATTTGTATGTGCGTATATATTCGTGTTGGTATACATAGGACCTGTGAAACGTAGCCACGGGAGAGCATGTAGCATGGAAAGAAGTTTAAAGACCCATAGCGATATGTACAATGGTCTTTGGCTGTTCCTCGCAGAGCCGAATTTGTACTTAATACTAGAGAGAGACTATACACAGGCAACTTTTTTACCGCGGGCCCTGTACGCCGTACACTTTGAAACTCTTATATGTATACTATCCACAGGCTTGAGACCGACGCGAGAAATCAATGACCTTTGCGTGGAGCCTGGCTCGATGTGTATACATCTATGCGTAAGAGGCTTTTTTCTGGCTGGAGGATTATGTGAACGTGTATCGCTGATTGCTTAGCAGCTTATACCGTGCACTTAATATACCGAGCACTTGACAAATTTTAATGTCGTAAAATTATATTCCCAAGGTTTTACAAAAATATACATCGTCAGTAAGGAGTCCGAGCGATAATGTGTGCCATGTACCTACATCGTGCCTACTCAATCGTGCCTACCTCGTACAGATCATATCATTGCAGTCGATAAAACACCTAATGAGCATATCTACCTGTTGCAAATATGTTTCGATACACGCACCTTATGTTCAAATTTTCACATCTACGTGGAAGGTGTAGTAGTTACATTTGTCTATTGTACAGCACTACCTGTACAAACGACTTCTTTCACGATAGACATTTTTGAATTCCGATGAGCCATTGATCACGAGAGCCGAGCCTCGTATTTATTTTGGAGGTCGCTATATATACTGTGTACGCGTGTACTCTTCCCGCGAAAACGCGGGAAAAAAAGCTAGCCTCTTTCAGCCAGCCGCTTGTGTATACGTACTCGTCATCGTTCGACTCGTGGATACGAGAATAATTCGGTTTATTCGGCAAACAATTACGAGATTGAGAGAAATGGAAATCGTTGCACGAGGATGATTCGTTTTCATGTTTATTACGTGGATTTTTTATGAAAAATTAAATTAGATATATATATGAAGCTACGATTTCTTTTTTTTTTTTGCTACCATAATTGGATTCTATACATAGCGTGACATACTTTTAATCGTCCATTTTAAGATTCATTAGCCGGTGGTTGGTTGTTCATTATAATATTGATACTATTATTAATTTTTAGCTTGAGCAATCTAATTTCGTACTACCAGGAAAGCTTTGAATAAATTAGGTTTTATTATAACTTTGAAAAGGGTTCCAAGCCTCAAGCAGCATGTTCGAATAGCTCACAGAAATTGATACAAAACATGATATCATTGTTAAACGTAATCTGCAATGCAGTTCTCGATTCCATATGGTAAGAGAAAAGAATTATGCAAAACATCATGTTTTTGAAGAATACGATAATCAGCATAGACATGTATACTCGACTGCTTCCTACCTAAAGCTTGGCGTAATCATTTGGCGGGAAAATATAATAATGTATTGGTTATGCAAACTCTGCAATCGACTCAAATACATTTCTCGAGCGCCACATCATTCGTAGATAAATCTCGACAGGCCAAAATTCGGCATATTTTGAGAATTTTCGTTCGTAAAAACTCATTGCACTCGAATCAAAAGTCGGTAAAGTGGCGTGTATTGGGCATCTGTCGGAGACTCAAAAAATCACTTATTGAGCGTCGATTAGAAGTGTAATGGTACAAAATACAAAATGTAGTAGATGGGTGTTTGTTTCTACAACTATTAATTTGAAAAACTTAAATTTTTAATCTCAAAAAATAAAAAATATATGTATCATTTAGCCAAGTAAAAAAATGGAGTAATTAATTTATTGTTGATAATTAACTTTTCGCTGTTATTTCAACAACTAAACTTGATCCTTTTATCCTAGTCAATTTATCAACGATTTCAGCAGAGTTCCATCCCCTCGATTGAGCGCCGTCTTCTCGACCAACGAGTCGGACGGTTTTTTTAAATCGTAAGCCCATCCGATCCTCTCGAAAAATCGTATCAAAGTAGCCGTCAGATCGAACTTGGAGCCACCGATCTCCGAGCTCCGATAATCGTAAGGAAAAGTGTGATGATAATTATGCCAGCCTTCGCCGTGTGTTGCGTAAACGACGAAGCGATTTTCCGCCGGCAGAATATTTCTGAGAAAAGAGAGAAAATAAAAATGCGAGAGAATAGATTATTTTCAACAAACGATAAAGAATAAATTAAAAAAACGTAAAGACGAACTTGTCGTATGGTTTGGAGCCGAACATATGCGCGAAACTGTTGACGGTGAACGTCGTGTTGAGCGAAATGACGTAGCGCATAAATTGCGCGAGCGACGAATAGTACCAAGACTCGTTCCAGCAATAAACCGGCACCGCGATGCTCAGGTACAACGCGAGGATCCTCAGTACGGTGAAATGTCTAAGGGTAAAAAATTCAGGGTCAAATTGACTGGCATGGTTTTGGATCGAATCGACCTCGATAATTTTCACTATCAAACGCACCTGTCGCAAAATCGGACGATGCCATCGGCGTCGATATCGGTCATGTCGAGTTTTTTGAACTTTTCAACGACTTCTTTCGGCCGCTTGATCATTAGCCAGCCGACGTGACAATAAAAGAAGCCCCGCTTGCTGTTGTGCGGGTCCGCGTCGGTATCGGTGAATTTGTGATGCACTCGATGAATCTGAATCCAGCTCCTGAATGGTACCTGGAAAAGATATAATTTTCATGGATCCAAGAGTGAACATTCGTTTCCTGATTAACCCATCAACGCTCATAGGACGCATTTTTGACATTTACCTTTGCGCTCTTACCATGTCTCAATCGATACGAGAAAAATTATGAAAACCACTATGGTTTCGAGGGTGTTCTTTTCAATGGAGGTGTTCTAAGGAAAAAAAAGTCTTAGAATTAATTAAGGAACATGCTTACATTTTTTCAGAATTTTTGGAAGTGATTTTGAGAAACCGAGTTTTCCGTATTTTCCAGAAATCGGAAAATTGTCTCGGAAAATTCTGAAAAATGTAAGCATGTTCCTTGATTAATTCTAAGACTTTTTTGTTCTATAAGATTTTTTCCTAAACTCAATAGTTCATAGTTCATGAGATAAAAAATAAAGGAATTTGAAATTCGATTTTTTCATTTAAGCCGCCATTTTGTTAAGAAAAAAATATTGTTTAACAAAAGTAACCATGGTTTCTCAAAGTAGAGACCGCGAGCTCACGTTCTACATATATTTTACCCTCATACAACAATTATAAGTGGTTTAAAAATTAAAATGAAAACAAAATATTTCCTCAAAAACACGTTTTTTTGTGTAAATTTGCAGTTGTTTATTATACATTTTTAATTTATGCAATTTTAAACATCACCATTGAAAAGAACACCCTCGAAACTATTAAGTATAGTAGTTTTCATAATTTTTTTCGTATCGATTGAGACATGGTTAGAGCGCAAAGTTAAATGTCAAAAATGCGTCCTCTTGGCGTTAATGGGTTAATAAGGGCGCTTACTTGATTTGCCGAAACATAACAAAATGCTAATAAAAGTCTGAGGGGTAAGCGAGCTTTGAAGCATTTATGACTCCAGTAACGATGTATGCCACCAGTGACCCCAAACATCGAATAGGTGTACACAAAGTATGCTGCAAAAAACATGCACCATCGTTGCTTTCGCGTTTTCATCATATTCAAGAGTCACAAAGTGACTGTAAATCCAAAATGTTAACTTACCCCATAGTAAAGTTGTGTATCGTTGGAAATAAGGATAAGTCAACAAACCATAGATAGTGACTGCATACAAGAACGTGTGCAGAGCGACTACCTCCCATCGTATTGTCCACTCTTCACGAAAGAAGAACCATTTCAATTTTTCCGTCTTCACAGTCTCAAAATTTTTCAGTTCTCTTTCACTTATGTCCGATAGTGTAATCTCTGGTTCGTCACAAACTGTATCTGCTTTATTTGGTGCCATACTTTTAAATTGCTCGAGGTGATAAGTGCAATGACACAATGACAATAAAACTTAAATGCTCGAGTATTAAACGAGGTTGTTGCACTAATTTTTATAATATCAAAATACAATTAGATAGCAATGTTGTTTCAAAAGAAATTACGCTATTCATTAAATAGTTTTCTGCACTACCGAGTCGGTTGCCGAATGTATTGAAATGAAATTCGTTATCGACATTTTAACGTTACAACGAGCCGCGATGAAGTATCGTCTGAGTCGGTACGACGTCCTTCATATACTTGCAATGAGGAAAGTAAAAAACTGCGAAATATGTGCATCTACTTGAAATTACTCACAGAATTTGAATTTCTACCGAGAGCACGGAAAAGCGACACATTGCGGAAAATCACATGTTACATTGGTTTTTGAGACGCTAAAAAGTTATGAAAATGGAAAATCAATGACGTAGTTTTACTGGGTCAACGTTATTTACTTAACGTTTTGGTCTTGGAAGAAATTATTAAAATTGTTAATGAATACTGGTTTATTTTACAAAGACATTAAAATATGGAGATTATCATTTTCATTTTAAGATTAATTAAATGAAGAATACCTGATAGTGAACGATAAATGAGTTTACTTTCTCTCGCGCTATATTTAGCTTTTAATGATGCTTTTCTGGAAAAGATTTAAAGAATGCAAATATCGAAAGGCGTAGATATGCTATGTCACTAGCTAATACAATTTGTCTTTGAAAAGTTAAGCGATTTGAGTAACTGATTCATGTTTTCCAGAAAGACATTTCGTACTATCGATAACTTACCAGTTAAGAAGCGATGATGAGCAATTTTTTAGCTGCGTGCCGTGTACGGGTTTTGATATGAAACGTTATATTTATCAATCAAAATGTTAAAAGAAGAGACGATAGCACGTGATTCTGTGGTTATTTTGATTGAATTTCACCAACGAAAATTTCGAAAAATGTCTTTTACATACAATTCTGGCCCAAGAGCAAAGAATTTAAACTTAAACAAGTAAGTTATAATTTTTGCATATATTTTGACGTAAGAGTTGTACAGGTTCAACTATTAATCTCGTTTTATGAAAAGTAAAAATGTTTCAGTTACGTTCTTCGATTACTGCAAGCTTGAATAATATCTTGACGAAATTAAAAAAAAAAGCAAGTCTCAGAGAACTTTGTATACTTTTAATGTATCTGTGTATACATCTTCGAATGCCTCGAGTGAAAGAGTCGAGAATCTATTTGACTTTTAAACATATTAAAATGATTGCAAATCAATGAAGTAGGCCGGTTGCCTAAGCTATTGATTGGCCTAAGCCTAAGAATTGTTTCAAATTCTTTGAATACTTCGGATCTTTGATTGACCACTTTCAATCAGTAAATTACCACTTTTGGATATGCAATAATTATTCTTTTTCCTTGTTTTATGATAATCAGACACAGAAAACAAGATGCATCGTTCGCTAAGGAATTGAATATCGTCTATATAAATATATTTTCAATTATTTTTCATTCATTGGTCATAGATTGGTCCGACTACCTTATAATCAATCTGAAAAGGGTGTCTTCTTTTTCTATAATGATAACATATAACTTCAAATTTTTTCAAATTATTTTAGACTCAGTCACAGAGGTTTATGAGCGAAAACCCCCTTTTTTTAGTAAAACCATTTTTAGGGAGACGTAACTCATTAAAAAATGTAGATTTTTTTACTTTTTACTGTCACGTCGCGGGAGCGACATGAGCATTTTTATTCTAAATAGTAGAAAGGGTTGAAAATAATATTAAAAATAGTTAATATGCAATGGGAGTTGCAAAGGCCTTGTATGAGTTTTGTACTAGACTTGTAATAGAAGTCATTTCAAAAACCAGAAATAGAAATTACGTATTATTAATTAATATTGTTTATTTACTCACATCTTTAAACTGTCTTTTAATACAGAAATTTGAAAAGATAGAGCGTGGGTGGACTGTCACGCACTTGTGGATCGGCTCCGAGTTATATCGAGACTGAAGCTAATTCTTCATGTGCATTTTCAAGACTGCTTACACAAAGGCTCTACGTTAGTGGAAGCTACCGGTGTTTTACAATTTGATTCGATTCGAACGAGTATGTGCAATTAATCATTCACTTTCAACCATCGTTATACTCTTCAATTTCTTAGCTTCAATTATTATTTATTAATTATACAAAGTTGTAATAGTAATAATTACTGTTATCTTTCATTTTATAAACAAATTGTACTATTCACTAACACTTTGTTGCATTGCATCTCATTCATAGGATCATTAAGAAGAAAGGATAAACTATTGCATAAATATATTTATACTTTATAGTATTAATAATCTTCAAATTTAATCAATATTATAACATAAAAATATCGGCTTGATCATGCCGATATCACATTGCACTTCAATGCGTAAGCTCAAATTTTGTTTTTATTTTTTCAAATCTTTTTCTAAATTCAAGATGAATCGCCTCTCGGAAAAAGTTGTTAACCCAACGGAGGTGGAAGAGTGTCTACATTGCATTAGTAAGAGATTGACAACCGCCCCAGTTGAGTACTATATTTTTCATTACAACGTGAAGAAGGCAATTTTAAATTCGCTAGCTGTGCGTAAAGGAAGCATGCATTTTCCGCATGCATTGATGAAAGGTTTTGAAACAATTTACACATATTTTTTGACCAATTCCTTCGACATAGTCCTTGTCGTTTTCGAGATAGGAAATAGCAAAGATTGAAAACGAGTTTTCTGGTAATTAACAAAAAAAGAAAATTTCAAAAAGTAGATGATGGACTCATCTCAAAGCTTCATCAAAGACAAACGTCACGTTTCATAAAGATAGCAGCTAGATCTGTTGGTCCTGGATAGAATTTTTTCAGGATTTCAAAAATATTTTACTCTCATATCTAAATGAGTGTAACTATGTGTAATTATTTTGAAGCCAATGAAGTGAAAAATCGTAGATTTCAATATTTATCTATAGCATTGTATTATTATCAATCTTTTGGTTACAAACATTTTGGTGGTAATTTGAACTGTAATAGTTTGTTAACAATAAATGGTTGCTATTTTATTTTGAATGTATATTCGAATAATATTTTCCATAATGTCATCAATTACAGAAAGATAGGGTTAATAATTGTTTGTGAGTTACATTTTTTAAGGTATGCCGCTCTTTAGGTACTGTGTGGAAGTTAGCCTCAAGAGCTGTAACCACTACTTTAAACCCTGTACAAATTTTCACCCATTACCCTTGTTTTTTATGTATGAGCTGTTCATGATAGCAGTGTTGTTACAAATCATTTATGTCATTTTTCGGAGAGTAATAATTTTTACATTCCTTCTCGGTGTTTTATAAAGTTTTTGTAAAATTTTCCTTTTTGATTTTTTATAAAACTTTTGTAAACGTAGCTAAAACATTTTATTCAAAAAAATTATAGCTTTGTGTACCTAAAACGAATTAAAAACTAATCTTCCATTAATAGAAGCTACAATACTGGATTCTTTTTTACATAAATATGAACTCCGTCAGCTGGTGCCAAGAAAATAGCTCGTTTGCTCACTTCATTTTTATAATTGGTATTTTGCGAAACCTCGTAGTCCCTCAAAATTGTGATCAATCCTACCATGGTTTGCAATTGGCCGGTTCGTTGTCCTGAATATAAACAAAATGTCATCGGTAATATTGCGATTGTCTTAAATTTACCAATTTGCTGCTGAGCAAATACACACCTATGCATATTCTCGGTCCATCGCCAAATGGCATGTAAGTACAAGGTTGAATGTTATCCTTTCTTTCCTCGCTGAACCTATCAGGATCAAATTTCGTGGGGTCTGGGTGCAATCCTGGATCTTCGTGTATACCCATGAGTGTTGTGTAAACCACTGTGCCCTTCTCGATGACTATGTCCGTGCCAGGTACCTGTAAAAATTACCATGGTCGTTAGAAGCATGATTGGAGTATGATTATTGCTCCTATATACGGTACATACCTTGTAATCGTTGAGGGCGACGCGATCGAGCAGGGGCGCTGGAGGGTACAACCTCAGGATCTCCGACACGACTTGCTGAAGGTAGCTCATCTGCGATATCATGTCGTAGGTCAGGGTTGCTTTGCCAATTTTTTCGCGAATCTCGTCTCGTACTTTTTTTTGAATCTCTGGATGTCTGGCCAACTCCATGAGGGTAAAAGTCATAGTTATAGCACTTGTTTCGAGACCGGCGACGAAAAATATTGCCGATTGCGCCAGCAATTGATCGCCGTCAAAACCTATTATGTTTGAGCGTATATTACGCAAATGCAATAATTTGATTTATTTTAATCGGGTGAACAATTAATACTTACGGAATTGGGCATCTTGCGGTTCATTCTTGAGTTCCACCAAAAAGTCGATCAGATCTCCTCGCTTGAAACCCGACTTTTCTCTTGCATTCACAGACTCCCAAAATATTTTTCGGAAATATTCTTCGTGTTTGCCAAGAAATGTTGCCTGTAAATAATCGCCTAACTTTGGAAAGAAGAAGGCAACAAACAAGTTGAGAGTCCTTCTAAGATCTTGTTTGAAAATATCCCTGCCTATGAACAAGTCAATATCCCTGTTTTAGAAAAGTAATATAATGTATTTTAAACTAATTCAGTCATTCAACTCACTGCGAACAAAAAATTCAGGTTCAGGCTCGTCGAAAGAATTGGTCCTGATGCCGAAAGTCAACGAAGATATCACGTCGGTCGTGTACTTGGCACATACTCTTCGAACTTCCATGTCGATTTTGCCCTCGCCAACTTTTTTGGCCATGTACTGATTCAAGTTCTTCGCGCTCTCTACCATGAGTTCGAAAAGTTTCTTCTGCTTTCCACTGGTGAAAGCCGGTGACAATTTGACGCGAAGGTACTTCCATTCTGGATTATCGATGGAAAATAAGCCCGTACTTCCGATAACGTCAGTTTTTCTCTTGGCCGCGAAGTAACGATCGGTAAAGTTGTGAAAATCTTTTATAAAAACCTGCGCAATATCAACGACGATATGTGATTACATAATAATTCCCGCTGAAAATTGAAAATTTCCCTGTCCAAACCTACTTGCTTGATAACTTCGGGACTGCGAAGGAGTAAAAAAGGCGTCTGCATGATGTACAGACCGATCACCGGTTTGTCCGGTTGTCCTTGGTAATATTTGTAAATTTCACCGAGGACGGCTGGAGGCGCCGAACGAAGGCAGATGGCATCTTTGAAGTTTCCGAAGAACCAGTGAGCCGGTGGCGAGTCGACTCCTCTTCGCCGCCAGTACGACTGTTTGTACTTGGCGTAAAGATAGAAAAGAACGAAGCCAGTGGCAAGTATAGTCACTACATTTGAAAAACTGAACAAAGCACTCAGCATGTCACCCATTTTTATCACTCGACGGCGAACACGATGCACACAAAATTCAGTGCCAAAAAACTCTATATTTTACTCTTTTCCTGGCTCAATCGCAACTGCGCGAACTTCGAATCATCGAGATAACTGGTATGGCTCGAAAAGTATTGCGTCTGCTGTGTAAATAAGAAGCGAGCTGTTGTTTACGCGGGAAATAATCGAACGACACGTCAAGCGAGCGCACCTAACAAGAGTGCACTAACGATCTTTAGCAGAATCCCAACTATATATTATTGTATAATTTGTCTAGTCATCGTTATAGCCACGTTCGCGCAAATACGCTTCATTAATTGCGCAATATCGCGCGTTCCACCGTGAATATAACAAAACTTAATCATTGGGATCGATCGAGAGTGCTAATCATATAAATCCATAAAAAAAATCATTTTTATTAAACAAACACTTGTGGCTATCAAGCCCAAATCGTGTATGTTGAATTTATTACAGATGCAGATATCTCGTATCTCGAGTTGAGCGTAACTTTTCTGCTACTCTCAATTGTAATATATGTTTTTTAGGTCATTCAAAGCTACCAAAGTAAAAAATGTATAGTAGGAAAGGTATTTTTCATTCTCCGTTTTCAATTTGAGTAAAGTGAAACCTTTTCTTTTCACTAAAAAACCAAAACATTTAATGATAAGAACGATTAGTAGGGGGTCGTTACACAATTCAGCAGTTTAAACATTGTGAGTTCGGTATAAGCGAATCGTATAAAAACAATCAAAATCCATAACATAAACAATATTTTAAAATTTATTGAAAAAAAACTCCAGCACGCGTTATATAGATAATTCTATAATATGCGATATAGCCTTCTCAGCTTGCATAATTTTTCTTGAAATATGAATTTTTCATTCTCTAATATGAATGCTAATGATCGCATATTTGACTGATTGATATCATTATTAACTGCAATTCTAAAAATGGCGAGGTGATTTCAATAATGATTTTTATTTGCATCGGGTTAATCATCAAGACTGTTTCAATGATTTGATGAAATTTCATAACTCGAACGAAAATTTGTTCGTTTCCTCTTCATTTCTATCTCCGAGATAATTTCAAAGTCTATTTTTTTTTTTTTTAATTGTCATTTTTTGTAAAGCAAAAGAAAACTCGTTCTCTTATAAAATTTCTGTGCCCGCATTACTGAAGGCTTTTAAACCTGCTGTGAGAAGATCGGCGACTCGCGCGTATTTAAAATACATTTATGAAAAAAGAAAGGGTGAACCGTACAGGGGTGCAACGTCATTTGGCGAGCACATGGCGTATTAAGCGCGTCGCGCGTCGTTGCCGATTTCACATGCCGATACGCGTGACTCTAGCTTCTGCCTCAGGAGAGATATCGGTGCGCGTTCAGCTCTCGCATGTGTAATTTATGCAAATGCGTAATCATCGCGAGCCCATATTAAATTTGCTCCTGCATGTTATGTACGTGTACGATATGCGTGCATTGCAGATCGTGCAATTGAGTCCCCGGCGCGCGCGCGAGGGGCCCTCTTCTCCCACCATACACGAGTCCTCTCTTTCTCTCTCTCTCTCTTACTCGTTCTCGTGCAAACTCCTTCTTGTCTTCTCCTTCGTTGGCGTTCTGCACTGCCACTCGATGGGCCCGACTCCGTATATATATCTATACTTTCTGCATTTACGCACAGGATCAGCAGCAGCAGCAGCAGCAGCAGCAGCAGCGTCTCTCACTCCTCTCGTATTTATTTTCTAGAATATTGCGCGTGAGTCAGTGTGTGCGTGTAGCAGCAGCAGCAGCAGCGTATGAAAAGTGCCGAGCGCAGAGTGCAGTTCAGTGCATCCGTATTAATATATATAGTGTGCGTGTGTGAGTGCGTAGCTGTTTCCCGCATCGGTGGAATTTTGCGTCTTCCGGGGTGATCTCGAGTGATCCACTTGCAATTCTTATCCTTTACACGTATCATTGAGACTCGACTATTCTATAATTCATACTTCTGAGCGGAGGCTGAGATTATGGGAGGCCGATGATCGTCCAGCCAAGCTGGTGAGTGCACATCTCGCAGATTCAGTCTTCATCTTTAATTTCTATATCATACCTGTAGGTTCGATACGTTTTCGAGACAGATGTGGGCTATTTACATACAACACACACTCGTATACACACATTACAAGGATATAAACACGCTCTCGATAATAACGTCAGTCCAGCACGCGCGACATGTGCTCGGCCCATATAATATATGCACCTACTATTAGGCCTTGGTATTCGCGATGTACTGCACACAATACAGAATGATATACGCGTATCCCTATAAAAATGCTCGAGTATAAGATGGCAGGTGTCAGGATGTAATCTTGAAGATCTCGATCGCCACTGGGCAATACGTTTTTTTTTTTTTTTTTGCTATACGGAGCAAGTCGAGGTCCCACGGTATATTTATATCAGCACGGTGCATGCCGAGAAGGGCCGACCCCGGTATACTTTTTTTGTGCGCATTTCACTGCGTAGTCCAGCAACAGGTGGACGCGAATGTAGGCGAGTGGTGCTTCATTTAAAAGCTTCTGCTTCTGCTCTTACGAATGCATAAAACAACGAAAAAGCTCGAGAAATTAATGCGGAAATCGTCAAATAAAAAGCGAACGAAATTAATTCCAGATTGAATGCGGAAAACGGGATCAGCGAGAGCAGCGGCAGCAGCATCAGCAGGGCGCGTGCAGTTGGATGCAGAGCGTATCGCCAGCCATTTCCAGTAAGTCGAGGCTGGACGGAATGAGCGTCAACAGCGACGTGGTGGTCGACGGCAGGACCAAGCAGTTCCTCAAGGAGGCCGTCGACAAGGTCGTCAACAGTTTCGCCAAGCACTCTCACGGTCGCTACGGCCGAGGTATATAGAGTTGACCCATGTACATATCGCAGCAACGAAAAATATAAAAACGTATGATTTTAGTGAACGTGGTCGAGGCTCTGCAGGACTTCTGGCAGATGAAAGCCCGCGGAAACGAGCTGAGAAACGCCGCCCTGGTGATTTACGAGTCGGTGCCAGGCACAAATCCACCCTACGTCTGCTACGTCACCCTGCCGGGTGGTTCCTGCTTCGGCAGCTTCCAGAACTGCCCTACTAAAGCTGAGGCACGTCGCTCCGCGGCCAAGATCGCCCTAATGAACTCCGTCTTCAACGAGCATCCCTCGCGCAAGATCACCGACGACTTTATCGAGAAGGCCGTGGCCGAGGCGCGCGACAGCTTTCAAAAGTCTCGCCAGCAGCAGCAGGTCGACGAGCAGCAGCAGGACGACAACGACCCGGACGACCCGAACACGGGCATCGGCGCGTTTCGCTTCATGCTCGAGTGCAATCGCGGCCGGACGATGCTCGAGTTCCAGGAGCTCATGACGGTCTTCCAGCTGCTCCACTGGAACGGCTCGCTCAAGGCGATGCGCGAGCGTCAGTGCTCGCGCCAGGAGGTCGTGGCGCACTACAGTCATCGGGCGCTGGACGACGACATGCGCAGCCAGATGGCCCTGGACTGGGTGGCCCGGGAGCACGAGGCACCCGCCGGCGGAGTCGTGGCCGTGGAGCTGGCCCTGGCCGAGCGCGAGCTCGAGACCGCCAGGCTGGCCGGCAGGGAATTGAGATTTCCCAAGGAGAAGAAGGACATACTGCTGTTGGCGCACGCACAGATCTGCCCGCAATGACCCGCGTCGTCGTCGTCTTCGTCGTTGATTTAGTATACTAGATTCTATGTTTTTTTTTATTGATTCTTTTTTAATCCAATATCGGCTATTATTAATTTTTTATGCCAGGATCGTTAATCGATTCGTAATCCGACATTACTGAACTATCACGATGATATTCTATTTGTCACGAGTAGCACGATTGCAGTGAAAAAAAACTCTCGTGAACAGCGTTTAACATGAATTATTAAAAGATTTTTTTAACTCTGCATCATTCTGACGTAAAAAAAAGTACGTAAAAGTCATAAACAGTTTCGTCGAAAGCTCTTTAAAACGACAGTCGCGCCTAGTAGTCGCGACATGCTACTAGTTACATTTTCGTTAATTCTAATTATCGCGTGATTCTCGCGAAATTTCCGAAATTCGTTTATTTTTTAGTTTATTGTTAAATCATGCCATTCAAGATGACTATATATTTAAGTTCTACAGAGATCTATCCCATAAGTAATCAAAGTTATCGTAAAGTTTTGAATTAAGTTACGCAAAGTCTTCCATATATTGTATGGTTTAGTATAATAAGTCTATCATTATCGATTCGGAAAATTTAGAGACCTATAGTGAATTTCGGTAATGCTTTACTTGAACAATTTGTGATTTTAGGTGATTATAGAATTTTTCTTCCCTCACAAGACTGTACTTGATTTATATTACAATTTTCCATTTATATTACTACTTGTTTATACTTTGTTTAAATTGTGAAAATCTTTAAAAATGACTGAGTTTTTACCTAGTACTATATAAATTAAAAATAGATTTAAGGATCATTATCATTAACAGTTCTTTTTCAGTTGAAAACAAATGTAATTAAAATTACATATTTTGCAATGCAAATTAACAAAACACTTTGAATGACAATACATATGATACCAATAATCTGGAATCAAAACCTTCATAAAATCTATGAAACAATTAATCAAAATATCACTTAACTTAGAGCAGTCAATTCATTCACAAACTCACTTAATGTTATAGGATTTATGTTTTTTGAGCTTTTGCTCCTGCTTCACTTTGTTCTTGCAATGGATGCTCTAAAACTTTGTCAATTATTCCAAATTCTTTTGCTTCGGTTGGAGTCATGAACTTATCTCTTTCCATACTGTTTTCTGAAAATTCATGATATTATTATGTAAGTTTGTTATTATTTTAATAAAATTATTACAAAGTTTAATAAAATCTTACCTATTCTTTGAATATCAATTCCTGTGTGTTTGGCGTATAAATTATTTATTTGACTTTTAAGTTTGAGAATTTCTTCCGCTTGAATTCTAATATCAGTGGCTTGACCTTGAACACCACCAGAAGGCTGATGAATCATTATCCTAGCATTAGGTAGTGCATGTCTCATTCCTGGAGCTCCAGCGGCCAATAATAAACTTGCCATTGAACATGCTTGACCCACACACCATGTTGCAACCGGTGGAAGTACATACTGCATTGTGTCATAAATGCCAAGACCTGCTGTCACAACGCCACCAGGAGAATTGATATACAAATGTATTGGTTTCTTACTACTTTCTGATTGTAAAAAAAGTAATTGAGCTATAACTAGAGATGATATGTCATCTGTCACCTGCAAATATAATAGTGATGTTACAAGTCTTTATTAGTAATATAATAGGAAATAAAATTAGGTAAGAATTTTCATTTCTATTATTTACGTATAATTTCTTACCGGTCCCATCAAGCAAATAATTCTTTCTTTGAGTAAACGAGAATAAATATCATAAGCTCGTTCTCCTCTTCCTGTTTGTTCAACAACTATTGGAACTAGATTTAAACTTCTGATGCATGATTTCTTGATAGAGTTCTGTTGAAACATAGATGAATTGGTAAGAGGAAAACAAATTAAATAGAAAAATGTTTAACAACCAATTTTTATAATTTACTATCTACTTACATTCAATTGAACCAAATTGCGAAAATTTCGCAACATTTTTATTTGTTATAATAAGTGACTATTGCCAACAAATATCAGAAAATATTTCGGAGCGGGGTTGGATGATAGCGAAATTATGCGTGACAGTCCAGACAGCGGTCTGCAACTAATGATTACAATATGTGCGCTTAACCACACTTTTCGCGCTTACTCTTCGCAGTGTGCCGCTGGCTACTGCTTGGCGTTTGCCTGTCTGCATGTATGAAAATGAAGTAACGAAACACAGAGCAGACGTGAACTTCAGGATCTTTGCAATTATTTCCATTTGTCAACAAACGAAAACGTGGTAAATATTAACAGCCGTGTGATTCTATATGAGGATTGAAACATTTTTAGAAAATGTCAAAATTCCTTTACAGTGAATGTTCTTCTATCAAATTAAAACGCATGTTGCAGGTTATATTTATTTTGAAATTTAAGCAGAATTTACATTCAATTTGTGTTTAATAATTTGATTTGTGAAATGTGCTTTAATTAGATAGTTTTATTTCATAAAACATAACTAATATACATGTGAGATTATACTCAAAACTTTTATTTACAGAAAAATGAACTTGCAAATTTTAACTAGGTTCCAAGGAACTGTAAATAACTTAGTTAAAAGAGCCTTTACACCCATGATCAACTGCAGAGGGATTCATGGTATTTGCAAGTCAATTTTTACACCTCAACCAATTGTCAGCAATTGGAGTGTTTCAACAGAGACACAATTTTTGACTCCAATAATACCTCAATTCAATCAAGTATGCGGTATGAAACAAAGAGGTAAACCTCAACTTCGTTGCAAAGGCTGCTTTTATGTTGCCAAAGAAGGAAGGCTATTTGTTTATTGCAGACTTAAGCCTCGACATAAGCAAATGTCGATGCAAAAATCATTTAAGTATAGAAGGATCCTCACATTTGCATACCAAAAGAAAGAAAGAGATTGGTAGTGACTTAATTCTGTTGTATAATACTTATAGTTGTAATGTTATATATAATATGTAAAATAAAACATAATTTGTTACATTTAATAGAGAAGTACATTTTTAAAAATCTATAATTGATCTTTAAAAACTGAATGCTCTAATAAAGAAAGTTGTTTGATTTAAAAAAAAAGAATTTTTATTTTATTTAAATTAAAATTAAAATAAAACAGCATAATTAATTAGAAATTTTACAGCTTTATAAATCAAATTTTTAAATAATTCGGCAAGTTTCTATAAAAATAATTTTCCTCTATGTATTCAAATCATAAATGCCTTAATTACAAACGTGTATGATTAGTTGCCGTATTATAGGCGTCATACGACAGCAAGTGAATCTCTCGATGCTCGAGCAGTTTTTATGCAATATAGCCGGGCTACATCTGCACTGAGTGTGTGCAATTTTCGCAAGAGGAAGCCGCCCGGCGACGCGCTTACCCACCGAGTACACATAACGCCGCGACTCTGTTTCCATCTCTCTCATTCACGACTGCAGTGCTAATAATCTGCGCGCGGCTGATTGTTCAAGTTGTCAGCTGTTGAATAGAATTCCTCGCCTCAAAGCGACAATCGACTTTATATAGGAGTGTTTATTTGTTTACGATCAAAAGTGCGTAAATTCGACGCTACTCTCACCCGTGCGGCTCGAATTTTTTAACCGTTTGGTCGCAAATCGAATCCATCTCTCTTTGAGAAAAGTCTGCATTTGTTCTTTTTTAGTTGCATCTTTTAGAAGAGGTTTGCCAAGCTTAAAGCATCACAATGAATTTTATTGAAGGTATGTATGATTCATCTTCATTATGATAATCTTATCTAATTGGTGTGAATAAGTTTAATGCAAATTTGTACTCATAATAGTGACCAACAATGACTACATGGCTGGATGTTTGTGCGGCTCCATGGAAATAACACAGTGTATTGAATACGTAAGTAGAAAATCTTGCTTTGAAATTTTTTATATCTTACACTACTCCATCCAAAAGTAAATAGTCCTTCCTGATTAAAGTGAAATACCTCACTTGATTGATTTAATTAGAAGATTATAGTTTTCAATCATTCAAAAAATTATCTAAGCATACATTAAATTTTGTTAATAATAATTAAAGAACTTTGCAATTGAAACAGTATTATATACTTACGATTATAGTTTTCAATCATTCAAAAAATTATCTAAGCATATATTAAATTTGGTTAATAATAATTAAAGAACTTTGTACTTGAAACAGTATTATATACTTTATTTAATGAATATATTACAAAATATTCTCATTCATAATTATGTTCAGTTGTATATAATTGACATTATAAATGATCAGCAAGTATTAGCTCCCAGATAATAATTAAAGCTTGTTTATATACAAATACTTAGGGAGTTCATTTAGCCTTTTGGGCCATCATCATTTGAGCTTTTTGAAACTGCACTTGCAGTGCTTCTAGTTTATTTCTGTGAACTTCTTGTTTCTTTTCAATAGATGAAATTGCTTCTTCCGTTCGTTTGATATCAGAGTTGATGAATTCCAACCGCTTTTTGACATTCTCTTTAGCTTCAATAGGATCTTGTTTGATTAGTATTGGTCCAACAAGCTTGTAAATTTCATTTCCTGGCTTCATAAGCTTTAATTCTTCATCCACAATAGTATTTTCACTTAGCTGACTGTCCAATTGTTGTCTTCTGGAGCATAATTTTTGATATTCTTTTTGAACCTGTTTGTATTCTTCAATCTCAGATTGAAGTTTTTTCTGTAGTTCTTCCGTCATTTTTCTAGATTCTGTAAGAGTAAAAAAATTCACTATTAATAACTTAAAAATGCAAATACTTGGTAGCTTCAGAAAAATGAAGTTAAAATCGTCAAAAAATGGAGGTTATACGTGAGTAAATCGTATTTAAATACCCGGCAATGTAATCGTATGTTGTAATTTAAAAAATTCTGAACCACTTGAAAGTTATAATAACGCACAAGTGAAAGAAACTTTTCAACGGTACCTGAACTGGTTACTTGAAATTGATTAAAATAGCCTAGATGACAAAAATGCGGTGTTTAGAGTCGTATTTTGATGAATACACTACCTACACACAATGCCGTAAATAGTATGCGCCGTCTTGCGTGCGCGGCGGGCGACACTCCACGACGAGCACTTGAAAGACCTTCGATCGAAAGCGAAATTTGAACTTTTTTTTGAAGCTCATATAAATTGAGATAAATTTTTCATTAAAATGTATTTGTTTTTCACATTTGTTTAGCACTGGGAAAAAAACGTTTTGGATGATTTTCGTTACCAAGACCGAAAAAATGCAGCAATTCTGTTGGCTAAGCGCATCATTGGCTTCAGCATCGGCGACGATTACATGTAGGTTCATAATTTATCGTTACTTTTCGCCAAAATGCATGAATCGACAAAGTTATTTATCTTTTTTTTCTTCTAATTTTTGTTCAAAAGTGAGCTGTCGAATTCGGAGATAATAGAGAAACCCGAGGTTACTCTGCTGCCCAATATCTCAGGCCAAGCGCGAACTTTGACCACCGTCAGCCGATTTGATATACCCGAGGTGAAAATTGCCGGAAAAATTAGTATCAGAAATACATCTGGTTCCCACGAATACTACAACTACGAGTGAGTATAGAACTTGTCATCATTATAATACAAAACCTCGTCTTGTCCCACATTGAATATTTTCGATCATACATTACGATCTCGTGCAGGCTCGAGGTGAAAAACACCAGACTTAAGACAGCCGTGAACTATTTCATCGAGGGCGATGGATTTACCGTGGAAAATTACCTCAACGAGTTCGAGCACACGGATATGAAGCTGACGTACGAGAACGAGTCGGGGGAAATCGTCTCGGTTTTGGATAAACTCACTGACAAAGTCAAAAGTACGAACTCTTCTTTACGAACAAATCTTCATTGACATGCGTGCAATTTATTATTATTGTGTTTGATCTCGCAGGAGAAGCCGTGGAGCATTACTTGTTGGATAATACTTTCGACGAGATACTGTCGGCGATCCACGATCTGTTCTTGGAGCCGCTTTACGATCGGGGCAGTGCCAGCAATCAAGTCGGCGCCGATTACTCATTGAGAAACAAGTTCCGGTAATGAAACTTTGTCGTTGACATTCGATTTGCGTTGCAAATAAAATAACTAATTATTATCCTCGTTTTCTTCCAGTATTCATTTGAAGCAACTGTACGGCGCTTTCAAGATATTCGTGGACAAATTTTTGGACGCGACCAACGAGTCGCTGAAAGCCGACTCCGGCAGCGCTACCCTGCCCAAGCTCTTCTGCATCGGTGAGACCGACGACGGTGACGAGGTTTTGAGCGTCGTCGAGGCTCGCATCCAAAATTTGAACACTATGAGGTGCGACAGGAGGCCGATCGTCTTACCGGAAAATAAGGAAGCCCATCTTTACATTCCATTGGAATTTGAAAACCTAATGGTGAGCTTTTTAGATGCGAGAGATTAATTTTCTGTGTTTTAATTTACGCTAATGTTTTATAAAAATTATTCACAGGTCACTTATAAAAAAGGAGACCGCAACGTTGAGATATGTGTTAAGACCATTGAATCATCCTTCATGCAGCTAGCTATAAAAAAGATCAACGACGAGAAAGCAGAAATCAAACTTGTTCAGTTTAAAATTAAAAATCTTGAGTAAGTTCACACGATACTCGATCAAGTATGGTTATTACAAAATCCAATTAATCCGATCGTTTTTCTATCTAATTAGGTACGAGTGGAACCCTACGGCTAAATTGGTCTTGGATCCTTCGATCACCCAAGCGATCGAGGATAAAATCAAATCTCATATCGCAAAGGTGATCGCGAAAGACGAGCTCGGCCTTTTCGCCGTCAATCCGCCGAACGTCGAAATCGATTACGATAGCGACGATTTCTCCGGAAGAGAAGAGGGCGAAGAAGAAAACGCCGATGAAAATAATGAATAATGCAAAAACAAAAGTACATTAAATCCATAAGCGCTAGTCTTTTCTACACAATATAAGTGCCTTACGTATATAAATGATTTACAACCCAAAATTCACGCGTTCGCAAACTAGTTACTAAAAATGCGCTCGGATCTCAATATACGTTATAAAGCAATATACAAACATAAAATAACCGTCAAAAAATTCAATTAGCAATAAGTACTCTCATTTGCCGTACCGATCATATTTCGACGTTAAATCGCGTGGCTAGGACAAATCAACCAGAGTATGTGGTAAATCTTCTTTTTCTTTCGTATTCGCGAGTTAATTAGCGTTTCACCTCTTTTCAAGCACTTTGCATCTCTTCACTTGCGCTATATATATCGAATCACCGCAGTTTTCTTAGGAAGTAGCAAATAGGTTAATAATGTATTCGATCTATAATAATATGTGAGTCGGTCAGCAGCAGCAGCATCAGCAGCCCAGAGCACGGCACAGCTTCGGTAATATTTTCGCACTACACCCGCACCCGTTACATAATTTGCTCAGGCAATTATCGTGCAAAGCCGAAAAAACAACAGGAGGAGTAGAGAGAAGCACGAGGCTTTTATTTTAACGGTTAAGCCTCGACGAGTCTACATCGAGTCGCCGGGAGTCAAGTGCTAGACAGTCCAGGCGCGAGCCTCCTCGGTTTTAGTTGTCGCGAGTTATGCCATTGCGAGGCTCCATTAGGCTAAGAAGATGACGAAGTTCGCGTTATTATTATTAGGTTTCCTGACGCTCCTCCACTCGGCCGTCGCTTACTCCAAAGTATCGAGAAACAAAGTCGTGGTCGCGCCTCCCGAGGCGAGATCCTTTCACGAGCGCGACCCGCTGCAGGTAGCCTTCACCGTGTCGCCGCTTCACGAGGTCCCGGCGCCGAACATCGACGACCTGAGGCCCGGCGAGGCCGTCGATCATCGCACACCATCGAAGTGAGTTATTTTGCTCGTTTGCACGGCGCAGTGTCAATTGTCTTGTTCCGTATCGAAACTTTGATCGGTAATTTTCCAGATACGAGCAATTGTCGATCAAAGACGTGGCTCAGTCGCGCTACCATCCACCGCCTGTATCATTCAAGCATAAGGGTCTGCGGGGCTCCTCGTCGAATTCCGTGTCTTCTTACTCTAAGCCCGCGGCGACGTCTGTGAGTTCCGATTATTCGACTTTGGACACGAAACCGAAACCAGCAGCCTCGGCGCAGTCGCCGTATCCGATCTTCACATCGAATCACGTAAGTCTCATATCTTCTCCGCGCTCTTTCGCGTTCGATAATAATATAACAAATGTGTTCGCGTACTAACGATTCGTAATGATTATTTTAGTATCAGCCAAGTGCCAGTTCAATAGACTACCAAACGTCGATGGATAATGACAAGGCACCACCTTCGTCATCGTCTTCTTCTTCATCGTCGTCCTCGTCGTCGTCCTTCGATATCAATCATCCGCCAAAGTCCATCGATTTTCCCGATCACTACGACCGGCCGTTCGAATCCGTGCCATCTTATGCCCACGATCCGTACGAGGTGCATCACGACGAGATCATAATCGATCACCCGCCGTATGGCGATGATGATTACTACCATCACCATCATCCGCATCACGATCACGATCACGACGACTATCCGCACTATTACGAGCATCATCATCACCATCCTCACTACGAGAAACCGATGTTGGCTCCACCGCCTCCGATGACGACCGAGGAGCCGGAGATCATGGACGAGCGCGTGAACAAGCGGCCGGCCTACTCGTACTACTACATCGGCCGCAAGCTCTGGTACGTACCGCTGTACTTCAGCATATACTTCATCATCTACATAGCGGCGCTAGTGCTGAAGAGCGTCGCCAGGCACAAGATCCAGTTTCCGGCGAATCTGGCGGCAGCGGCGGCTGCCGACAACGCTAGAAGCACCAAAGTGGAGGGGTCTGATGGGCCCGGCTGGTTGGATTACGTCACTCTGGTGCTCGAGGGCATCGAGAAATTCGGCGAGATCGCGCAGTAACTCGACAACGGGGAACGACGATAGGCTGTTTTTGGTCGCTCAACTTTGGCCATGTATCGCGAGGAGATCGAGCGCGACGCATATAACCATGCACTTTTATACCTTAAATAACAAACCTTTATAAATAATAATATACAGTTAATTATATTTAGTAATTGTAATCATTAAATGTGTATACGCTTAATTGTAAATATGAATATGTCTGTGTATTTGTAGCGTTACTTGTATCCAATAATTTCATTATTCAATTTATATTATAAATAATAATGCTATATAACTTAAGCTTTGTCAATAAATGCTACTGATCAATCACATTGAAATACAGTGTTAATGGAATACTTGTCTCACTTCGAATTATCTCTCTCAAAAAAAAAGTAATCTTTCGCATTGATCTCAAGGAAGAAAATTGGTGTATACAAAGTGCGCGCTTATTTACGCTATATGTATAATGCAGCACATAGTGACGCGCACAATCGCGATAGGGCATGTGCAAGAAATACTGACGCGGTGGCAAGGTGGCATCGAAGGGATACGCGCGTGGAGATATATTTATATATGGGGCAAATTTCCTGAAGTGTCCTAGCGCTCTGCCGCACGGCATTTTTTGGCCGAATCACTCAATTTCTAACTCGCTGTAAAAGTATCAAAACGCCCCTCAAAAAAATAACTAACTAATGATTTTGATAGAAAATTTCCTCAGCTTTCTGATGGTGAGGTCCGATTTTCCAGAATTTTCCATTTTCCTCTCGGAAAATGTAAGTAAACATTCAAACTCGAATATCTCGAAAAACGCCACTTTTTTTGCGTTTTTTATTGTTTCAATCGAAAGATGAGGTCTTTTTACATCGGACAAGGTAGTTTTCAGAGTGTATTTTTGATGAAAACTAAGGAAAATACGAGAGGTTTTAGTTAGCGCTCGGCCGCTCAGCGCGATTTCGAGCCTTGCGCGGCTCGCTGTAACTTGTAACTCGCTCTTATGACATAGTGATTTGGCTGGAAAAATAAACGAACACATGTTTTCGATAGGAAATTTTCTCAGCTTTCTTATGGTGCAGTCGGATTTTCCGATAATTTACATTTTCACCAAAAAAAATGGACTTGAAGGTCTATTTTCTACTTTTTCTAATGAATATGTGAATTATCGGAAAATCCGACTGCACCATGAGAAAGCTGACAAAATTTCCTATCGAAAACATGTGTTCGTTTCTTTTTCCAGCCAAATCACTATGTCATAAGAGCGAGTTACAAGTTACAGCGAGCCGCGCAAGGCTCGAAATCGTGCTGAGCGGCCGAGCGCTAACTAAAACCTCTCGTATTTTCCTTAGTTTTCATCAAAAATACACTCTGAAAACTACCATGTCCGATGTAAAAAGACCTCATCTTTCGATTGAAACAATAAAAAACGCAAAAAAAGTGGCGTTTTTCGAGATATTCGAGTTTGAATGTTTACTTACATTTTCCGAGGGGAAAATGGAAAATTCCGGAAAATCGGACCTCACCATCAGAAAGCTGAGGAAATTTCCTATCAAAATCATAAGTTAGTTATTTTTTTGAGGGGCGTTTTGATACTTTTACAGCGAGTTAGAAATTGAGTGATTCGGCCAAAAAATGCCGTGCGGCAGAGCGCTAGGACACTTCAGGAAATTTGCCCCATATGTGCCGGGGCGTGTGTGTGTGTATTTGCAAGAATCTCACAGACAATGAAGCGTTCCCGCGCGTGTAAATACACGCCTGCAATTATGCGAGGAGAGTCGAAGAACAAAAAAAAAATCCGTATTTAAGGTGCACGCGCGCGCGCGCGTGTGTATCCCAAGTAGCAATCAGTTGCTGCTACTGCACGTGTAATATAAGAGAGAAAAGAGATAGACAGCCGCGGAGCTATTATGTTAGACTCTCACCTTCGCACGGTGGCGCGAAAATTCCACGAGAGAGAGAGAGAAAGATGAGCTGCCGAGCCGTGCGCGTGCACATGCGATATTAACGCTTCCTTGATTAAATTATTGTCTCTCAACGGGATCCGAGCGCGTCGGCACGAGTCCGCTAATCGTTGGTTCGCTGCCGCGCTGCTGCCGTCGCCGACGACGCGCACTAGGATTCGCGTGCATAATATTCGCGCATCGACGAGATCCGTCGAGATTATCGTGCTGCATCGCAGTCGCGTCAGATTCTGTAATCTATGATGATAACAAAAAAATGGGGGCCGTGAAGTGTAGTTCAATTAAGGTCATAAACTAGCTTTACAAATTTTGTTTAGACTAGAGATCGGTATTGGCTTGTTTATTTTGGAGTCGATTGCAAAAACTTACTTTTAATTAATAAATAACTTCCATGGCTAAATTATAATTTACATCAAGCAATTGTTGCTATTTCAACACAAATCATTCTAAATTTTTTTTTCTTTAAAAAAGGACTCAAGAAAATGTTTTTTTTTTTTTTTAATGAAAAAATATCACTCTTGTTCGTTCGCGTGCATTTTTTCAAATTACGAATGATTATCACGCTATTGTCGACGACTAGTACTTGGAACATATTTATAGCGAATGTAACGGATATGGTACACCAACACACACATACACCTATTCACCTTAGGATCTTGATGGTTACGCACGTGGAGGCGCAGCGCAGCGTTGTACATACATACATATTTTTTAGTATGTATAGAAGCCCATATGAACTCGAATACAAGATTCTAATTTAGCGTTTACACATACACACACAATACCGTGTCAGCATGCAGCACGCGACTATCGACTTCTCGGCAGTCGTAAAATCGGTTAATTACAATTTTAAGAAGGCCTATTAAGTGGCCAGATCGCGCGAGTGTGCCGGTGTACTTAGATGATGCGCGGTAAAGATCCAAAAGGTGAAACGACATTAACACGCGTTCTGCGCGCGCGAGCTCGAGTTAAAATATTTGCCTATATAAGTTTCACCGTATTATACAGTAGTAGTCCAAACTATATTCTACGCAAAGTCGTGCCTCCACGCGCGTTTAAACTCGGTATAGGATAAAGTAGGCGCGCGCATAAACACACGAGCGAAATATCCAACATCCGATTCTGCTGCTGCTGCTTCTGCCTCCTTCGGCTTAGCACAGATCTGTAACAATTAGGGCCTTTTTAGCGTACACACGCGGGGCCAGCAGCTGCAACAGAACTGCGACCGTTTGCTTAACGTTCGACTCGCCTATACAGTTAGTGGTCCTCCGCCTACGCAGAACGGCCAGAAGCTGAGACGACCCATTGAGTCGGTCAGTTTGACGTCTTTATGTCGACGGGTCGCGTCGTTAATTTGCCCTGGACGAGTCGACCGAAATCGCGCCGTCAATGGACCACCAGTCTGGCCTTTTGTAACGAGTCAATGAGGCAATTTTCACCTGTGGAGAAGAAGGCTCGTGTGGATTGTTGAACGACGAAAAAGAACGATTTTCTTTTTCTTTTTCTCATTTGTTAGTGTGTATGTATTGCGCGAGCTAACGAGTGACAAAATAGCTACAAAATGAAAAAGAGACTATTGTTTGGACCTTTGCTGTTTGCGATAGTGAGCACGAGTGCTTTTGCTTTCGACGATACTGGATTAGCCGAGTTGGCCGTTTTATCGAGAGCCGACGATGTCGCTTACAGACCCGTTGCTACTACCGAAGCGTCTCACAGGTAAGAGTTTCGATTTTATTCTGCACGCGCGAGGTAGCAAAAATCGGTAAAGCTTTTGTGAATCGTAAACTGCAACTGAGTTGACTTTTTTTCCTATTCAGAGCGTCGAAAACGCTCAAATCTGTAGAAAATAAATTTGAAAAACGACAAATGAACCACGATGACGTTTATCAAGACGACGGAGAAGCAGTCGTAGACAACTCCAAAGCTGTAGTTAGTCCTAGAGTCGTCGATCATTGGAATAGCTACTACGATTTTCTCATTAACGAGGGTAGTTACAAATTTTGGGCAATTTTTCAGGTAAATATTCTCACTCATTCGACAAAAATTATTAATTTAAATTATAAAAAAATCAATAACTTTCTCCTTCTTCCGTGTTCGAATCTTAGCTGGCAACGGCTGCATTGCTGATTTACAGTGGCTTCGCAGCCTTGTATTACGCTAAAATCAATCCACAGTTCAACGAGGACACCGACGAAGATTTGCTGTTCAGGAAGCGCAGGAGACGACGATCGATCGGCGAAAAGTATCGACCGTCCAAGGATAGGCCATTCTTCGGCCTGGATCCGCAAATTCTGCAGAGGATAATCGATGCCGTTGCCACTGAATTTCATTGATAGAATGATGTGTATATCACTTAAATTAAGAATCTTATAAATATTATTTAATGTCTATATATTTATTTAACAATAAATTACTCGATACTCTTCGCAAATTTTGTAAATTCGTCGAATGTTTGTATTAAGATAAGTGTTTGTAGCTCAGTAAAAACATCTTTATTGATCACTTTTCAAATATTAAAACACCACCTTTTTAGAGCGTTCCTAATGATCCAATTAGTTTTATGTAGGGAAATAATATGACCTTTCGATCTCAATAGAATAAATATTTTTCTGAGAATTATTGCCTGTTTAATCTATTATTAAAGATAAAAAGACCTACTTTTGGCCTTCCACCGTATAAAAGAGCTTTTCTCGTGCACTACGGCAATCGTTTTGAAAGTACGACTAACGACCATTACGTTTTCTCCTATTGAAAATCCTTTTAAAGTTTTCAAACTATACATCTAGACGATACGATCAGTCCGTCCACGCGTACGCAATTTAATATGCAATCGTTACGTGTGCCTTAAGCATTATTAGTTTTATACGCGCGCCCGACAAACGTCTAATCATCTAAGTGACACGCTTGTCTCCACTTTTTTTTATCGATTCACCGCCAGCAAAATGAAATGCACCGGCGAACTAGTAGCCGCGAAGTTTGCAAAAATGTTCACCGCGCTCAAGTTGACCGAATTGACGTTCATCCGACTGCTGCTGCGAATCTTCAACGTGTTCGGCATAGCGCCGCTGACGCTGGTGCAGCGAGGCCCCCAGAAGGAGATGCGTTTCGTGAGTTCGCGCCTGGCCGTGCTCTACACTTACGCGTTCATCGCGGCGATCGGCGTGTCGAACGTCATGACGGTCGACGCGATCTACACCCACCGCTACGAGAAAAAGATGTCGCTCTTTCACATAATCGACTTCTGCGAGATATTCCTCGGCACCTTCGTCACCACGATGATACTCTGCACGAACTGCCTCAAAAATCGCACCTTCAGCGCGATCGCCACCAAGATGTACAGGATCAACGAGTCGATCGGCCAATTGAGCGCCTTCGAGGACGGCAGTGGTAACAAAGCTCGTCGCGGCGCCGACCACTGCTTCAGCATCGTCGGACTGGTCGGCTTTCACGCGCTTTTGACGCTGATCGTGCTGTCGTCGAGCGCCTTCTATCAGGAGAACTTCGTTCTGTTCGTCAGCGGTGCCACGCGAAATTTCGTCATAACGTGGCTGTGCCTGCAGTACGCCGTGATCGTCAATATACTGCAGCGATCCTTCTCGAGAATCAACGATTTACTGAGGAATTTGGCCGGCGGTAGAGACGCGGCGCGCATCAATAATAATCCAGTGAAAACCATCGAGATGAAGAATCGCTACGTCATAAAAAATGGCCACGTCGACGAGACGACGGTGCCCCAATTGATCGCGAAAGCGTCGGAGCTGCATTACGCCCTGGTTCGAACGATCGGCGAAGTCACCGACTTTTACGATTACACGATACTCGGCGCTGTCATCTACATATTCGTTTGTCTCGTTGTATTTTCGTACTTCATTCTCGATTACATAATCGAGAAGAGGATCTTTTCGACGGTCGAGTACGTGAATCTGTTCCTGTGGATCGTCTCCTTCATGTCGGCTTTCATCGCATTGACGATGTACGTCACTAAAACACTGAACGAAGTTCGTTATCCTATAATTTATATAAACTCCCTTAAAAGCCTAGTAAATGAAAAAAAGTCAAGTCGTCAAGGGTGTTGATGTTGCTTGTTTTAGATCGATAAAACGGGTATGCTGGTGCAAGAGCTTATCAGAGCGAAGGTGAACAATCAAATCTCAATCGAGGTACTTTTTTGACTATTTTACATAGGCACTGCGATTAATTGCTATTAAATAATTATATAGTAATGTAAATTATTAGCTCAAAAATTTTTCGTCTTACTTACTGCATGTCAAAGTCAACTTCACAGCATGTGGTTTCATTACGTTGAATGGAAGTTTGGTGCAATCAGTATGTAATTATTTAAAGAATCACTCTCAATCTCAATCATCTAGTTATCGTTACTGATCATAATCATTAATTGCAGATACTGGGTTCAATAACAACGTATTTAGTCATATTGATGCAGTTTCAGTTAGACACATCCTCCAAAATGAAGTGTCAACATAGAAACATCGAAAGTCCATAAAGATTATTTTGTAATAAATTCGCATGAAAGCAATAACACGATAAACAGCATACTCAACTTTACCACTTTAATTTATTTTTTGAATTTATAATTACTTATTGTTTTTCTCGCTGAACCGCAAAAATTTATAAAATTTTCACACGAATAATTTCATATAAAAGTCAACCATGTATAATTATTATTGAAATTATTTACGAACTGTACTCATAGCCTATCTTTTTTATCTACCTTGTCAAGTTTGCAAACAAAAATTTATTTTTTTCTTTTTAAATCTTCCGTAGCAGAGATACCAAAAAAAAGAATCTTTCGTTTGTACGTGCAATTTTTTTTAAAGAAGATTTTTTTTTAAATGTCTCATAACTTCATAATACGTATAAGGTATTGGACAGTTTCAGAGTTCCGTTTGCATTATCAAAAGTAGATTTGTAATAAAAAATCAATGAATATTAAAATATCAATAAAAGGAAGTCAGTGTATAAATCTGCACACAATTACTAATGTATTCTCACGGTCAGTTGTAACTAATATTAATATTTTGCAAATTACATAACATTTCTCTTGATATTATTCTCGCCATTCAGAGAAACTACAAGAAAACATTTTTTATTGCTTTAGATTGTCAAATTTTGATGATCAAAACGAAAACCGATCTTGACATCAATCTTTATTTCTTATAATTAAGAGTCATAATCAAATAAAAATCCACGAAATCAGAAATATGAATCACTACATCTGGAATTAAAATCGATATTGTGGTTAAAGAGCGATTCAAATGAATTAAAGCTCTGTTAAAAAAAGTTACAATACTTGAAAAGGCTAAACTTAAACATCAACTTCATAATTCAATCATTAAGATTTCTTAAATGAAAAATTTCACTCACAGTATAAATACTTGTGCCCGTAAAAAAGTCTAAAATTAGTACAAACTATTTTGAATTGTAGAAAATAATATTAAAGTTAGGTGGGATGAAAACTCCAGCATTAAATTTTCATATCAATGTAAGGAAAGGCTGATTAAGTTGAGGAAAATTGAAAAAAAATTCCGACACGTGCGAAGTTTATCGTGAGGCTGAGCTTTAAACGAGAGCGTGATTCACATTTTGAAAAAATTTGACTTAACGCTTTTGAGTCCTAAATGATGATTCACATGGTCGGTCACATTGCATAAAAATACAGATTTTTGTATTTAACGACTCAATGATTGTTATCGATTTTGGTAAATGTCATCGTAATAATTGAACGACAAAGAAATTTCGCAAAGTAACGTGAAAACGGGTGAATCTACTTTTCTCGATTTTATTGACTTTTCCTTGTTGTATCTTTGACTGTAAGATCATTATTATGTACGCCCGTTTGAGGTTCGGAGCTGTGTCGACTTGATTGGCGTCGATCCCAATTTGCGTGCACGATAATCGAAGCAAATTCCCTACTGTTCCAGCTCCCGCGTCTTATATATATCTCGCAGGTGTAATTGCGCAACGAGCGCCGGGTACCGTATTATACGCGCCTGCGTCACAGTCATTATATGCAGATTCTGTATAAAAGCGAGAAACCGGAGAAAACTACGTGAAAGAAAGAGAGAGAGAAAATAGTAGGCGCTCGTGCAACGGGTTTTCTCCGCCTTTTTTTTTCCATTCTTTGCACAGCACTACTCGCTTCTCTTTCTTATCATCTCGAGCTGATTCTTCGCGCAAAGTAACGTGACACGTACGTCAACAGTGGCTGATTAAAAAAAAATCTTTTTTTTCTTAATAAATTTCATATTCATCGCGAGATGTGCTCGAGCTAAAATATCGTGATTTTCAAGGTGTTTTTACCACAAAGATCGCCCGCGCGCGCGTCAATCTCGTTATCAGAACGTCATGAAAAATAAACAAGTCGCAGAGGAGAAGCGAGTCCACACTGCGCGCGCGGGTACAACAATCTAGGATGTTACGTGCCATAGAACGAAGTAATCACCGGAAAAGGCCATAGTAAATTTCTAAGCCAGGAATTCTGTAAGGACTTTTTCTTGCGCTGCGCAAAAACACAGGCTCGCGCTCACCCTTACGCATACATATTCGTATGACTTATAACGCGCAAGGCGTATAAAGGTACGCTGTACGTGTAAGGACTCTTACACATATCCACGCGATTATTTGCGGCCTCCTCGCACGTTTAATTACGAGCGCATGCGAGGTATACGATAAATGAATGCAAGAATATGTACGTGGGCTGGAAATGCGTGCAACCAGCAACGCACCGAGTGCCACGCATTAATCAGAATGAAAATTACTTAACGATTGGTATACGTATACGGCGTAAAGTTTGTAGATCTCAGACTCAGACTCTAGTAAACACGAGATTGTCGATCGCCATCAACATTAATTTAACAATATCTCGTGATGTTTTGATAGTTCGAGTAAGTCAACTTAACTTTGAATGAAATAATACATTGCACGCGTAGTTTTGACAAATTATCAGGTTTTGGGTGCCACAATAGAGTGAAATTCATTAGTCACAATCATTCCTCATACTATTGAAGCTTTTATTAGTATGTTATGAAAGGGTTGTATTAGAAAACATATATGTCAGAGTTATCATGATGGGTAAGAGGGTCTAAGATTAAATTAGATGCGATAAGTCAAATTAACCATTCCCTATTTAATTCTTATAATTACATTTTAATGTTCACAAAAATGACTTATAGGGCGCCCATGGAATCAAACTAAGCATACTGGGCTTCATGATTGAGAATTACCAGGAAGCAACAAAAAGTTTTTGGTGAAAATTGGTCACCCACACCCGGTGTGGTCTCCTTGTCAGAGCAAAGAAATGCGTTGAAAACCACTATTCGATTGAGTATTACGAAAACCCCCTCAGCGTCCAGACTAATACTCGGGCGATACCATGTAAATTGAAAACTGTCAATGTAAGGTACCTCGAATTGACACTAGGCAGCGCATGATCCAATTGTAAATTCTGCAAGAAGTTCAGCAATGTTCGGGAGTTGAGTACGGGCAAAACCAGTGTTCTTGTCAACCTAGTTTCCCTTCAGTAAACGAATAAATCTTTCGCCTTTTACTAAAGATTTCCGTGGAGGGGAACATTTAATAGGTCTTTTGACCAATTTTTGATACGGCCGAATTTTATATTCGGCCTCTTAAACAAATTCAAAGATAATTCACATCTTATCATTTCATAATAAATAAAAAAGAGATAAAATAATTTCTTTTCATTCATTTAAATATATTAAACAAATTTAAAGTTTATTCATTAAAACTCGCAAGAAATGCGTGGTATTCATTTCTTGCGTCTCTTATTGCGTAACTCAAACGCTCGTTGTTTTCTAACATAAAATCATCCTTTTCCCTTTGATGCAATCTCCTGTAACTTCGATGACTGTTCAAGAAGTCCCATATTATTGCTGTAAAAATTTATAATATTTTAATAATTAATTAGTATTTATTTTGATTATGAACAAGAGTTCAACTTACCATCGTAATGTTGCAATTTCTCTGGGGGGATTAGCTTTCTCGAGTTTGAATGCGGCAACATTCGACATGGGCATTCGTATGATTCAGAGCCATATAACGTGTATTGCAATGAAGTATCGAAGTAAAAGTTGGGACAAATTAAAGAATCTCTATGGGGCTTGATTAATATCTACACCGATGAGAATTCCCTAGCAACAAAAACGATAATAGATTCGTTTGAAAAGTTTGAAATCTCATTGGAAAATATTTATGGATTTTGCACTGACACTTGCAATTTTGATGATCGAAGTAAATTAATGTGTCTCCTACGATATAACTGAATATTAACTTCTGCTACCAATATTTTATGAAATTTAGAAAAAATTTTGGGTTTAAATCAAAATGCTGCTTTTCCACTTGCGAGAGCGACGCCTAAAGTCGGCGCCATCTAGAGGTGTTAAACTTAAATATGATCCCTTCGGGGTTGCGTATTTCATAAGGTGTATTAAAAATCCAGTAGCCATTGAAACGCTTACCCCATTCACAGATCCAAACAAGACGTTCCACAATTCCAAACAAAATTATCAGTTGATCGTTGCATACAAGAGTTACAGAACTAAATATCCAAAAAAGTCATTGAGAGTAGTAATAAGTATAGTACACGAAATCTAAAAAGACCATAACGTCAGTCTACAAAGGTGTAATAATAGTTGAACGCTCGAGCTTCAGCTAATGCACAATTATTTTGGGATAAATTTTACTGAATTTGTAGAAAAACACATGTACCACATATTTACATAATATCTACACATATCTACACATATCTACACATATTTACAATAGTCAATCATTATTTCTTCTCGCAATTGCCTCCAGCAAAATCGTTGCGGCCTTTATGGACTGCCTTTTGGTGAGCAAGCAAATGTGATTTTTTCCAAAATTTCTTCTTGCACTTTTCTCATACGAAATCGTTAAAGCCTGCGTGAACTATCCTTCGGTGTTTCAACAAATCTGATTTTTTTCTAAATTGTTGATCGCAGTTGTTGCATGCATAATCTTTGTGACCTTCGTGGACTACTTGTTGGTGCCTAAGTAAATGAGATTTTTGTCCAAATTTCTTCTCGCAATTGTCACATGCAAAATCTTTGCGACCTTCGTGGACCGTCTTTTGGTGGAGAAGCAAATGTGATTTGTATCCAAATTTTTTCTCACACTTATCACATGCGTAATCTTTACGACCGTCGTGTACTGTCTTCTGGTGATTAAGCAAACCATTTTTCTTTGTAAATTTTTTCTCGCATTTGTCACATACGTAATCCTTGCGACCCTTATGGACTGCCTTTTGGTGGACACGCAAGATCCCTTTGTGTCTAAATTTCTTTTCGCATCTGTCACATGTGTAATCTTTGTGACTTTCGTGTACTGTCTTTTGATGGAAGAGCAGACTCGGTTTTTGAGTAAATTTCTTCTCACACTTGTCACATGAGTAATCCTTACGACCTTCGTGGACTGTCTTTTGGTGCAAACGCAAATTCGATTTTATTCCAAATACCTTCTCGCAATTATTGCATGCAAAATCTTTGCGACCTTCGTGAACTGTTTTTTGGTGTAAAATCAACTGATATTTTCGTCCAAATTTTTTCTCGCAATTATTGCATGCATAATCTTTTCGACCTTCGTGTACTGTCCTTTGGTGCAAAAGAAAATAATATTTGTGTCGAAATTTTTTTCCGCAATTATCACAAGAGTAACCGTTGTATACTCGTTTTGTATCTCTTCGATCCTCGTGGACTGTTTCCAAGTGTATGAGCAGACTTTTTTTTTCTCCAAATCTTTTCCCGCACCTTTCACATATGTAATCTTTGATAACTTCGTGAAATATTTTTTTATGCTTGACTAAAGTTGATTTATTTTCAAATTTCCTCTCGCATCTGTTGCATGCAAAATCTTTGCGGCCTTTGTGTAGAGATAATTGGTGTCTACTCAAATGACTTCGGAATTCAAATTTCTTCTCACATTTGTCGCATGCAAAATCTTTTTTTTCATTGTGAATTGTGTCTTGATGTGTTGTCAAGCTTGATTCTAGTGTAAATCTCTCTTGACAAATATCACAAACGTATTGTTTTTCGTCTGAAACAACAATGTCGTGTTCACTTGAATTATTTTCATAGTCAACTTCTTCGGATTTCTTCTTATCCATTTTGATGCTTAAAATGAACAATGGATATTTCTATTTTCTTCTCAGAAATTAAATGAGTAAAATTTATCTTTTTCTTATTACGACTTGTATCGTCGGGGAAGACAACATCCAAACAAATTTGTTTTTACTATAAACATAATTAGTGTGTCGAGGGGCGATGTCAAAATTGTTTATAATCATACTGTTTACCACTAAGGTACCGATTTATCTGTTTATAAATTATTCTTACAATATTTGAGCCAATTTAAAATCCTCATTTGACGATGATTTCTTCGAGGTAATTTTTTGGCTTTCTAAAACCAAATCTAAAAAAACTTCAAAAAGAAACTCCATAAAAACTCCCTAAAATAAAATTTTTAAGATGCAAACTGCCGCGCCCTCACGCCACGACGTGATTGGCGTGCTCCATAATCCACCACTGGAGCTCACTTTACGTTTTCTATTACAATGAAGTAGTACATTAAGAACATTGTTTCGTTCAAGTAAGTCATAAGTCAGTAAGCAAGTAATAACTGATGATTGAATTGCTTTTTAAATATTTTATTATTCATAGACGAATTGCGCATTTATTTCAAAATAATAATTATTTAAGTTAATAATTGTTCCTATTGAGAAACGCTCCGAAGTATTTTTCCTATATATTTTTTTTTGTATTAACGCTGTTTTTAACTTAATCAACCTAATTAAGAGCAGGGGTTTAGTCAGCATCATCTACAGCATATCTGACACTATTCAACCGTACAAAGAAATGATAGTAATTAATTATGTAATACCGAATATTCTGATATGAACTCACATGTATAATATATTTTTTATTTCATTTATACTATTGAGAGAAATTGGATTGATATCGCAAGTACGAGCACTGATATTAATAATGGTGAGCATGAACCAGAAAAAATGGACGCAAAAAAATTTATCTGCAGTCGAAAAGAAAATGTTAGTCTCGCACATATTCATCATTTCCTTGTAAAGGCGCACGCATGTGTTGACAAATCCTTATTTAATATTTTTCAGATTTGAGAATTAAATACAGGATCAAAGATGTATATTAACTCTTAAAAATACTCGAGATACATGTAATCGTCGTAGTATACTGGTTCGAAATTTGCTCGATTGCATTTTCTCTGATGAAGCATCGAAGAGATTTTCGTTTAAAGGAGGCGCATCTAATAGCAGGCGAAGCAAGAAAGATCGTCGATCTGTCTTGCATACTGGTGGAGTGGACGCTATACTTTGTATGTAAAGCTTTTTATTATCAATGGTTTATGCTTTAATTTATAAATAAATAATTTATTATCAATAATTCTAATATTGATTCTATTATTGAAGACATGTATAAATAAATAAAATATTCGACTATTGAATGATATAAGCTAAAAACATTTCTAAGGATATTTTAGTTCATGCACTTATAACTTGTTAAATTTTCAACCGATACAAATGCAGCGAGGTATGGGTGTATTCCTGCGCTGCTTTTGTATCTGCTACGCTAGTTCTAACGAGCGAACGGACGGAGGAACGTGCGCGGCCGGCGAGGGAAGGGAAACGCGGACGTGAGGAAGAGTATACAAGCGTACAAGAGAAGGAAAGGGTAAGAGGAGTGAAGGAGATCGCTAGTATGTGCGTGTGTGTGAGAGAGAAAGAGAGAAAGAGAGAGAGAGAGAGAAAATGAGAATGAGAGGACTAAGATGAGCAATGGTAAAGCGTTGGGTACATCTCGAACTCCTGTCAGTTGGTGCTAAGCCACCTTATAGATTGGACGCTGACCAAGTCCATTCTTATAAACGCTCGTAATTTTCTCAAGCGCGATGTTACTTAAACGTAGCTGTGTGTAGAAATACTTATCGGCTTTGTTTAAACGTGAATTGTGCATTAATAATCTAATAGATTTCGTTTGACCAGTGAATAAAAAAAAATAAGTGAGAAGAATAACAAACTTATCTGTTTTGTTCGAGGATTTGTCAAAAACGATAAAATGGGATCTCCGTGAATAATAAGACTATTTCTAGTCAGTGTCTGTATCAAAACAAAGATAAAAGTGCTGTAACTGAAAAATTTCAAGTTGAAATTATTACGCGGGTTTACTTGAATAACAACCATGGCGTCGATGTGCGGAAGCAGTAAGAGCCATCCAGCTTTGACCACCAGCAGTTTTTACAGACCGGGTGCTTATCCTTATCACCAGGTACGTGATTCAAGCCTCCTTCTTGCATGTATAATCATACTATTGGTTCCCTTTTACTGTACACGAGTATTTAATAGCAACAGCAGCGCGGACAAACCGATCCAGTTTTACCCGTTTTCTTCTCGAGTTACTATTTTCAGTTTCGTTTGTCGTATAGAATGCACCCAACGAAATGTTCTTATTGGTGTGCGAATTCACTTTTTTTTGGTAATTAAATATTGATAGCATCTCTTTTAAAATAATTTATTATATTTATTTTTAATCATTGTTTAAATGACTGCTTAAAATTTTATTCAAACTATAAGGTATTCAATGAACTAACATAAAGACAAACTTTATTTTTTTAAACAATTTTACATATTATCGGCTTTCATTACTACTTTATACAAGTTATGAACTTATTTGATTTCGTTCATATTGACATTTTGTCAGTATTTTCATCATAGTGCCTGCTAATTATTTTTGTATTAGTTTAAGAGGCCGAATGTAAAATTCGGCCAAATCAAAAATTGGTCGTAAGACCTATTAAATGTTCCCCTCCACGGAAATCTTTAGTAAAAGGCGAAAGATTTATTCGTTTACTGAAGGGAAACTAGGTTGACTAGAACACCAGTTTTGCCCGTACTTAAGGCCCGAACTTTCCTTAACCGCTAGCGGGATCGCATGAAAATGATTCTTACGCCGCGTAGTGACAGTTTTATAACTCATACGCGTATGAGCATATTGCTCGAGCGATAACGAGTTAGCTATGATAATGAAATTAACAGTAGTACAGTTTGTTATATTACATTGGTAATTTAGAACGAATCTTTTATTTTATTTTTGAACTGCAAATGCAGGCTTTAATAAATGATAGTCTCTTAAAATCTATTTACATTAACCTGGCAGAAATGTATTTATTTTAAACGATATGCATTTGAGATGGTATTACCATTAAAGTTCTGTACTTTTGCTTATCAGTGACGATTGTAAAATGAATGAGACTTTCGGTATATTTATATTCTTGAAGAAAACAAAACAAAGATTTAAAGCAAACCTGTTTCTTAAGCACGCGGTGTATCTTTATACTGTGATTTATTATTCAGGTAGTATCCGAAACAATTACGAATTCTAAATGAAAAGGTTTTCAATCAATTTTTTAAACTTACAGTTTCAATTGTTATCCATAAGTTATCAATTGTTGTAAACAAGAATTAATTTTTACTCATTTGTAACTTTGATTTTTCTTTTTTTAGTTTCATCATTATTATTAATTTAAACAAAATTCACGGTGACTCACTAAATCATAAATCTTATTTATTCGACCAACATCTTTACAACTTGAACCGAAAAATAAAACAACTAATATTCAAAAGTGCCGCGAGAACACGGGCTATATAATAAAAAAATGGCATGAGAGCGAGAGACCCGAGACGCCGATCATTAAATCGCTCAAGGGATCGAAAAAAAGTTCGAGGCAAAGATCAAGACGGAGAGCGAGAGAGGAAGAGAGCGGTAAATTAAGTCCATATACAAAAGAGTCTATGCATGTTATATTTTATATATTTGTGGGTAGTTTTGATGATCGAGTCTCAAAAACGTGTTTGAGCAGTGCTAAATGCAGCATTCGAAAATGCACTCCACGCCTGAGACGATGTTGACAGACGCGTATATCACTCTTCTCGGATGCAACACAGAGAGACATTTATACACGCGTAGACGTTGAAAATTCGTACAAGCCGCATATAATTTATTACGTTTTGCAAATCGCTCGCGTCATTAGTGCCGAGGCGAATGAGATCGCGATCAAATTGATTTTTGCATTTAAAAAACGGCCGTGTTAAATTAAAAACTCAATCACCGCGAAGTGTCATTAATACACGGCAGAATGTTGCTGCTGCTTCTGCTGTTGTTGTTATATATATTCTTAACTCTCTTGGCTCGCTACAATCGAAAGATTTCACGCTTCGCAGCGAATGAATCACTCCCTCCCTCATCGTACTCGTGCTGGAAGCAATAAAAAAAAATCCGTGCATCATAAAAGGGAGCAAAAACAACAACAACAACGAGGAGCAGCAGCAGTGGCAGGCAACGGTCAGAAAACGCGTCTGATCGCGAGCGGTAGAATTTCAAGATCAACGTGTGGGCGCTATATAGGCATACACACATCGAAGTCAGCCAGCCAGCCAACGCTCGATGAGCATGAAACACACACACACACATACAGCAAGGGGCACAAGTCTTACGTAAGCGCTTATACGGGGCCTATGTGAATATTATGTGTATTATACACGAGAGAGTGCGAGCGAGTGCGAGAGAGACCGAAGCAAGGCGAAGGCCAAGGCTCCCTCGGCCAGGCGCAGGCAAAGAGTCGAGCGGCGGCGGCGGCGGCCGCCGCAAACCAGAGGAGTCAGTGATGCGCCCGATAGCTATAATATATGTTATGCATTCATATATATACTTGCACGCATGTAGAAAAATTTAAATGACCTGCTACGTGGATTACTCGAATGCGCTCGTGTGCACTGCAGGACACGTATAGCATATATACAGCACGATGCAGTATACGTTGTTGGCCGGTATATATAATGCCGATCGGTCTGCGCACCCACAACTCCGCCATATATACGTGCGGTATGCGTTGCACTATGATTAGAATTAGCTTTTGTCGGCGATACACCCGGGTCTGACGTAGAATAAGTTATTAGTGGTGTACACTTTTCCCGTAGAGACGTGGTATCATTTTTTGTTCGCTCGAAAATGAGCAAACATAAAGTACAGGATGTGCAGAGCTTTGGAGTTGAGAAAAGAAAACTAAGAAATATTAGCAAATATTTGACCAAGTACTTCGACTTCTCTTTCGTTCTTTCTCGTTCCTCTCGTGAGTAGAGATGAACGTGAAAGCTCGCGAGCGCACTGCATATCCTGAATCTCAGGAGGTACACACACACACACACACATATCTTCGAGCTTATATTCTCGCGCAGTGCAGCCTAAGTGGATCTCATTTGGCTGCAGCTCTATGCATCTCCCCATTGTCTCTATCTCGCGCTTGTATACACTCGCGAATAGCCAATGCATATAATGCAGGATAAATAAAAGGGCGATCCCATACTGCCGCGATGTAAATGTAGGCAAATAACCCAAGTGTAGTTTTGCGCTCCGCGTGCATTGCACTCGTAATTTTCTATCTGCGCATATACGTATATATTCGAGATCGAAATTGGTGCCAAAGATCGGGGGCTTTTCGCGAGTATAAACGCGCTCGTATACAAACGTCTAACTGCACTGGAAAAGGTGTTCGCAATTCGATCGGTAAATGGCGCCTATTAATCAGGCGAATTCGAATCGATCGATCTGTAAAATCGTAAATCGGTATTGTGCTGCGTGTGTGCGTGCATAACAAAAGTGAAGAGAGATTTTCCACATCGCGATCACCCTGACACGGGCGCGCATAATATCGCATCCCCCTTGCAGTGATAAAATCGCATTGAAAAACTCCTTTATATATACACGCGCGACGGTGATAAAAAATATACACGTGCACACGATTGTTGTTATTGTTGTTATCGGGTAATATGCGCGCGATGCAGCTAATTATTCCTCTATCGTTCATCGCTCGATTCACTCGAGCTGTCTGACTTTTTTTTCTTTTCTCTCTCTTTTTCAGCTGTTTGCACGTGTATTTACATATACGTATGAATCAGCTGACAGAGTAGATAATAATATACGTATATTAATATACCGCGACGAGTGGCATATTTATGTACTCGCATGTGTATAATAAGCGATCTCTGCATGGGAGTTTTCAAGACAGGAGGAATCGATGACCTTCGAGAGATGACACGCCGCTCGAAGCAGCGCTACAGCCGATCGTCGAGATCGCTACTGCATATGCATATAATACGAACTTTTATATATTATAAATATGGATAATTATTTTTACGCAGCTGAGAGGCATAGCGCTGCATGCTGGTAGGATAACGATCGCCGTTTCTTTGTTTTTAATGCGTTCGACTTCTGCGCGAGAACACGTGAATTGAAAAAGAAACAGAGTCTCCGAGTCTTGCGTGACGCGCGTTTATCATTGTTATTATTATTTCGAGTAACGGAGTGCAATGTGCAACGGAGACGACGTCGAAGACGAGCTGCCAAAAGACCCAACGACGACGTTTGACAATCCGAATTACATCAAACTCGGCTATTTATTGCCGCAATATAACAAATTCGCGTAAGCGACTCTCGTGTCTCGTATGGGATCACTCTTCTTTGGTATTCACGGCTCGAGTGCACATAAGTGTGCCACGGTTAAAACATGTAAACACATTCAAACGCCTTACACAGCAGCGAGCGCGCCTCAAACACACACACACACACACACATATAGCTATATATCGCAAGCGAACGCGAACGTGAAAAAAGCTAACAGTACTTTCTACATAATACTTGCGCCAGGGCACATCGTTGCAGCAGCAGCAGTATGCTTATATACTGCAGCCGCCGAGGCAAGGTCAGTGCCACTTGCCGGGGCGTAATACCACTGCGTTTCGCTCGCCGCGCGCACCGCTCTCGTGTATTACGTAAAATTACGTTATTCGCATAAAATTTCACACCCGAAATGAGCCGGGATTTTTCGAAAAAAAATTCATATTTTGCTGCTGCTGCTGCTGCTTCCTAGATCCCGGTTTAATAAACATATGAAATAAAAGCTTCGGCGGTTTCGTTTAATCACTAAACGATGTTCGATCGGTAAAAAAAAAGACGAATTTATTTATTTTTATCTTGGAAAAAATTATAATTCTTGCGCAATAATCGAACGCATTCGGAAGTTTATTTTGTCAACGGTATATAATATAAACGGCCCTGGCAATGGCAGTAGAGGAATTCGTTAAAAGCAATCATCGCGCGGACGATCAGCTCGCGAGAGAGAATCATTATGGGCTTTATCAAATAAGGAAAACTAAAAATTTTACGATCGATTTCGACGAATCGTTCGAAATTTATGTGACTGGAAGCCATTTCCGAGGCAATACAATACAGAATTTATATTTGCACTTTTTTATTATTGTTGCTGCCCGTAGCGCGCGCGCAAGAGCTACAATTTAATAAACTTTTTAACGAAGGTACTTGAAAAATGAAAGAAAAAAATAAAAAGAAGTCGAATCATCCTCTCTCTCACTCTCTGGTCGTTCGGCTTTTACAGGATTCCTCGGGTGCTCTCTTCTTTAACGATCCAACTACCGCGTGTGTAAAATGTTCAATCGACCTCATCGGGCCGAGGATCGCGTCGATTTGTACAATGGCTGCATATAGTCGATTGCTGCATCATGCACTAGCGCGCGCGCAAGTCGAGTGCACTGCCAATAGCGCAGCCAGTCCATATAGTGTATAATATAAACCAAACGCACCCATTAATCGACCTTCGCTTCGTCATCTCGCTACAGCTTTTTTTCTCTCTCGTTTTTTTTTTTTTAACTCTCGCGCGTGCAAAACATCTCGTGCATGCATAATCGAAGATGTAATGCGTGAATTTATGTACACGCGCGAGAGGTGAGAAAGACCATCCCATGTACTTGATGATTTAAAAAATGCTTTTCATCCAGCTTCATGTAGGTACACGCG